TTGATGAAATGTACAATCTATCTGCAATATTGAAGCTGATCTACACCCTAAAAAAATACAAAATAAAATAGTAATTCATCCAAGGAATCAGCTTTCCATCATTTGATTAGGTAAAATACTAGAAAAATTATCAACATCCATAGTTTGAATAATAAAAAGAAATCTGGAATCGAATCAGTCGGACATGTCATATTTTCTGTGTAAGGGAAAATAGTCAATCATCATTCTAACAACAAGCAAATAAATGTAAACATCCTGTGTAGCCTATCAATAAACAGCCAGCCAGCCACTGGCTAGCAGAGGGGTGGGAAAAACACATAACTCACACACATGGCTATATGCACAATACGCATAGGAATAGAAATCGCACTCAGAAGTCTAACACAACTGATTACCACACATGATTATAAGGGTTAAATGTTACAAACATATGTTTGAGACTACATTGTTGCAGCCTACCGGGCTATGTTACATTTACAGTTAATCTGAGCGTCTGAGCTCCACGCAACTACATTTGGGGTTTAAAACATTGGGGTAGAGTCTGTACCGTTTCCCAAACAAGTCAGGATATTTATCAAAGAGTTGCTCTATTATTATCCGTCTCACACCACACTAAAGTTGAAACCTGTCCTATGAGCAACCAAGACAACCACAGCCTAATAAACTTGCATGTTTCCCAAAAACACTGCGGTTTGTCCAATGATCACGTTGTTGGTTAAAACTTGCTATTCATGTAAAAAAAAAAAAATACTAATTAGAGTAGAAATGAATAGGAAAAATGGCTGAGCTCTGTAGCTTGGCCTGTCTGGTTGCTGGAGATAGGCACCGATGCGGCCACCACCAGGTAGGCTACAGACTAGTCCTATTCAAGTCTGAAACATTTGCTTTGTGTCTAGTTTAAGAAGCATAAAGAAAGGTGGATTCTGGAATCCAAGGTTCCAACACTTCGATGCTAGATGACCCGTCCTAGGAGTGTAAGAGTCTACACCCTTGCTGAAATGCCTGGGAGCACTACCCACTACAAGTTTTCACTACATGTCCCGTTCCTTTGTGAGTGCACTGTTTATTGCGCTGTTTAGGGACAACATAATTAGATGCATGCCTGGTTAGGATATCCTGTCCTAGATTCAATGTTAGTGGCCCATGTAACAATTCCTTGGAATGTGTTATCCCCCCCCCCCCAATCAAATGCTTTACTCAGGTGAGAGCCTGAATTTCGTGTTATCATTGTCCATAGCATGTCATTGTCACATGATGGGGTTTTATGGCGAGAATATTCATAGAAACGTTTCCACAGTCACTCTGCATACTGTTCGAAAGGTTCTCTTGTGCTCTGCTTACAGGCCATGACCTTAGTCCAGTCTGCATGAGACGGACCCTGAAGAGCGAACAAGTTTACTTTGAGCCACTCTGCATTGGTTTCATTGTGGCGCAGCGCTCTAAGTGGCGTAGCGCTCTAAGGCACTGCATCTCAGTGTTTGAGGCGTCACTACAGACCCCTGGTTCGATTCCAGGCTGTATCACAACCGGCCGTGATAGGGTGGCGCACAATTGGCCCAGCGTCGTCCGGGTTTGGCCGGTGTAGGCCGTCATTGTAAATAAGAATTTGTTCTTATCTGACTCGCCTAGTTAAATAAAGGTAAAATAAAAAAAAATATAAAAATTGTGCCACCCTTAAAATCATCAGTGGCTCTGTGGGCAATTTCACTTGGAATTGAGAGCAAAATACTTGCCATATATCTCACATTTCAAGACTATACACATTTACTGGGTCTTTACCCGTTCCCACCATGGTGTGAATGGAGTTTTCATTGGGAATGTTCCAATATCATTTAAGTGAGAGGTGGTCTTGCTGCATGTTAACCTGCGCGAAATGACAATGCGCCTGCATTGATTGTCAATGTCCTAATGACTGAAACATGAGCTGCTATTGCCCTAAATGGACTCGCAAGTCTATGAGGAGTGCGACAACAGCTGGGAGTTCAAATATGCGGGCGGCAGAATGTGAGTTTTGGAGTGTGGCTGCGATCTCGCCTGTAAAGCCAACACCACTATCAGTGTCTGAAACATCATCAGTGCCTGAATGGTCTGCCTCAAAGCAGAGCTGTGGGCCCGGTGTGCAGTGTCTTGACACTCTTTTTCTAGCACTTTACAATGCTGCTTCAAAAGTGTCACCTCTGGCTTTAAGGAGGCAACATTTTCAACATTTTGCTCATGTTTCTTTTCCCACTTTCTTTTTTTTAACGCATCTCGTCAGAGAAGAGTTCCAAAATGCATATATTTCTCTTCAATTCCCTGTTTTGGTGTTTGCACAGCAAATGCACACTAACCTCTAGAATTCTTTTTTTCTCTGCCTCCTTTTTTTACATGCCAATTGTGTGCAAGTAATCAATTATTTCATCCCTAGTCTAATCAAATGAGGCAATGTTTACCAAATCATTAATGTGAGATGATTGACGTAATTCAAAAATATCTGTTGCTTGCATATTCACCATCACGTAAGCTACGTATTCGTTATATATCGGGGAATCTAATGGAATAAACTCAAATTTTATCCAAAGTCTCCGTAAGATATATCACGTCGGAAGTCGCCACTTACTGTACCTCCAAAGTTATCAATATAATGCACAAGTTCCTAATGATATATCATGTCGGGGTCACCATTTACTGTAGTGGGGTAATATTTGATATACAGCGGCTTGCGAAAGTATTCACCCCCCTTGGCATTTTTCCTTTTTTGTTGCCTTACAACCTGGAATTAAAATTGATTTTTTGGGGGTTTGTATAATTTGATTTACACAACATGTCTACCACTTTGAAGATGCAAAATATTTTTTCTTGTGAAACAAACAAGAAATAAGACCAAAAAACAGAAAACTTGAGCGTGTATAACTATTATAATAATAATATAATATGCCATTTAGCAGACACTTTTATCCAAAGCAACTTACAGTCATGCGTGCATACATTTTTGTGTATGGGTGGTATTCACCCCCCCCCAAAGTCAATACTTTGTAGAGCCACCTTTTGCAGCAATTACAGCTGCAAGTCTCTTTGGGTATGTCTCTAGCTTGGCACATCTAGCCACTGGGATTTTTGCCCATTCTTCAAGGCAGAACTGCTCCAGCTCCTTCAAGTTGGATGGGTTCCGCTGGTGTACAGCAATCTTTAAGTCATACCACAGATTCTCAATTGGATTGAGGTCTGGGCTTTGACTAGGCCATTCCAAGACATTTAAATGTTTCCCCTTAAACCACTCGAGTGTTGCTTTAGCAGTATGCTTAGGGTCATTGTCCTGCTGGAAGGTGAACCTACGTCCCAGTCTCAAATCTCTGGAAGACTGAAATAGGTTTCCCTCAAGAATTTCCCTGTATTTAGCGCCATCCATCATTCCTTCAATTCTGACCAGTTTCTCAGTCCCTGCCGATGATGGTGTTCTTGGGGTGATGAGAGGTGTTGGGTTTGCGCCAGACATAGCGTTTTCCTTGATGGCCAAAAAGCTCAATTTTAGTCTCATCTGACCAGAGTACCTTCTTCCATATGTTTGGGGAGTCTCCCACATGCCTTTTGGTGAACACCAAACGTGTTTGCTTATTTTTTTCTTTAAACAATGGCTTTTTTTCTGGCCACTCTTCCTTAAAACCAAGCTCTGTGGAGTGTACAGCTTAATGTGGTCCTATGGACAGATACTCCAATCTCCGCTGTGGAGCTTTGCAGCTTCTTCAGGGTTATCTTTGGTCTCTTTGTTGCCTCTCTGATTAATGCCCTCCTTGCCTGGTCCGTGAGTTTTGGTGGGCGGCCCTCTCTTGGCAGGTTTGTTGTGGTGCCATATTCTTTCCATTTTTTAATAATGGATTTAATGGGGCTCCGTGGGATGTTCAAAGTTTCTGATATTTTTTTATAACTCAACCCTGATCTGTACTTCTCCACAACTTTGTCCCTGACCTGTTTGGAGAGCTCCTTGGTCTTCATGGTGCCGCTTGCTTGGTGGTGCCCCTTGCTTAGTGGTGTTGCAGACTCTGGGGCCTTTCAGAACAAGTGTATATATACTGAGATATATACTGATCATGTGACACTTAGATTGCACACAGGTGGACTTTATTTAACTAATTATGTGACTTTTGAAGGTAATTGGTTGCACCAGATCTTATTTAGGGGCTTCATAGCAAAGGGGGATGAATACATATTCATGCACACTTTTCCGTTATTAATTTTTTAGAATTGTTTGAAACAAGTTATTTTTTTCATTTCACTTCACCAATTTGGACTATTTTGTGTATGTCCAATACATGAAATCCAAATAAAAATAAATTTAAATTACAGGTTGTAATGCAACAAAATAGGAAAGGGGGGATGAATACTTTTGCAAGGCACTGTATATGATATTATAAATACCTCACATGCGACTCATAATAAGACTAAGCAATTAGCCTATTCAAATGTTTATCTGACTCCATAAAGATAATTAAAATATTCAAACAAGCATTAGGCAATGAGTTGACGTTGACGAGGAGGTTGGTGGCACCTTAATTGGGGAGGACGAGCTCGTGTTAATGGCTGGAGTGGAATCAAATACGTCAAACACATGGTTTCCAGATGTTTGATGCCATTCCATTTGCTCCGTTTCAACCATTATTATGAGCCGTCATCCCCTCAACAGCCTCCTGTAGTCTGATCATTTTACAAACAGAAATGCTCAAGAATAAGTTACTTAAAGTATAACTTCGTTAACTGAGGTTTCTCTTAAACTGAAAGTCTTTTAGCCCCCAACTTGTCTGCTATTGACTCCAGTCCTTTCTCCCTGAATGTGAGCAGCAGCAGCTTACTAAACTGTTGAAAGGGCATGGTAAGACGGTTTGCCTTTTACAGTACCACACTTCTTTCCTCAATGGAGGCCATCGGCTGACTGAAGATTGGCAATTCTATGGCCACCTATCCCCCTGGGTCAAAGGTGTGGTTGGCCAATAAGGTCAAGTCACCTAGCAGGAGGCCAGGTAGGGATGGTAGTGAGAGAGGCTGTGGCTGTGGCTTCAGCACTGGAGGCGTTGCTGGAGCTGCAGTTTGGGCGGTACCGTTGGTGGCACTGCGAGGGACTGCAGTTTGGGTGGTACCCCTGGTGGCACTGCGAGGGACTGCAGTATGGGCACTGCCCGTTGTGACAAAGCGAGGGATTGTAGTTTTGATGGCACCTCTGGTTTCACAGGAAGTATTGGCCAGACTCAGTCTGGCTTTCATGCCTGACATGAGGACACCTTGGGCCAAGGAGGCAGTGGCATCTCCTTGGAATCCCCTTCAGCTTGACAGGGCAGCAGGTTGACTGCTTCAATGGGGAGGCCGGCTTTGGCTCGGCCTCCACTGGGCTGAAGGAGGCTGAGATTTAGAGGACAGCAGGGTGGCTGCCTCAGGGCTGGAGGGTGGCGATGGCTCGGCCTCCACAGGGCTGGAGAAGGGCCCAGAGTTTGAGACATGCAGGTTGACCTCCTCAGGGCTGGAGGGCGGAGTCAGTTTAATTAGGATTAATGAGGATGTTACCATGATTATGGATAATCCTGAATGAATCGTGATTAATGATGAGTGAGAAAGTTACAGAGGCATAAATATCATACCCCCCAAAAAATGCTAACCACTGATAGATTAGCATCTATCAATCTACAGTGCATTCGGAAAGTATTCAGACACCTTCCCCTTTTCCACATTTTGTTATGTTACAGCCTTATTCTAAAATAGATTTTTTTTAACAATCCTCATCAATCTATACACAATAACCCATAATGACAAATAAAAAACAGGTTTTTAGAAAATTTCTATTCATAAGGTTCACCTTCCAACAGAACAACAACCCTAAGCACACAGCCAAGACAATGCAGGAGTGGTTTCGGGACAAGTCTCTGAATGTCCTTGAGTGGCCAAGCCAGAGCCCGGACTTGAACCCGATCGAACATCTCTGGCAAGACTTGAAAAAAGCTGTGCAGCGACGCTCCCCATCCAACCTGACGGAGCTTGAGAGGATCTGTAGAGAAGAATGGGAGAAACTCCCCAAATACAGATGTGCCAAGCTTGTAGCGTCATACCCAAGGAGACTCGAGGCTGTAATCACTGCCAAAGGTGCTTCGTCAAAGTACTGAGTAAAGGACCTGTAATATTTCAGTTTTTTGTTTTTCATATATTTGCAAAACAATTTAAAACTTGTTTTTGCTTTGTCATTATGGGGTATTGTGTGTAGATTGATGAGAGAAAATAAAAACGATTTAATCAATTTTAGAATAAGGCTGTAACGTAACAAAATGTGGAAAAAGTCAAGGGGTCTGAATACTTTCCGAATGCACTCTATCTATCTATCAATAAATGCTTCATAATCATAACAAACATGGCACTTAAGTTTTGTTTGAGTTTGCCCTTAATGATGTGTGTGTTGTTTATGTCAGTAGAGGCGGCTGGGCCCGGGGTCATATGATGCTGCAGGCCCTGGGGACTTCAGTGAACGGTCGGTGGTATAGCGGGCCAAAGGGCAGGGGTGGCACAGGGCCCAGTAGACCACCAGGCGGGCAGCCATACCCCACCTCCTCTACAGGGAGGCCTGGGAGAACAAACGCTTCCTGGTGGGTCACAATCACACACACATGCACACACACGCACGCACACACACACTTGACCCATAACCTCTGTCTATCTGTCTGTCTGTCCCGTAGAAAACAAAAGTGGGTCCAGGAACCTACAGAACAGCAGACTTTATAGAGGAGCTGCAGAAGAAACCAGGCAGCGTGAGAGGAGTGTGTGACAGCAGGGAAGAGAGGTTCAGAAACGCACAGGTACCACAACACACAACTCAAACACACAGAGGTACCACAGTACACCACTAGAGGGCAAAATAACACTATGTTATACTCAGCACACTGGAGGATAGGCCACATGTTAATACCATGTCAATAGCAGGTATCAACTACCTACAATCAAGGGTAGATTAGATTTAAATCAATATTTCTCTGTGATGCTCAAAGTGCCTTACACCACAACTCCGCCTCAAAATCTGTGTGTACAGAGCTGGATGCCAGGTACTGCTATGGTAAAGGGAGTGTTCTATGGGCAGCGCTGGAGAAGAGGGCGGGGTCAAATGGAGCTCCCATCATGAACCTCAGCTCCTCACAGGCAACGTTTCCCAGAAGGCAACACTACGGTATGACACATGACACACACAACACCACAACTATTCTAATTGAGGACAACAAGGTATAGGTGACACCTACACTATACTACATCTAACTGTGTGTGTGTCTAGGACTGTGGGCTGAGTCCCTGTACCTATACTCTGAAGATCAGTACAGAGGCATTGTTGGCCAGCGGCAGCAGCAGGAGAGGTACATATGACCTCTTCACTGGACAAACCCATCACTGCTGGATACGCGCTGCCCTGGTAACACACACGGACACTCAAATCATACCCTTACATCCTGGCTCACACACACAATTTCCCATCACACACACCTCAGAACATATAAAACTGCGAGTGACCACCACCAACCGTTTTCTCTCTCGCGTGCAGTGTGTAGAAGCGTGTGAACCTGACTCCAGGGGAGTACCCTGGTATGTATGTGGGGTTTGGAAAGAAGCTGTGTCGTCATGGGAAGCAGAACCACGGTGTGTTTGGAATGTTGGATCAGTCCCCAGCCATGCCAACAGAGAGAATCTACCACAGTACTCTGTCCCAATGCCCTTGACCTGCCGCGAGTACCCTAACCTCTGACCCCTAACCCTGCCCCAATGCACTCCAACCATTCTATGTAACCTGTAACATCCAACCCGACCCAAATGGAGGAAGAAAAAATATAATACCCTTCTCTTCTCCTCTCCCCTCAGACATTCCTAGTCCTGTGAACTTCTCTGACAGAGACAAACACACACAGTAAGACACACACACACGCAAACACACAGTAATACCTGACCTGAAATGGCAGACTCTCTGACAGAGCGTGTGTGTTTCAAGGAGAGGCTGCGGTGGACAGACAGTTTCCTGGTGCCGCCCAGAAGGAACGCTTGATGACAGCAGCTTAGACACACAACACACACAGAAGCAGCAAGCCCAGACTCAGGATACAACCCATCAGATTTCAAAGTTTAGTTTTTCAACTATATTAAAATCTATATTGATCAACATTAGATGTCTATGTTTGGTACCGTAGAAAGTAGTAGAGATATTTGCTGTTGACAAATCAAACTTTATTATCATACATCAACAAAAACATTTATGTGGACAAAGGCATTGACGTCCTTTCTCTCTGCCAGAACACACACACACACGGACTGACTGAGAACAGGTGACTGTTCTTCCACAAGCCAGAGGAAAATGTGATTGTTTGAACACTCTACAGATGATGTGCGCACCAATAATCATCAGATGAGTTTAAGGCGGAGTGATGTGATCACAGTGGACACAAAGAAACATGCTCTAAATGTCAGGATAGATTCTAAACACATGATAGACAGAATAGCAGACTGGATATGTGTTGTATAACAGGCAGAGGGCATTACATCATTAAAGCCATAGTCTGTAAGATGTCCAGTCATTTGAACTAAGGAAATATACCCCTTGATAGTCAAATTAAGGAATGGTAAAATAAACAATGACAGCACAAGTCTCTCCTAGGGTTAGGAGCTAGAGGTCAGGGCAGGCTGGTGTTGGGGTTAGGGGTCAGAGGTTAGACATAAAAACAGACAGGTGTTAGGGCTGTTTGTGTTTCATCAGCACATTCACATTCAGTGGGCTTTACAATACAAACAGGCTGAGAACACGGTGCAAACACTCAAAGGCTCTCATCTTCATATTGTTGCTGGTGGGATGGCAGAGTTGAAAGGATCAGAGGTTAGTAGTCAGTGTCGTGCAGCTTTGCAGATCTTGTCGTAGACCTCGGGGAAAGCGTCCTGACAGCCAAGCTCCTTCCTCAGACGGTGATACAACGTTCCATCAAACATCTCCCAGAACTCACTGCGCTCCATGTATACATCAGCATACAGCATCTGGAACCTGGAGACACACACACACACACGTCAGCACAATCTGAACCCTAACTCCGCACCCTCTATAGCCTGTTGGGGTGCGTGTGTGTAAAGGTTGGTATGTTTGTGTGTGTACAGAAACTCACCCGTGCACCTCTCTGACAAACTGCTCCAGCTGTCTACATGAGGCTTTAGCCTGGAAGTGTTTAACTCTGGGTTCTCCATACGCACCGATGTCCACATACAGCTCTGCCTCCTCACCTTTAGGATGAACCATCCCCCGGCCCGGGGGGAGCACGAACGGACACAACCACAGAGGGTACACCTGCAGGGAGGGACATACCAACTCGGTCACACCCTTAAAACAAGACATACCAACTCTGTCACACCCCTACAACGAGACATACCAACTCAGTCACACCCCTACAACGAGACATACCAACTCAGTCACACCTCTACAACGAGACATACTGTACCAACTCAGTCACACCCTTAAAACGAGATCTACCAACTCAGTCACACTTGAGTTTGTCTAATTTATTAGGGTATATGTGACGCTGTGGAAGCATGCAATGTGTGTGTCTTACATGGATGTCCTGGTGGAAGCGTGCGATAGCGGTCTGGATGTGTTTCATGGGGACCAGCATGTCCTGGACAACATGGTGCTGCTCATACAGCTGTCTGATGGTCTCGCCCTGTGTCAGCTTCAACAGAGAGATCTTAGGAGGAACCATCCAGCCAAACAACCACCGGAACACTGGGTGGTTACCAAACGGGATGATGTCCTGGAGACACACACACATTCATGTTGACAGGAATCAGCTTTCCAGCAGTGCAGTGGTGTCCAGTACGTAGAAAACGTTTGAAACACATTTTTGTTTTCCATTTCAGAACGTTTAGCTATTGTAATGTACGCCCTACTGAACACAACCCTCAATAAGGATAGAATAGCAGGAAGCTGTAAAACTGCCTCCTTACCCCTCCTCTCCTCCTTCCCCAACAACAACTACATTATTTATAACATCATTTAAGGTTTGGAAAGAAACAATTACCAGCAAACCACACGGTTTCCTAATGGCAGTGTGTGTGTGTGTGTGTGTGTGTGTGTGTGTGTGTGCATTAGGGAGGCTAATGCATGTGCTGGGGGAGAAGATGATGACATGCTGAAATCTGCAGGATAAAAGGGTCACTTTGTATCATCTGTCTAATGCACTGTGTGTGTGTGTGTGTGTGTGTGTGTGTGTGTGTGTGTGTGTGTGTGTGTGTGTGTGTGTGTGTGTGTGTGTGTACCTGGAGCTCCCAGAAAATGGATCGTGTATGTCTGTGGTAGTAGTGGCGTAGAGGGATGTACTCTACTGCTTTCTTGTTCTCTGTCAGATATCTCTCAACGTGCTTGAAGAACCACGGCTTATAGTGCAGGCCGATCCGGTTGATCTGAAACACACACATACACACAGTGGAGGGTTATGGTTAGATCTTGCTGACAGACAGCACTCTCCTCCTCTCTTGTCCTTCTCAGTGTACCCGGTCATCCTCTATTTCTCGCTTTCCCTCTCTCACCTTGTTGGGTTCAGCGGTGTCAGTCATAGTGCCAGTCATGATAACAGCTTCATCCAGAGAGTACTGCAGTCCTTCTACAAATGTGTTACTCTTGTCCTCAGACGCCTCACTGAACCGACGGCAGATGTTCTCCAGCCCTCTGATTGGCTCATACTGCAAACGAACCCACAACCTCGCAGGGACAATCTTTATTTCTGCAGCAACCAGGAACCCCAGAGTACCACAGGACCAAGGAACCGCGTGGAACAGGTCAGAGTTCTCCTCCTGTTAGGGAACACACACAAAACAACAGTTCCCCTCCTGTAAGAGAGCCACATAGCAGAGTGCAGAAACAATCCTCCTTCTCTCTCTCTCTCTAGTTGTACTGTGGAACCTTTGTTTCCAGATTAGCTGTAGGTTGGTGTTGGCTGGTGTTTACTAATGGACTGGAGGTCTGTAGCACTACTCTTAGTTATAGAACTGGAGGTCTGTGGTATTACTCCTAGTTATAGAACTGGAGGTCTGTGGTATTACTCCTAGTTATAGAACTGGAGGTCTGTGGTATTACTCCTAGTTATAGAACTGGAGGTCTGTGGTATTACTCCTAGTTATAGAACTGGAGGTCTGTGGTATTACTCCTAGTTATAGAACTGGAGGTCTGTGGTATTACTCCTAGTTATAGAACTGGAGGTCTGTGGTATTACTCCTAGTTATAGAACTGGAGGTCTGTGGTATTACTCTTCTCCGACTATAAGGTTCTCTCAAAGAGTCAAACAGTAAAGAGAGCTCTGCTCACCTCAGTACAGTGAACCAGGCTGCCATCAGCCAGCACCAGCTCAAAGGCAACACAGATGTGCTGGAAGAGTCCGTAGATATGAGAGGACGACTCAATACCTGTACCCATCACCAGACCTCCTGGAGAGAGAGAGAGAAGGTGAGGGATTGATTATTTAGTAAACAAAAGACAATGGGGGAATACTAACGCTCAGGAACAGTCAAGATACAACAGTAGCTTGCCTTAAGATGGAAGCCCCCACATACACTGGCATGGCTCTTCTAGTTTTTAGATATTGTTATTTTGGAATTGTCCACTGCTCATTCTCAAGGTGACAATGAAAGAACCTTATTAATGTGGTCAAATGCAGCTGAAAGTGTAAGATCTCTTGCTATGAGGAGTTAAATCAAAAGGGTCACTCGGGTGGGATGGGGTAGGTTGAATTTTGGGTTTATATTCTAATTCATTCTATTTTTTGTTTTACTTGTAATGGTGGGATCAATTAGCATTGCAATCATTGTTGCTTACATGTATTATGAATGCACCTTATGTTACTGATAAGCATGTAATGATTATCATGTGATATGGACGTGCACTGACAAGGTATTTGTCATTTGTCTAATGCTGTTTATTCTGCCGATTAATTGAATAAAAAAAGAAATACAACAGCAAAGGACACACAGACACACATGACAACAAAAACAACACTGACGAAAGTGAGGACACAGGTGAAAAAGCAGAGAGTAGGGTAAACACTCAAACAGTTCCTCGGTTGTGTGTGTGTGTGAGTGAGTGAGTGAGTGAGTGTGAGTGTGTGAAAGAGTCTCTGTGGAAATCCAGATTAATCTACAGCGTGCTGATGGGAAAACATTAAACTGTTGATCTAACGTTCATGGATCCGGAAAACCATTTTGAAATCTGATCCAGGGGCGCTGTGCACTCCGAAACCATTTCTTCTGAGTTTCAACTCGGAACTCTACCATCTATAAACCATCTGTCCTCTAATCCAATAAGAGAGTGTGATGGTTATCCCAACAGGAAATAAACAACCCTGATGGATGAAATGCCATGGAAACGATGAGTTAGCCAGCTAACTTTGATAAACAACCAGAAATAACTACTGATTTTCTGGTTGATTAAGAAAGCTAAATTTAGATATGTCATGACTCTCCTTGGGTGAGGACCAAAGGCCTCACACGGGACGGGGGTGGATGGCTGTGCCGGTCTTGACACCTTAACACTGCCATAAATTAGAGAGAAGGAGAATCTATCTCTGACCCTCTAGTATGTGAAAGGAATGCCTTTGTTTCAGATACTTTTTGCAGCCCAAAAAATTCAACATACAACAATGAACATTGGGACAATATATTTCAACATCCAAATGTTGGGAATGATGAGAAATGGAATATGGAAAATGTATGTCTATTTTGTGATGTAATACAAAATGGTATCAAGGCGTTATAACGAAAACATTGTGACTTGAAGAGCTTTTACACTGTGGATATCAGGTTTACATCCTTTACCTTGTGTAGAAAATATCAAGGAGGAAGACAATGTTTTCGTGAAGATAGGAATGTGATTTTAGCTTTCTAACAAAATCATAGTGATGATAATACTTTTGCCTCGTAACTAGCCACGCCCGAGGGAGCTCAGAGAGCGTGTCAGTATGACGGAAACGACCCTCTATGCACCCTCAGAGTGCATAAAAGATTGAGTTAAGAATTATCAGATCAGACTAGACGGACCTCAAGCTGCAGCGAGGTCCATATTGGTCCCAACCCTGAAAATCAACGAGGTGAAGACGACAAAGTTGCCTCCACTAACAATCAATGTTACGGCTAAGTAGCTGTTCTAAGTACTGTATCTAAGAAGGTGAATTTAAGTGGGACCATCCTGTTACTCTCTTCAAACCATCGTCTACTACACTGCTCTCATCACCCCACAGGGCATCATCGACACGGCTGATTAGCCGTCCTCAGAAGACCATTTCCAGAACGAGTGACAGTAAACAGACAACTAAGAAGAAGGACATTGTGACCTCGTGGACAATCAGAGCATTACATCTAAAAGGCCATCCGAAAAAGAAGGCCCAATCGACCCCTTCCCACGAAGGCCTGGGTCCAACAGAGATACACGACGAAGACCTCAAACACGTAAATACATGCATTACTTCTTACCAAACGGGCGGCAGTTCGGGGCAAAGTATTAGGGTTACTGTGAGCATAGGTCCATGTGTATCCAAGTGTTTTCTCTCTCTCTCTCTCTCTCTCTCTCTCTCTCTCTCCATCTTTTGTAATAAGTGTAATATTGTGTTAGTCCTCTTGGGACCCGTTTTCATTGTATTAAGTTTCTAATCCCTACCTATACCGTGTACGTGTTTGTATCTTGTGTTATCATTTTAATTAGTTAGTAAATAAATAATTAATTAAATCAATTTGGGTGGTACGGAGTGATCAGTAAGACCCGGGTTCGTGCAGACTTAAAGAGTCTACGACTTTCAGAATGAGACTGATATGAGGTAACAGATTAATAAATGACTGTTTAATGATAAGAGATATCTAGATATCTTTAGAGTTAATTCGGGAAACGGTAACTCGTTAAACAACTTTTCCTGTGGTGCCCCAAATTCCTAATGAGTTAATTGTTACATGATACATTTAATCTAGTAACAATTTAACATAGTAGGTAATTAATTATTCAATACATTATAGTCATCACAATAATGAAAGTCACGTCACGACACATATGTGTTTTTGGTTGTTTACTACACTACCGGTCAAAAGTTTTAGAACACCTACTCATTCAAGGGTTTATCTTTATTTTTACTATTTTTTACATTGTAGAATAATAGTGAAGACATCAAAACTATATAATAACACATATGGAATAATGTAGTAACCAAAAATGTGTTAAACAAATCAAAATATATGTTATATTTGAGATTATTCAAATAGCCACCCTTTGCCTTGATGACAGCTTTGCACACTCTGGGCATTCTCTTTCCATGACATAGACTGACCAGGTGAAAGCTATGATCCCTTATTGATGTCACTTGTTAAATCCACTTCAAATCAGCATAGATTTGGATTGTGTTTCAAGTTGGCTGGATGCCATTTAGGTGGTGGACCATTCTTGATACACACGGGAAACTTGAGTGTGAAATAGTCAGCAGCGGTGCAGTTCTTGACACAAACCGGTGCACCTGGCACCTACTACCATACCCCGTTCAAAAGCAATTCAATATTTTGTCTTGCCCATTCACCCTCTGAATGACACACATTCACAATCCATGTCTCAATTGTCTCAAGCCTTTAAAATCCTTCTTTAACCGGTCTCCTACCCTTCATCTACACTGATTGAACTGGACTTAACAAGTGACATCAATAAGGGATCATAGCTTTCACCAGGATTCACCTGGTCAGTCTATGTCATGGAAAGAGCAGGTGTTCTTAATGTTTTGTACACTCAGTGTACATACTAGAGCTGGGTGATATGGACATAAATCCATATTGTGATAAATTGCCTATATTGATGCGATAACAATAAACAGAACAATAATTTTATAACAATGTGCACCACAGTTTTTTTTATTACCCTTTAAACTACTACTACTAGTTGATTTTTAATGGGACAGTTTTTTTTATTACCCTTTAAACTACTACTACTAGTTGATTTTTAATGGGACATTAAAAATCAACTAGTAGTAGTAGTTTAAAGGGTAATAAAAAAAACTGTCCCATTAAAAATCAACTAGTAGTAGTAGTTTAAAGGGTAATAAAAAAAACTGTCCCATTAAAAATCAACTAGTAGTAGTAGTTTAAAGGGTAATAAAAAAAACTGTGGTGCACATTGTTATAAAATTATTGTTCTGTTTATTGTTATCGCATCAATATAGGCAATTTATCACAATATGGATTTATGTCCATATCACCCAGCTCTAGTATGTACACTGAGTGTACAAAACATTAAGAACACCTGCTCTTTCCATGACATAGACTGACCAGGTGAATCCTGGTGAAAGCTATGATCCCTTATTGATGTCACTTGTTAAGTCCAGTTCAATCAGTGGCTACAACAATCACCCATATTAGCAAACGTATTTCATTTCACATTTCAAATGTTTCTAGTATAGGCCACTTATAGTAATGAACGATATCAGCAAAATACCTGCGATAAGTGTTATGGTCAGTGGCGATAATTTTTGGTTTATCGTCACAGCTCTAATATATACCATATAACATAGCCATTCAACAATATATACTACATTATAACCCCAAATCATATACAATAACATATACCACCATACAATATAACCTGAGCCATATACAACAATATATGCTGATGATATGCAGATGATATGGTAACGAGATGCGTAGCGTACCGACAGTGAGGTCGTCCAGTTCTGGCAGCACAGGCAGAGTCCAGCCAAGGGAGTTGAGGAGAGCTGTTATCTGGCCCATGTTGACCAGGGGCTCCACACGAACCACCTGTTATACATATACATGTCCAGGTCATACGGGTTTACACACACACATACTTTTACATACAGAGCTACAGTGTGTGTGTGATCTCCTACCTGTCTCTGTGTGTCCACCTCCAGTATGTCCATCATGTTGATCATTATGTTCTTATTGGTCTTCTTGTATTTCCCCACTCTGAGAGAGACAGTCAGCCAGCCTGGACGACCTGTACACATGTGGGTCTTCCCCCCCTCCTTCCTCCATTCACGCACCTGCAACACACACACACAGTATCATACTGTAGATTAAGATTAAGATCAAATTATTGGTCAATTGCACACAAGGTCCAACCTAAATTTGACTTTCGCTTTTAACCCAACCCTTCGAAAGACACACACACAGGTTTTGGAGAGGTGAGGGGGGGCTGCCACACTGGGGTCCGGGAGCTGTTGTTGTGGGGGGTTAAGTACCTTGCTCAAGGGCACAACGGCAGGCAATGGCGTCTAGGATTTGGTACCAGCAACCCTCCGGATGCCAGCTCACTTCCCGACAGATTTTTTCCCATCAGACCCAGGATTCGAACTGGCAACCCTCCGGTTGCTGGCTTGCCCCTCGAACCACTCTAAACGCTATGGCCTCTGCCTAAAGGTCTGGCATAGAAGATAGATAGGTAATGCACTTGTTAACACTCGTTAAAGCCCTACTCCTGCTGTTCACGGTAAATTAATCCCTACAGAACATTACACATGGAAGCAAGAATTTCTACTTTGAACAGACACAAGTGAAATACGGTATCTGATACCATGCTGAAATGCTGAGCTCCCAGAATACACACACACACTGACACACATTCCGAGACCTACGCAGTGAACCCTGCACAATTTGTTCTCTCTCTTCCATTTCCAAATTCTCTTTAGGAAGAGAGGGATTAAAGTCCCTCACCCCAGGAATTTCACAGCACAGTCATACACACACACACCACACACACACACACACACACACACACACACACACACACACACACACACACACACACACACACACACACACACACAAACTGTTTTATCATTTGATCTGTTATCATCTGGTGTTATCAGAGATCTGTGTTTAGGCACACACACACACATCTGGGGATATTATCGGGAACCTGTGTGAAGGTCCAGATAACATAACATGCTAGATTTAGAATTTAGACTGTAATATCACTGCACGTTATCAACCAATGGGCCTTTGCATGTAGGGTAGCGGCCCAACCGGCCACCAGATGGCACTATCTGGCTCTATTATTCCTTCTATGTTGTTTAATCTGCGTTTGACTTCAATGTGCCCAGCCGGATATACAATTGTGTCCACCTGTGACCGGCTCGTAAATAAAACATCCTTCATTCAGGCTGCAAAGGCGTCGGTTTCCTCCTTAACTCGATTTAATGGCCCACCGACCTAGAAGAACTGGGAAAATATGCGTACGGTCTTAATAAAACAACATTTTCCACCACCATGCTAGAGTGGCTAATGCTACTTCCTGATGTTGCTGCACGGCGTTCAGCCAGCGGTAAACAACAGACTGCTGCAACCTGATTGTCTGAACGCGGTGTGCAACATCCGGAAATGGTGATGCATTGCGTTTTATTAAGACAGTAGGCCTACGCATTTTTGCTTGCGATACGGCTTTCGAGTCATATGGCCCTTATCTTTCATCAGCGAAAAAAAATACTTCAAATGAAAAAGATAACTACTACAGCTAGTGTTTGCACAGATCCATTCAGCTATGGGTGTTTCCATCCGATGAAACTACACTTCTGCTACACTTCCTGAGTTACGCTTACACACATGCTAGACAACTAATTAGCACAGGTGGTTGCTTCTTGTCTTCCGTCTGCAGAGGGGCGTGGTTTATATAGCTAGATAGCTACTCTACTGGTGCCAACATTTTACTGTAGGGTGTTAGCAAATATAATTAAAAGTTTCCCCTATTCATCTATGGCAAAGATACTTATATGTTTCCCCTTTCATCTGTGTCTGGTGTTAGCTAGTTACTGGCTAGCTAGGGCTTCAGCCAGCATGGAACAAAAGGGGAGAGGGTCGTTCAAAACTCAGACTCAGTTGTCAAGTCCACACATACATCAGTGTTGCTGTGAACCACATTACATTTACATTTACATTTACGTCATTTAGCAGACGCTCTTATCCAGAGCGACTTACAGGAGCAATTAGGGTTAAGTGCCTTGCTTAAGGGCACATCGACAGATTTTTCACCTAGTCGGCTCGGGGATTAGAACCAGCGACCTTTCGGTTACTGGCACAACGCTCTTACCCACTAAGCTACCTGCCGCCCCACATAACAAGAGACATGCCAAATGGGAGATGTATGAAAAAAAGCTGACATCATTTTGATTGAATTTGAGTTGCTTTGTGTATCACCAAATGTGCTTGATGACTACTGCAACACTGCTCACTGCATCCAAGTTGCTTGACATAGGCGTTTTAGAGCTGTCAGTCAAGGCAAGCTCATGAATATAAACTCCCTGCCCACTCACCCTGTCTTTTCAAACTTCCTGGTCTTTAGCCATGAAAGAAAAAGTAATTTTTCTAAAAGTTTTACCATTTCTATCCAAAACAAATATTATGGGTGATACTTTAGTCACTCAAGATGCTATTTTACATGGGAATCAGAATGACTGTTCGTGACCTTTAATGTTAACTACTTATTTGAATACAGTATAATCATAGGAGTGCATGCATAATTGATATTCAGCCGCGTGCCCTTACTTGTCTCTGGATGTCCCGCACGCGCTGGTCGTGCTGTTTAGGAGCGGAACACATCTTGAAGATGAGCCACGCGCGCAGGTAATAATATACATCAAATATGACTGAGAGCGGCAGCAGAAACAGACAAACGAAAATCCATCTCTGATGAACGATCACGTAGTCTAAGCCTTTCACCTTGATCCACAACAGAAAGAGGACTACCAGTCCACCAAGATACAGCAAAGGATCCATCCTTCCTGCTCTGTTGGTCTACGGGCCTGATGATGGTCTAGTGGGACTTTTCCAGAGAGAAAAGCCCTTCTACGAACAATCGATCTTCTATGACCTTTAGTTGATTGCGAGCGATGCAAGATTTCTAAGCTTCTGCTTTTAAAATCCAATACAGATTATTTATGCCAACACTTACACACATAAATAGGTGTGTAAATATTGAAGTTAGAATCCAGCCACTCCTGTCGTTTTCTCTGATATGCGAGTCTGGCTGGATGGTCGGCTAGCCCCGCCTCTGGCCGGCGCTCATTGGCCAACAACGCGTCAATCGGGATGACTCCAGTTGCTGTGTCGGAGCGCTTCGTCCAATCAGAGAGCAGAAAGCTCGTCACACCATTCCCTCCCTGCCCATGCCTTCATTACCATACAACAGTTAAGTAATACATTTTAGTCATTTAGCAGACGCTCTTATCCAGAGCGACTTACAGTTAGTGAGTGCATACATTATTTATTTTTCATACTGGCCCCCCGTGGGAATCGAACCCACAACCCTGGCGTTGCAAGCGCCATGCTCTACCAACTGAGCTACACGGGCCCCGTGAAAGGCTAATACAGTGGATACATGATATAAGTCAATAAAACTTTGTAAAACTAATAAACCAAAAAACTCAACTAATATTAAACTAGGCCTACAGTGTTTCAATATCCTATTGTATGCATGATACAATTATTAAACTGTATGAAAAACATTATATTAATTAAACTATAGCAAACTATTATAACTTCCATATAATTGCAAAAAAAAATTTTTTTCACCTTTATTTAACCAGGTAAGCCAGTTGAGAACAAGTTCTCATTTACAACTGCGACCTGGCCAAGATAAAGCAAAGCAGTGCGATAAAAACAACACAGAGTTACATATGGGGTAAAAAACATAAAGTCAAAAATACAACAGAAAATATATATACAGTGTGTGCAAATGTAGCAAGTTATGGAGGTAAGGCAATAAATAGGCTATAGTGCAAAATAATTACAATAGTATTAACACTGGAATGCTAGATGTGCAAGAGATTATGTGCAAATAGAGATATTGGGGTGCAAAAGAGCAAAATAAATAACAATATAGGGATGAGGTAGTTGGGTGGGCTAATTTCAGATGGGCTGTGTACAGGTGCAGTGATCGGTAAGGTGCTCTGACAACTGATGCTTAAAGTTAGTGAGGGAGATAAGAGTCTCCAGCTTCAGAGATTTTTGCAATTCGTTCCAGTCATTGGCAGCAGAGAACTGGAAGGAATGGCGGCCAAAGGAGGTGTTGGCTTTGGGAATGACCAGTGAGATATACCTGCTGGAGCGCAGACTACGGGTGGGTGCTGCTATGGTGACCAATGAGCTAAGATAAGGCGGGGATTTGCCTAGCAGTGATTTATAGATGGCCTGGAGCCAGTGGGTTTGACGACGAACATGTAGTGAGGACCAGCCAACAAGAGCGTACAGGTCACAGTGGTGGGTAGCGTATGGGGCTTTGGAGACAAAACGGATGGCACTGTGATAGACTACATCCAATTTGCTGAGTAGAGTGTTGGAGGCTATTTTGTAAATGACATCGCCGAAGTCAAGGATCGGTAGGATAGTCAGTTTTACGAGGGCATGTTTGGCAGCATGAGTGAAGGAGGCTTTGTTGCGAAATAGGAAGCCGATTCTAGATTTAACTTTGGATTGGAGATTCTTTATGTGAGTCTGGAAGGAGAGTTTACAGTCTAACCAGACACCTAGGTATTTGTAGTTGTCCACATACTCTAGGTCAGACCCGTCAAGAGTGGTGATTCTAGTCGGGTGGGCGGGTGCCAGCAGCGTTCGATTGAAAAGCATGCATTTAGTTTTACTAGTGTTTAAGAGCAGTTGGAGGCTACTGAAGGAGTGTTGTATGGCATTGAAGCTCGTTTGGAGGTTTGTTAACACAGTGTCCAATGAAGGGCCAGATGTATACAAAATGGTGTCGTCTGCGTAGAGGTGGATCTGAGAGTCACCAGCAGCAAGAGCGACATCATTGATATACACGGAGAAAAGTGTCGGCCCAAGAATTGAACCCTGTGGCACCCCCATAGAGACTGCCATAGGTCCAGACAACAGGCCCTCCGATTTGACACACTGAACTCTATCTGAGAAGTAGTTGGTGAACCAGGCGAGGCAGTCATTTGAGAAACCAAGGCTATTTAGTCTGCCAATAAGAATGCGGTGGTTGACAGAGTCGAAAGCCTTGGCCAGGTCGATGAAGACGGCTGCACAGTACTGTCTATTATCAATCGCGGTTATAATATCGTTTAGGACCTTGAGCGTGGCTGAAGTGCACCCATGACCAGCTCGGAAACCGGATTGCATAGCGGAGAAGGTACGGTGGTATTCGAAATGGTCGGTGAACTGTTTGTTAACTTGGCTTTCAAATACTTTCGAAAGGCAGGGCAGGATGGATATAGGTCTGTAGCAGTTTGGATCTAGAGTGTCACCCCCTTTGAAGAGGGGGATGGCCGCGGCAGCTTTCCAATCTCTGGGGATCTCAGACGTTATGAAAGAGAGGTTAGTAGTTATAACTATCATATAGCCAGAAAATAAAAATATACAGATTATTAGGATACATGAAACCTGTGTGAATACAGTGTGAATACATCCTTAAATATCCATAGTTAACTATTACTCTGAAATCAAACTGGATAAATAATACCATATACCCTATCCATACAGTGAGGTAGGTTTGGATACATAGCTTTAGCCACATCTATGAACTGTCACAGTGACATGAGCCGTGCTTGACTTGGGCAGGAGGAGCTCACCGGAGCTGAGTACCGGCACCTCAAATGTTCTACTGCTTGAGCTCCTGTTCCTCTTATAGAATAGTATCTCAAAAGTATTGTGGAGCTCCTGCACCTAAATATAAACAGTACCGGCACCCAAAAATGAGTACCGGCACCTATTTCAGTCCAAGTCAAGCACTGGCACAGGAGGGAATTCTGACTGATTGGTTTCAGTTTAATTCACTTTCAATTGTTGGGTCATATGAAAAGGAGTGAACATGGGAACACACATACACCCAGGCATGCAAACATGCACACACATGAATGGAGCATTACTAGGCTGGTGAGTTGTACACACACATTAGACAGAGGGTGGGGCGCCAGTAATTAATGGGCTCTGCTGTCAGCTCGTCCGTCTCTCCAGCCCGGAACACACACACCACACACTAATTCTCTCTCTTTCTCTCTCTCTCACTCTCACTCTCACTCAGCACTCCCGGACGATTCTCTCCTGCTTTCAGTGTCTTCATCTAAGAAACTGTATGATATTGACAATTTTTTATGTGAGCCTCTGGATATCATTTGAAAATGGGTCTCTATTATTCTAAAAGAAATGGATAGAGATCACCTCATCTTTTGTCTTAATTTCATCATCCTGTCTGGAAGGGACAAAAGAAAACCAACGTTTCATCCATTTTATTTTTATTTCTACTACTGTACCTGAAGATAATGGGACTCTGTGGGAAGTTTTTAAACTTTAACTCTCCTTTAACTTCAAATCCATTCGTCATCTTTGCTTCTTGAATCAAAATAACCCACGCGGACCTGGGAACCACACTTGGAATGGGACCTGGTCCCATGGAACTGACCGGGACAGAGCACGCTAACAGGGGTTAGGATTATTTACCAGGGGGTAACTCCACCGGGAAGACCATCCCCGGGGGTCCCAGAGAGAGGGAGATGCCTTCCCTGAACCACAGAAACTAACACACACACAAACCTCATCCCCGGGGGTCCCAGAGCGATGCCTTCCCTCCACCACGGAGCCATCTTCCTCGGAGTCTTTCTCATCGCGACAGGCGGCTCCACTGCCTTTCTCACCTCCTCACAGGTGGGTACTATAAAGAAATACAATGTACAATCTATTATTATTACTGTTATGATTATGGTTAATATTAAAATAATGTTATTTATTATTATTACAGAGCCGCCTGCAGGCGTTTTCTCTGTGCTGTGTGGTGCTGGGAGCAGTCATGCTGATCCTGGGGCTTCTCTGGGCCATGAGTAACAAGCACCACGTCGAGTACAGCCAGGGAGAGTACCCCAACTTCCCCCAATACCCCCACCAGGGAGAATACCCCAACTATCCCTACCCACACCCAGACCTCAACTACCCTGGCCGGTATACCCATCCTGACTTGGGACACATCCTCTTCAGCCCCCGTGGTCCTGTTGGACGCTTCCCAGAGTCCCAGTCAGCCCTACTGCAGAGGTAACACATCCCTCTTGAATTGTTATTGTTGAATTTCAAGTGCATAAAAGGTCAATTAAAGGTTACAACGCACTGTGCATGTCCTGTAAGTGTGTGTGTGTGTGTTTGTGTCTAGGACCGAGCACCAGCAGCAAGGTGTGTATGGGGCTAATGATGTGGACTACCCCCCACTCAGCCCCCCCTCCCGCTACCCCCCCGGGCTGGGCCCCCCACCTCCCTACGAGGTCGCCATAAAGACCACCTGTAGCTCCACCCACCTGCGCCGCGCCTACTCAGACACACACCTGGCCTCGGAACCCCTGTTTGGCCGATCACGGGAGATCAGCTTTGAGGTGTGACATAACCTCAGACAGGCCCACACACTGCCTCCACCCACCACACTGGATGAGGAATACTGTGGCCACACCCTTCACTCAGGCTCTTCCAATCAACTGTCAGCCCAGAGGAAAAGGCAGGAATAGGAGATGGCCCTAAAGCCCTGCATATATCTGTCTGTCTTCAACAACCTGTAGTTTAGCATGTTTTCACAAGCTGCCTTCTAAATGAGACAAACACATTTTCAAATATTTCAAATACTTTACCTGTGCTTGCTTGAGTTTGACTGGTGCAAAGGAACCGATGGAATAGCTCAAAAGTGCAAACCACACTCAATGTCCGCAGTGCCTCTCCCTGTCTCCGCTAGCTCTTTACAGTATATGCATGTGTAACAGAATATAAAAGTTAAATAAAAATAGTTTGAATACTTGAATTGATGTCATGTCATCTAGTAGTCCTTTTGAAATCAAGATGTGAGAAATCCAAATGTGATACATTAATGTGTCTACGAGGACATCTAGTGGTCAGTCGACATGCTAGACAACTAAAACCCTACAAATACAACATCCCGCCCCTTCTGAAGGGTTTTGTCTAGAAGGGCTACAGCTTTAGTCCAAATGGACTTTTCTTAGCAGGTTTAAAGGCGCTGCATGGTACATCTGTCGTCTGCATTTGCCGTGCAGCGTTTACGGTGATACGGCCTCTGCCGAAATCAGGGCATTCCTACTTCTTGTGCTGCGCGGAGCAGCGTAGAGCTGTTATGAAGTAAGTTGTCAAGGAAGTGAGTTTGTGTTTATACAGGACCTCCCGCCCGCACCTACCGTCAACCAATCATGTCAATGCATTGCTCTATACAGCGCTATATGGACCCCCCTCCACGTTACAACATTTGGGAGGCGCATGGCGATGTGGTATGGAGCTCAATTTTGCCTCTGCATGACTCCGGAGGGCCCGCATTGCGTCAAACCCTCCATATGGTGTCTCCTACCACATTTTCAGATCAAGCATAAATATGCTTTTAGGAGAATTTACGCAGCGGTTTAGGATCATTAATGTTGCAGGTTGTGATAATTTGGTTAAGTTTAGGAAAAGGGTTAACTAAAATACAAAAAACAATATTCACTTTTGACGTCAGATTTGACAAAAGCTGTATCCCATCTAGACATGACCCTTAAAGGCTCTGCATGGTCAATCTGTAACACCTGATGATCCACCTGTTCTGCCACAAGGAGAATGTAGTGTGTAGAAACAGGCTCCACATACACAATCAGCCCAGATATTTATCTCCTTGGCTGATTAATGATTAAATGATGGTACTTTATAAATGCACATATTGTTATTCTGTGCAATTTGGTTGTTTAAGACTATGAATTTAGGAATTACATTCCAGGGGCCTCATTTATCAATAATGCATAGGCACAAATATGTGCGTAAACCATGTGTGGGATCATTTCCACGCAAAGTGTGAGATTTATCAATATGAAAGTTGGATTGAGTGTTCACAAATTTAAGCACAGCCATGACCATGCATATGCACAGTGCCAAGTGGTGGAATAAGGGAACTGCTTGTCAAGCGTAGAATGGGGAAATATATGTTGAAAATGTGTGAAGTTAGGAGAGTAATCATTAAATCATTTTTCAATTTCATTGTATTTCCATTGTGAATTCATGCAACATACACTACATTTTTTTTATTTTACCTTTATTTAACTAGGCAAGTCAGTTAAGAACAAATAATTTTTTACAATGACGGCCTACCCCGGCCAAACCCGTGGTCCTCTGTAGCTCAATTGGTAGAGCATGGCGCTTGTAACGCCAGGGTAGTGGGTTCGCACCGCCCTCCCAATCACAGCCAGATGTGATACAGACTGGAATCAAACCAGGGTCTGTAGTGAAGCCTCTAGCACTGAGATGCAGTGCCTTAGACTGCTGCGCCACTCGGGAGCCCCATGACACCTGCTCGTCAAACATCTCATTCCAAAATCATGGGCATTAATATGGAGTTGGTCCCCCCTTTACTGCGAGTGGCGCAGCGCTCTAAGGCACTGCATCTCAGCACTTGAGGCGTCACTACAGACCCCCTGGTTCGATTCCAGGCTGTATCACAACCGGCCGTGATTGGGAGTCCCATAGGGCAGCGCACAATTGGCCCAGCGTCGTCCGGGTTTGGCCGGTGTAGGCCGTCATTGTAAATAAGAATTTGTTCTTAACTGACTTGCCTAGTTAAATAAAGGTTAAATAAAAAAAAAAATATAAAAAAAATAACAGCCTCCATTCTCCTGGGAAGGCTTTCCACTAGATGTTGGAACATTGCTGCGGGGACTTGCTTCCATTCAGCCACAAGAGGATTATTGAGGTTGGGCACTGATTTTGGGCGATTAGGCCTGGCTCGCAGTCAGCGTTCCAATTCATCCCAAAGGTGTTCGATGGGGTTGAGGTCAGGGCTCTGTGCAGGCCAGTCAAGTTCTTCCACACCGATCTCGACAAACAATTTCTGTATGGACCTCACTTTGTGCACAGGGGCATTGTCATGCTGAAACAGGAACGGGCCTCCCCCAAACTGTTGCCAAAGTTGGAAGCGCAGAATGTAATTGTATGCTGTAGCATTAAGATTTCCCTTCACTGGAACTAAGGGGCCTAGCCCGAACCATGTCTAGCTCAAACCAGGACTGCCAGATTGTGAAGCGTGATTTATCACTCGAGAGAACTCATTTCCACTGCTCCAGAGTCCAATGACAGCGAGCTTTACACCACTCTAGCCGACGCTTGGCATTGCGCATGGTGATCTTAGGCATGTGTGCGGCTGCTCGGCCATGGAAACCCATTTCATGAAGCTCCTGACGAAGTTCTTGTGCTGACATTGCTTCCAGAAGCAGTTTGGAACTCGGTAGTGAGTGTTGCAACCAAGGACAGATTATTTTTACGCGCTACATGCTTCAGCACACGGAGGTCCCTTTCTGTGAGCTGTGTGGCTTACTACTTCCCGGCTGAGCCGTTGTTGCTCCTAGAAGTTTCCACTTCACAATAACAGCACTTACAGTTGACAGGGGCAGCTCTAGCAGGGCAGAAATTAGATGAACTTACTTGTTGGAAAGGTGGCATCGCATCCTATGACTGTGCCATGTTGAAAGTCACTGAGTTCTTCAGTAAGACCAATCTACTGCCAATATTTGTCTATGGAGATTGCATGGCTGTGTGCTCGACTTTATACACCTGTCAGCAACAGGTGTGGCTGAAATAGCCTAATCCACTAATTTGAAGGGGTGTCCACATACTTTTGTATATATAGTGTATATTGTCCTGCTATAGGCTATAATTTGACCACATCAGTGCATTTGTTTAGATAATAATCCATATAAAATAGGTAATTTGTTAGGGGTAGGCCTGTGTGTCAAACTGAAACCATTGTTGAAATACTATAAAATACTGAGATAATGGGAAATCGAATGAGAGATGGTTGATCTTGCTGTTGGAAGATTTGGCACACGCTGCATTTCTCAGAGAGCTCGTTTTTAGAAACTGGTGGGAGTCTTTCTGCAAAATACAGATTGGCTAATCAGACATCGTTTCCCAAAACCAATTTTATAGAATTTTTGCTGGGATTTAAGACCTACTTTAAAAAGGCAAACGCATGCCATTCCGGTGCACATCCAAGTGCTATCCACAACAGGCACTTTTCAGCGGGAGCTTGCTGATAGGCATCTCACAGCCGCGATGAGCCAATGTTTTGTATGCAATCATCAGCAAAACGAACAGTAACACATCCCATTTGCATACACCATCGCACAACAGGTTGAAGTCAAGAGGGGTTTTCTTTGCCATGATGCCATCGATGGGTTCCCAAATATGATCAGAGCAATAGACGGCACCCACATAAAATATATCCCAAAACGATTTAAACTATGTGAACAGAGGGTTTCCACGCTTAGGTGATAGGTTATGTTACGCGCAAAAAGACGCTGCTGAATGTGGTCGCCAGGTGGAACGCACGACTCGTTCATTCTACAGAACAGCAATGTTAGCATGTTTTTATTTTTACTGGTCAAGCCACAACTGAGCGAGCCAAATAAAACATTTTGGTTGAACTCAATCTCTTACACTAGCACATTTATTTCAGTCTAGGAAAAGTTGTTTTTTTCTTCGCTTTTTTTGGTTGCGTGTTGTATTTAATGGCACGACGTTGTATATTCCCCATGGGCTATAAAGGGATGATTTTGACCATATATGGTTAATTAGGGGCGTTTCGAAATGCAACTAGCCAAGGTCGTGCACAAGCAGAGGCAAAGAACAATTGGTATGTTTTCCTGGTATCTCTTACTGGTGTGCGTATAACGCTCGTAGGATTGTTTGATAAATCACACTTTTCCTATGCGTATGAACGTTCTAAATTCCGTTCGTAAGTAGTATTTTAGAATAGTTTCTACGCAACATTGATAAATGAGGCCCCAGGTTAGGCTATCTTTCGAACAACACATGCTGGTAATAAAAACTGACTGGCCAGTCAATCATCACAGTTTAATCATTTAAAATTATAGGTTTGCTTGTTCACTGAAACATGCTGAACCAAAGTGTTCTGCTTCAGAGATAATAACATACTGTGCAACTAATTTAAAACTAGTCTATGGATAATTAATTACACCACACAATAGGAATGGCATCTCTCCCCCCACAGCGTCGTCTAGTTAAATCAACAGCCAGACCTCTGACAAAACACTGACGATATCCAGATCTTTCTCTTCTCCGCCACTGCCCTGCCCCACCCCCTCCCTGTCTCCCTCCCCCTCTCTCTGTCTTTCTCCTTTACTCTTACCGTCACCGAATACAATTCAGAAACCGACTTCCTTTGACCACGCGCAGAACGGGGCTGTGTGACTACCGGGGGCGAGTGTCCTGCCCTGCCCTGCCCAACCCAACACAAATTCAATGTCGACCGTGATGTAACGTTATAACGGATTTAAAGGATCTATCAGGATTACCTCTGGCAAAGCAAGCGGGATGAGTTTTAAATGATAGTCTCGGTCGAGTAGAATATTTTGATTCTTGAGATTCTTAATTTTTGTTTAGATAACAATCACAACCCAGCATGCCACATGGAAAGCATAAAGGAAGTGAAACTAGTTGAGGAATAGAGGAGTAAAAAGACAACGGAGAGGTTTAGAAACTAAATAATCATCTCCTTCCTTTATCCCCGGCTGGGCAGCTGGAAGCCTCTTCAGAAGGTAAAGTAGTGAGATGGTATGCGCCTAGTTCAATCAACAAGTGATCATCTGATAACTCTCTACCCCTCTTCTTTGTTCTTTTTTTTTCATTTACATTTTTATCTTTCTCTCAATTTAAATTAACTTTAAAGGGCTTTATTGGCATGGGCAACATGTGTACATTGCCAAAGCAAGTGAAATTGACAAGAAACAAAAGGGAAATAAACAATAAAAAATGAACAGTAAACATTACACTCACTCATCTCTTTCTCGCTCTCTCTCTCCTGCAGATTGTGTATGATGGTGTGATGGTGTTGGTGGAGGAGTGTGGAGGTGTGTGTGAGCCAAGTCAGGGGGTAGCCCCAGGCAGACAGGGGGAGAGAAGGAGGCCATCTCCCCAGGGTGTGCTGCTATCTCTAGGCTTGGTGATGATGGTAGGAGGGTGCAGCATTCTAGCTGTGTGTGTGTTTATTACCAACATAACATGTTAACTAAGTTGTATGTAGATGGTGTCCTGGCTTACTGTGTGTGTGTGTGTGTGTGTGTGTGTGTTTTATTTCTTTTATTTAACCTTTATTTAACTAGGCAATTCAGTTAAGAACAAATTCTTATTTACAATAACGGCCTACTGTGTGTAGGTAGTAGGGGGGTTCCTGACTCTGCAAGGTCCAGCCCTCTGGCTGGGGGTGCTGATGGCTGTTACCGGAGCAACACTGACCATCGCGGGACTCTGTATTGTCATGACAACGCTACAGGTGTTGGATGTACCTGGACACTTCCTGTTACACCCCCGCACAGGAACACGCTACAGCCCACACCAGGCCCTGGCCATCCAGAGGTAAACACACACACACACAGGGCTGTTACGGGCTGTAATACCGCCACACCGGCAGTCATGAGTCATTACCGCAGTAAAATTCCACGTGACCGTTGAGTCATGGTAATCTCCTCTTATGCACTCCTTGTGTTATTGTCTATTTTTCTATTATTTATTGGGGGGGTTTCTCTGCATTGTTGGGAAGGGCCCGTAAGCATTTTACTGTTAGTCTTCACCTGTTGTTTACGAAGCATGTGACAAACAACATTGTATTTGATTCGATTTGATTTTACATGCATTGGTAGGACCCAACACACTAACGACCATCAGGTCCTAATGGCCTGGTACTCTATTGTACCTCTAAACACTCTGATATCAATGCAAATGCAATCGAAAATCACATCAAACTCATCATCAAAACAGTATTGTGCTTTTAAAACTCACCTCACTGTGATTGATACATTTGAAGAAAGAAGTTCAACAACGGGTTGAAACTGAGTGGAAAACATGGTTCTTGTGGATGTGGTTTCAAAGCTTAACACAACAAAATGGACAGCCCTTTTTACGGTGATGATTAATTCAAAACACCAATACGCATATTAGAGCTTATGCATACACATAGGCCTATATATGAGCCCAAGCCTGAACCCCCCCCCCCCCCAAATTAAAATAATGATTGTGCCGTTCGTTATACAATACATAGCCTACTGCATATTACGCACGGCAGAAAAACATACAACTAAACAGATTTAAGATGTCTTTGGTACATAATTGTTCTAGCCAATACTCCAAAATCAAACAAATTCCAGTAATCGCCTTTGAGTGTGGACTGTATTATTATGCATACTGGATGGACTGGTTACCTTATGCTACACTCCAAAGTTTCTATTCATGAGTCTAGGAGAGAACGTATAGGCCTAGGCGATGCTGTTGGTTAATTGATTGTGCAGGGTGGCTTACAGAGTTAGCCTACAATTATAGTGAATTTGTATTGGATTTTGCATAGCATATTAATAGGACATTTTCCTTTCTCGAGCGCGCAGAGGGGCTGTCAACAGTTTAATGAAATATGTTTCGTTGTGAAAACATGTTACGAACAGATTTCACTTGGTTTCCCAAATTAAGCACTGGGTAGCTGCAGGAACAGGGTTTGAGAGCCCATGGCATACAGAGTTTGGGGCGGAATATCCCCTGTCGCGCAGCGAGACGCTGCATGCGCCTCAAACAGTGGTTGATGCAAAGATTAAAATAACCCAAGTAGCTTACCCTTCATGATTGAAAAACAAACCTGCGGGAATGTGTCCTCCATTCGCTATTTGAGTGCATACAGAGTGAATGTATTTTTTCCTCTGCCCGTTCCTGCCCATTTGATAATGGGCCATTCTAAATCGAAACTAATTTTACATTTACATTACATTTTAGTCATTTAGCAGACGCTCTTATCCAGAGCGACTTACAGTGCATACATTTTCATACTGGCCCCCCGTGGGAAACGAACCCACAACCCTGGCGTTGCAAGCGCCATGCTCTACCAACTGAGCTACAGGGGACTTTACATATTAGTAAAGACAAGATTCAATTGAGAATAGTCTGATGGTTGAAAATATGACCACTTGATGAGAGAACAGTGTGCAGCCTGAGGCAAGGAACAGAGCACAAGCGTTTTTTGTAATTTTCTCAAATCATCAATAGCCTATAGTCGCATCATGCAGCCCATATATGTTCTGATTTCTAAGACATTCTAAGGTTTGTATCATTCACAACTAAAGTTGCCATATAACTCTAAATCTAGTGTATATAGGACCTGTTTCAAATGATCACTTTTACGCTCAACATAGCCACTTCATATGCGCACTCACTCCGGAATGGGGAAAAATATCCTTTCTATTTTATTCAGCTATTATCAATTATATTCTTCTTACTATAAAATCATATAATATAAAATAATGGCATGGACTTATAAGCATATCTTATCTGCTAAATGAACAAGCCTACAGCCTATGGCATGGCGCATAGCCAGATAACATACATTAGGCCGATTCCTATTCTGTTATTCTGAAATATATTTTCTTCATATCATAATGTTCTTTAGACCTGACTACAATAAATAATGGATTTATTGCGATGGTGTATATTAAATTGATTTATTATACTTTTTAAAATGTAGATGTTCAAAAGGCGCGCATCAGCGGCTTGTATGCGTGAAGGCCTGGAGATGCTAAACGTGTTTATGTTCATTAACAGTCAATTACAGTGGACAGGATGGACAGGAGACTAGGAAAGGATTCTAGGAAACAAGGAAAGAATGCAATATGAGCAACATGGGAGTTTGTCACTATATGTCGAAATACTTTATAATCCTTCTCTCTCTCCCAAGGAGGTTAGACCGGATACGTAGGGAGATGTCAGAGGACTCTGTGCGTGTGCCCCCCTCTCTACACCTCCCCTTGCCCCCTACCCCTCCTCCCTGGGACCTGGAGGCACCCCCCTCCTACGACTCTGTCATGAAGAGCCGGGGTCCTTCTGACCTCTGAGGGCTAGGATGGGACTACTGTTCTGTGTCTATGGACTATTCCCTTGCTGCCATTACACAATGAGCTAAATCAAGCACACTTGTGCTGGGAGAGACATTGTTCTGGAATGGAGGGGATCGCAGAGGCTGTAAGGGGTTGAGCCCACCGACATTGTTTACATACTTGTTTGAAGGAGTGTCTTATAATGCTACTATTAAGACTACTAAAGCGTAATACACTGTGCTCCTATAGCCATTTGTTGTTGTTGCTGTCACTTTTTACCATAAGACCGCCCAGCAGCCATATATTTTGACTTTGTGGCATCGTGCTACACCAGGCGACGAGCCCAGCACCCCGCCAGCACTAAGCCTTCACTACCAGTCTCAATGGAGAACCCAGCCTTTAAAACCCCAATCTGACTTTCTTGCGGCCTTGGACTCCATTAGCTGTGTGTGCTGTGAATGTTGAGGGAGTTAAGTCTCATTCCCTAGTGTGAGTGAGAAGGTGTGTTTGTGTGTGTGTATGTGGGAGTGAGTGCATGTGTGTGCATGCGATAGAGCAAGTGTGTGTGTGTGCTTCTGTGGTCTTGTATGCACCACTGATTCTCTTTTTTGACAATGTAATAACATCAGGACAGAGATGATTTCAACCAGAAGTGCCTTGTTGTTACAGTAGTAGATGCTTGTTGTAACAGTTTTTTTTATCTCTCTCTCTCTCTCTGCCACACTGCTGCATGTTTCTATCAAATGTTGCACTTCATGTTTTAATGTGATGTCATGATCAACTTTAGTAAATTAATATCCATAGATCTCTGAGTGGTTTGTGTCTCAGTTGTGAGTGTTAAAGTATTGTTATAGCATACAGTGCATTCGGAAAGTATTCACACCCCTTGACTTTTTCTCCATTTTGTTATGTTACAGCCTTATTCTACAATGGATTAAATAGTCCCCCCCCTCATCAATCTACACATAATACCCCATAATGACAAAGCAAAAAAAGATTTGTAGACATTTTTGCAAATGTATAAAAACCCCCCCTGGAAATATCACATTTACATAAGTATTCAGACCCTTTACTCAATACTTTGTAGAAGCACCTTTGGCAGCGATTACAGCCTCAAGTCTTCTTGGGTATGACGCTACAAGCTTGGCACACCTGTATTTGGGGAGTTTCTCCCATTCTCTGCAGATCCTCTCAAACTCTCAGGTTTGATGGGGAGTGTCGCTGCACAGCTATTTTCAGGTCTCTCCAGAGATGTTCGATCGGGTTCAAGTCCGAGCTCTGGCTGGGCCACTCAAGGACATTCAGAGACTTGTCCCGAAGCCACTCCTGCGTTGTCTTGGCTGTGTGCTTAGGGTCGTTGTCCTGTTGGAAGGTGAACCTTCGCCCCAGTCAGAGGTCCTGAGCGCTCTGAAGCAGGTTTTCATCAAGGATCTCTCTGTACTTTACTCCATTCATCTGTCCCTCGATCCTGACTAGTCTCCCAGTCCTTGCCGCTGAAAAACATCCCCACAGCATGATGCTGCCCCCATCATGCTTCACCGTAGGGATGGTGCCAGGTTTCCTCTAGATGTGACGCTTTGCATTCAGGCCAAAGAGTTCGATCTTGGTTTCACCAGATCAGAGAATCTTATTTCTCATGGTCAGAGTCCTTTCGGTGCCTTTTGGCAGGCTCCAAGCAGGCTGTCATGTGCCTTTTACTGAGGAGTGGCTTCCGTCTGGCCACTCTACCATAAAAGCCTGATTGGTGAAGTGCTGCAGAGATGTTTGTCCTTCTGGAAGGTTCTCCCATCTCCACAGAGGAACTCTGGAGCTCTGTCAGTGTGACCATCGGGTTCTTGGTCACCTCCCTGACCAAGGCCCTTCTCCCCCGATTGCTCAGTTTGGCTGGGCAGCCAGCTCTAGGAAGAGTCTTGGTGGTTCCAAACTTCTTCCATTTAAGAATGATGGAGGCAACTGTGTTTTTGGGGACCTTCAATGCTGCAGACATTTTTTGGTACCCCTCCCCAGATCTGTGCCTCAACACAATCCTGTCTCTGAGCTCTACGGACAATTCCTTCGACCTCATGGCTTGGTTTTTGCTCTGATGTGCACTGTCAACTGTGGGACCTTTATATAGACAGGTGTGTGCCTTTTCAAATCATGTCCAATCAATTGAATTTACCACAGGTGGACTCCAATCAAGTTGTAGAAACATCTCAAGAGTGATCAATGGAAACAGGATGCACCTGAGCTCAATTTCGAGTCTAATAATAATAATAATAATAATATGCCATTTAGCAGACGCTTTTATCCAAAGCGACTTACAGTCATGCGTGCATACATTTTTGTGTATGGGTGGTCCCGGGGATCGAACCCACTACCTTGGCGTTACAAGCGCCGTGCTCTACCAGTTGAGCTACAGAGGACCATAGAGTCTCATAGCAAAGGGTCTGAATACCTATGTAAATAAGGTATTTCTGTGTAGTTTTCACTTTGTCATTATGGGGTATTGTGTGTAGATTGATGAGAAAACATTTTAATTTAATCAATTTTAGAATAAGGCTGTTACGTAACAACATGTGGAAAAAGTGAAGGGGTCTGAATACTTTCCGAATGCACTGTAAGTTTGCTCAGTTTCTTGTTCTGTTCTAACCTCAGTTACACTTGAAGTAAATGCTTTATCAAGGAGAGTGAGATGAAGGGGAGAGGAAAATAGGACGGTGGAGAATGAGGAGCTGTGGGCCTCCTAGCAGAGGCACCCTTTGAGACTTCTCCCATTCATCTCTCTCCTTGAGAAAGCATTTACTTCAAGTAGAACTGGAGGTAGGACAAGGTGACCCACCACTGGCCACCACACACACACACGTTTTATTATTCTTGTGGGGACCAAACAATTGATTCCCATTCAAAATCATATTTTCACTAACCCCTACCTAACCCTAAACCTAACCCCTAAGCCTAAAATAGCCTTTTTCCTTGTGAGAACTGGCGAAATATCCCCACTTGTCAGAATTGTATTTGTTTAACTACACCACAAGGATAGTAAAACCACACACACAAAGTCTTGTATAACTGACCTTGTGGGGACAAACAATTCATTCCCTAACATAAATTCTAACCTTAACCCCCTAGAAATACCATTTGACCTTGTGGGGACTAACAAAATGTCCCCAGTTGGTCAAATGTTTGATTGTTTACTATTCTTGTGGGGACTTCTGGTACAAGTATAGTTAAACACATCCACACACACACACACACTTTACTCTGTCTGCAGGCTGTAATAACCAGCAGAGTGGAACACCGTTGCTGAATTACAAATCTTGAACCTCCCTCTCTCCTCCTCCTTCTCCTTCTCTCCCTCACCTTCAGTAGTATCTGACCCAGAGCATAACCTAGCCTTAGCTAAGCTACATACTAAGGTAGAGTGGGTTTGGGTCAGAGTTCATTGGTCAGGGTTAGGGTAGCAGCATGGCGGAGGGTAAGCCGTACCGGTATGGTCTGATCGCGGCGGGGATGTGTGTGTTGTTAGTCGGTCTGTTCGTTATGACTCAGGAGCGACCTCACATCTACGCAACAGTCTGCTCTCTGGGGATCACCATGATCATCCTCGGCACCGCATGGAGCCTCTGCCAGTGCTACCCTAAGGTAAGGACTGGTGTGTGTGTGTGTATGTTCAAGTTTAAATTTACCTTGGGGAGCCAGCCAATGCAAGTCTTCAGGTCTCAGGTAAGGTTACCCATCAAGCAATCACTGAACCACCTTACATCTGTGTATGAAAGAGATAAAGTGTTAGTGTGTGTGTGTTGAACAGGATGGTGGTTTGGACAACTGTGATTTATACTGAAACAAAAATATAAACGCAACATGTAAAGTGTTGGTCCCATGTTTCATGAGCTGAAATAAAAGATCCCCGAAATTTTCCATATGCACGTTTACATCCCTGTTAGTGAGCATTTCTCCTTTCCAAGATAATCAATCCACCTGACAGGTGTGTCATATCAAGAAGCTGATTAAACAACATGATCATTACACAGGTGCACCTTGGGCTGGGGACAATAAAAGACCACTCTAAAATGTGCAGTTTTGTCACACAACACAATGCCACAGATGTCTCAATTTTTGAGGGAGCGTACAATTGGCATGCCGACTGCAGAAATGTCCACCAGAGCTGTTGCCAGATAATTAAATGTTAATTTCTCTACCATAAGCCGCCTCCAATGTCATTTTAGAGAATTTGGCATTACATCCAACCGGCCTCACAACCGCAGACCACGTGTAACCACGCCAGCCCAAGACCTCCAAATCCTGCTTCTTCACCTGCGGAGGGGGAGGGGGGGTGCTAAGGAGTATTTCTGTCTATAATAAAGCCCTTTTGTGAGGAAAAACTAATTCTGATTGGCTGGGCCTGGATCCCCAGTCGGTGGGCCTACTCCCTCCCAGGCCCACCCATGGCTGTGTCCCTGCCCAGTCATGTGAAATCCATAGATTAGGGCCTAATGAATTTATTTGAATTTACTGATTTGCTTCTATGAACTGTAACTCTTTGAAATTGTAGCATTTATATTTTTGTTCAGTATAGCAGCAGTGTGTGTGGTCTGTCTCCACTCGGTCTCTCCCAGAGCCATAATAAACACAGAATGAGTGCGCATGGAATAATCAAACAGGGTCATTACACCTGTGTATTTCTGTGTGTCAGGTGGTGTTGATCTCTCAGAGCCTGGAGGAGAGGGGAGCAGAGGACAGCATGGATGCTGCTGCAGGGGAGATAAACACCAGGTACTGTATACACACACTCAGACTCCAGTAATACACTAATATGTAGTATTACTAGGAAGTAATGTGATCATGACTGTATATTGATGTGGAGCGTTGAGAGAAATGATAATTTTCTGGAGACTGACGTCTATCCCCCTTCTCTTTCAGTGTTTCACTTGCTGGTTTCCATGATAACAAGGTCAGCATACGTGGCCCTGCCCTGTCTGTTTCTGTCCCTCTGGTCCTCCAGCTCCACTCCTCCCACAGCTGTCCCATACTACACCTGGCTTGACCTGAAATAAACATTTTATGGATTTCATATTTTACTGTGATCACTCCTGCTTCACACAGACACAAAGAACAAGAAAGTTTACAAAAGGTTGTGCATTCCAGTTTATTATATATCAAATTTCCCCATAATCAAACTCTGATGTACAAATGAAAACTGGGTTTCAACATGCATGGTCCTGTCTCGACGGACTGGCCTTCAGCAGGAGTGATTCTCAAAGCAGAATGACAGACAGAATAAAAACCTGGATCCATGTCATTCCTTACCCCCCCTCCCTCCCTCCCTTAACCCCCTCCCTACACACCACAGATACAAATAAATGATTGATTGGTTGGTACTGTTCTGAGAAGTACTACAGGTGCAGTTGAGAGTCAAACTGAGCAGTAAGCTCTGTGAGTGAGGAGTGCTGTGTCACTGGCACACCAGACCTAGAACACCTAGAACACACCTGAAAGCTCTGACACAGCCTTCTAAGACAAGGACGAGGGCCCGGTCAGTCTGCTGGTCAATATGCAGCATGTTAACATTCACACACAGTTCATTAAAGCAAGTAATCTGTTGCCAGGTAGGGGATTGGGGTGAGGAGGGACAAGGATGAGAAGTGTGATGGGGAGGAGGGATGAGAGAGGTGAGGGGAGTTGGGAGATGAAGGCACTTGAATTCTCCCAGGAGTTGGGTTAGGTCAAGAGGTTAGTGGTCAGAGGTCCAGGTGGGGTGGAGTTTGGTGTCAGAGCTTAGGGGTCAGAGGTTATGCCCCTCTGTGTATCCAAAGGCAGACATGAACAGACAAATATAAACAAAGGCAAAAAACGAGAAACCCAGCGGGCAAATAATAATGATAAAGCACAGAGGGTACGCTGTGTACGTGTGTGTATAAGAGGGGGAAACAGTGTGTGTGTGTGTATTTCATTGGCACCCAAAGTAAAACTTGCTCCTGATCTCTCCTTGGCACGATGACCCCATCTCTGATGTTGTGTGTGTGTGTGTGTGTGTCACAGGGCAGCTGTGGTGGCATAAGGCATGAGTACAGTGATGTCAGGAGAAACCAGAAACAAATAAATTAAAATACCTAAAATCCAGCGCTGTGATTCAATGTAGGGGAGGGGAGGGGAGGAGAGAGCGCTGATTGGTTGGTTGGCTTGGTTCCGTTTGTGTTCTAGAACCCTCCGTAGACTGCGTTAGCCTAGATACCACTGTGGTTACTGGAGCAACAGACATAGCAGCGCGTTCTCTACAGTGGCATTGGCTGTGTGTATGTATGTGTGTGTAAAGCGCTAAAACCAAAAGAAAGATAGGTGTATGTGTGTGTGGAGGATGGTTAAGATGCTCTAGCGGACTTGATCACTATTGCTCTACTCCACTATAGACTGGGGTGGACTATAAAGTGCATACTTAAAAACCCTTGTTAAACGTATGTGTGTGTCTGAGTTCCTCCAGAGCAGGTTATACCGTGGCCTCACACATACACACCTCTACAGAGTGGAGCACAGGACACTTTAAAATATTATCTTACATTTGAAATTTCAGCTATGGAACAGATCTTTACAATAATGAATATGTCTGTTTAGTTACATTGGCAAATATGAGCAACAACTTACAAAACAAACCAACCCGTCCCTTCCTTGTGAGACAATAGTGGCTACATCTAAAATGACACCCTTATGCCTATATAGTATAGTACACTAGCTCTGTCACTGAACCTTTGGTCAAAAGTAGTGAACTACATAGGCAATAGGGTGACATTTCCAACTCAGCCAGTAAGAGAAGAATAAACTGTTCTGTAACCCATTAGTCTCGTCTCTAAACTCTCCTCCAGTTCTGATTCCATTAGTCTGGCCGGAAGTCACTCAAGATTTTTCACGCATCCTTCGTTGCTCCGCCGACCAGGCTGTAGCGGGCCACTCCCTCCATACTCTTGGCAATCAGAGGTGAAAAGCAGTCTTTTGATTGGCTGTCTGGAGCCTTCTCTCCATTGGAGGGATTGTGTCTGGTGGGAGGAGCTAAGGGTCGACATCCTCCAGATCACTCTTTGAATCACCTAGCATCATGGGAGACTCGGAACCCTGAGATAAAGAGAGTGGGGCGAGAGAGAGATTACAGGAGACGTGGCATTTCAGAGTAAAGAGATCTTTATAGAGTTTCTATGAAACCGATTCATACAAAACTCTCCAGCCAAGATTAGAGCCCAGCCCAGTCCTGAGAAGTGACAATACCCCTATTCTAGGACCGTTACTGAGCTCTTCATACTTGCTATGTCTCTGTGAAACACACTGCCGGACTGTGTGTGTGTACCTGTCGGAGGCTGCGGTCTGCGTTCTCGTTGGCTGGGCTGCCGTCAGAGCCGTTGCTGCTGCCAGACGGCTCCTTCTCGTTGAGCAGTGCTGTGGCGTAGGCCAGCGTGTCCTGGGCTGAGATGGTGCGCTGGAATGTTTTGGCTGTTGACGTCTCATTGGACACGTTGCTCTGAGGGGTCCAGTAGTGTTCCGACATCTGACAGAGAAACACACACTGTTACACAAACTCTCTCTCCTCTCACACACACACACACACACACAGTTGAAGTCGGAAGTTTACATAAACTTAGGTTGTCATTAAAACTCGTTTTTCAACCACTCCACAAATTTCTCGGTTAGGACATCTACTTTGTGCATGACACAAGTACTTTTTCCAACAATTGTTCACTTATAAATCACTATCACAATTCCAGTGGGTCAGAAGTTTACATACACTAAGTTGATTGTGCATTGGAAAATTCCAGAAAATTATGTCATGGCTTTAGAAGCTTCTGATAGGCTAATTGACATCATTTGAGTCTATTGGAGGTGTACCAGTGGATGTATTTCAAGGCCTACGTTCAAACTCAGTGCCTCTTTGCTTGTCATCATGGGAAAATCAAAAGAAATCAGGCAAGACCACAGAAAGAAAATTGTAGACCTCCACAAGTCTGGTTCATCCTTGGGAGCAATTTCCAAACGCCTGAAGGTACCACGTTCATCTGTATAAACAATAGTATGCAAGTATAAACACCATGGGACCACGCAGCCCTCATACCGCTCAGGAAGGAGACGCGTTCTGTCTCCTAGAGATGAACGTACTTTGGTGCGAAAAGTGCAAATCAATCCCAGAACAACAGCAAAGGACCTTGTGAAGATGCTGGAGGAAACAGGTACAAAAGTATCTATATCCACAGTAAAACGAGTCCTATAATCGACATAACCTGAAAGGCCACTCAGCAAGGAAGAAGCCACTGCTCCAAAACCGCCATAAAAAAGCCAGACTACGGTTTGCAACTGCACATGGGAACAGAGATCGTACTTTTTGGAGAAATGTCCTCTGGTCTGATGAAACAAAAATAGAACTGTTTGGCCATAATGACCATCGTTATGTTTGGAGGAAAAAGGGGATAGCTTGCAAGCCGAAGAATACCATCCCAACCGTGAAGCATGGGGGTGGCAGCATCATGCTGTGGGGGTGCTTTGCTGCAAGAGGGACTGGTGCACTTCACAAAATAGATGGCACCATGAGGAAGGAAAATGATGTGGATATATTGAAGCAACATCTCAAGACATCAGTCAGGAAGATAAAGCTTGGTCGCAAATGGGTCTTCCAAATGGAAAATGACCCCAAGCATACTTCCAAAGTTGTGGCAAAATGGCTTAAGGACAACAAAGTCAAGGTATTGGAGTGGCAATCACAAAGCCCTGACCTCAATCCTATAGGAAGTTGTTGGCAGAACTGAAAAAGCGTGTGCGAGCAAGGAGACCTACAACCTGACTCAGTTACACCAGCTATGTCAGGAGAAATGGGCCAAAATTCACCCCAACTTATTGTGGGAAGCTTGTGGATGGCTACCCGAAACGTTTGACCCAAGTTAAACAATTTAAAGGCAATGCTACCAAACACGAATTGAGTGTATGTAAACTTCTGACCCACTGGGAATGTGATGAAAGAAATACAGTGAGGGGAAAAAGTATTTGATCCCCTGCTGATTTTGTATGTTTGCCCACTGACAAAGACATGATCAGTCTATAATTTTAATGGTAGGTTTATTTCAACAGTGAGAGACAGAATAACAACAAAAAAATCCAGAAAAACGCATGTCAAAAATGTTATAAATTGATTTGCATTTTAATGAGGGAAATAAGTATTTGACCCCTCTGCAAAACATGACTTAGTACTTGGTGGCAAAACCCTTGTTGGCAATCACAGAGGTCAGACGTGTCTTGTAGTTGGCCACCAGGTTTGCACACATCTCAGGAGGGATTTTGTCCCACTCCTCTTTGCAGATCTTCTCCAAGTCATTAAGGTTTTGAGGCTGACGTTTGGCAACTTGAACCTTCACATATTTTCTATGGGATTAAGGTCTGGAGACTGGCTAGGCCACTCCAGGACCTTAATGTGCTTCTTCTTGAGCCACTCCTTTGTTGCCTTGGCCGTGTGTTTTGGGTCATTGTCATGGTGGAATACCCATCCACGACCCATTTTCCATGCCCTGGCTGAGGGAAGGATGTTCTCACCCAAGATTTGACGGTACATGGCGCCGTCCATAGTCCCTTTGATGTGGTGAAGTTGTCCTGTCCCCTTAGCAGAAAAACACCCCCAAAGCATAATGTTTCCACCTCCATGTTTGACGGTGGGGATGGTGTTCTTGGGGTCATAGCCAGCATTCCTCCTCCTCCAAACACGGCGAGTTGATTTGATGCCAAAGAGCTCGATTTTGGTCTCATCTGACCACAACACTTTCACCCAGTTCTCCTCTGAATCATTCAGATGTTCATTGGCAAACTTCAGACGGGCCTATATATGTGCTTTCTTGAGCAGGGGGACCTTGCGGGCGCTGCAGGATTTCAGTCCTTCACGGCGTAGTGTGTTACCAATTGTTTTCTTGGTGACTATGGTCCCAGCTGCCTTGAGATCATTGACAAGATCCTCCCGTGTAGTTCTGGGCTGATTCCTCATCGTTCTCATGATCATTGCAACTCCACGAGGTGAGATCTTGCATGGAGCCCCAGGCCAAGGGAGATTGACAGGTCTTTTGTGTTTCTTCCATTTGCGAATAATCGCACCAACTGTTGTCACCTTCTTACCAAGCTGCTTGGCGATGGTCTTGTAGCCCATTCCAGCCTTGTGTAGGTCTACAATCTTGTCCCTGACATCCTTGGAGAACTCTTTGGTCTTGGCCATGGTGGAGAGTTTGGAATCTGATTGATTGCTTCTGTGGACAGGTGTCTTTTATACAGGTAACAAACTGAGATTAGGAGCACTCCCTTTAAGAGTGTGCTCCTAATCTCAGCTCGTTACCTGTGTAAAAGACACCTGTGAGCCAGAAATCTTTCTGAGTCAAATACTTATTTCCCTCATTAAAATGCAAATAAATGTATAACATTTTTGACATGCGTTTTTGTTGTTATTCTGTCTCTCACTGTTCAAATAAACCTACCATTAAAATTATAGACTGATCATTTCTTTGTCAGTGGGCAAACGTATAAAATCAGCAGGGGATCAAATACAATTTTCCCTCACTGTAAAAGCTTAAATAAATCAATCATTCTCTCTACTATTATTCTGACATTTCACATTCTTAAAATAAAGTGGTGATCCTAACTGACCTAAAACAGAGAATTTTTACTAGGATTAAATGTCAGGAATTGTGAAAAACTGAGTTTAAATTTATTTGGCTAAGGTGTATGTAAACTTCTGACTTCAACTGTACACACACATACATACAGGTCTGAAATTGTGTGGGTGTTATATTGTGCTTGATGCTTGCCTTTTTCTGCAGCCACTGCACTGCCCAGCTCCAGTGACCAGACAGATCTTTAAAATAGTCCTTAGCAGGGGCACACCTGGAGTAAAGAGACACAAACACTTTATGTGAAACCAGGAAGTATGAAATGAGAGGTTTTTACTGAAAATGGTGGCGACATGAACATATTTCCCAGTCTCTGGAGGAACTCACTTCTGTGCCAGGGTAACCAGGAACTTGACACACTGGTAGCAGCGGCTGCTGTCCACGTTGTTACTCTGGTGCATCAATGCTGCAAACAAGAGAAGAGTCACACACACACACACTCTTTCCACATGCCTTAAGGCGTCCGCATGCTTCCCAGGCGAAACAGTTCGTGCATATATTATGATGACTTTTTGTGACTTTTTGTTCGTTTCGGACTTCGGTGAGTTTTTTTCCCCGGCTGTTCGGGCAACCACATTTTTTTTCTAGAGGCAAGCCGAAGTTCGGAGCCGAAGTCCACGCCCCTTCATCGGTGATTGGTCAACAGTAGGGATTCTTCAATAAAGTATTCTTTGTCATTCAACGAGAGACGACTCGTTTTCATTGAAAAACATTTTTAATTGAGAAATACTGCACCAAACACCTTAGTTAGATGTAAAATTGCGCGACTAAGATCTCCTTGGCAAAAACGTCAAAATCAATGATAGATTTCTTGAGTTATTTTAGATTACATTTGACTATTTTGAGGCTACGGCGTCTGAAAATGGACAAACAGTACTATTGCCGCTTTTTTCTTGTTTTTAAGAGAAAGTATTTTAAAGGAGTATGCAAGCACACTCGTTGGTTCGGCTAGCCGAGTTCGGCTAGGCACCAGACAAACTGAAGCATGCTGACGCCTTTCCACACACTCTCCACATGCCTTGCAAATACACACACTCTCCACACACACACCCTACCAGCGGAAGGTGGAAGATAGCCTACCTAGCAGGCCTTTCTCTGACTCAAAGGCGTACTTCAGTCTCTGGGTCTGGAGAGGGTCCTCCACCACCTGAGAACACACACGTTACACATGTATTACACTGCCTCAATTTGTCGGGAAATTGATTCTACAAGGTGTCAAAAGCATTCCACTGGCGCATGTTGACTCCAATGCTTCTCACAGTTGCGTCAAGTTGGCTGGATGTCCTTTGGGTGCTGGACCATTCTTGATACACGCGGGAAACTGTTGAGCATGAAAAACCCAGCAGCGTTGCAGTTCTTGACACACTCAAACTAGTGCACCTGGCACATACTACCATACCCCGTTCAAAGGCACTTAAATATTTTGTCTTGCCCATTTACCCTCTGAATGGCACACATACACAAGCCATGTCTCAATTGTCTCAAGGCTTAAAAATCCTTCTTTAACCTGTCTCCTCACCTTTACCTACACTGATTGGAGTGGATGTAACAGGTGACATAGCTTTCACCTTGATTCACCTGGTCAGTCTATGTCACGGAAAGAGCAGGTGTTCTTAATGTTTAGTATACATGTTAACACATATATTACACATACACGTTACACACACAGTCTGGAGCTGACATTAGTCACTGTGTTTTCAAGGACAGCAAGTAGTGCTGAGCGATTAGTGCTTTTTGAGGTAGGTTCGGTTTCGGTTCGATGATACATTTTTTTATCCTGGTTTTCGATTTCTATAATTTGTTTTTAAAACATTAAATGCATTATGAAATGATGAAAAAATGATTTTAGAGCTTTTTAATGTAAATTCCAAAGCCAAAAACAGTTAACATTCAATTGCCAAAACATTAAAAATATTCAATTTTCTCTGTCAGGTCCACATTGGGTAGACATAAATAGAACAATTTGAAATGATGATGAAATAATAAAACATTCCAGTTGTGTATATTACTTAGAATGTATTTGATGTTTTTTTGTCATCATCTCATCTCTGCTCAGGCAGTAGCAGTCAGCCAGCCAGACCAGCTAACGTTATCTCTGTGCTCCCCATACTGTACTGTCTTTAGTCATCCTATTTAGCTAGGCTAGTCTGCCTAAGTATGCTGCAAATCATTCTACTAATCCTTCAATGTAGATAAGGTATACTTTCATTTACGGTCTCTTTCCCACTCATAGTTGTGTTGTGTACATTCCTCTCTCATGCGGTCTATGCGGTCTGTGTATCTAACCTAACATAGCAGGCATAAAAGTGTACCCGTCTCTGTAAACAGGCACAATGGATTATGGTCATTGTAGTTAATTACCAAGTTTCTGCGCTGAACTTGAATATTTATTTAATGAACACTACAACTCCCTTCAGCCCAGCATCCCACATACTTTTTGACTTGATTTCTTTCATGAATTTCTCTATAGACAAATGGTGCGTCGGGCTCAGAAAAAAACAGAACTAAATGGAACTCAAGTAATTGAACCGACGTCGGTCAATGAGTTGTTTAATAACCCCCCCAAAAAACAGAATTTACAGTGCCTTGCAAAAGTATTCATCCCCCTTGGCGTATTTCCTATTTTGTTGCATTACAACCTGTAATTTAAATGGATTTTTATTTGGATTTCATGTAATGGACATACACAAAATTGTCCAAATTGGTTAAGTGAAATGAAAAAAATAACTTGTTTCAAAAAATTCTAAATAATAAATAACGGAAAAGTGGTGCGTGCATATGTATTCACCCCCCTTTGCTATGAAGCCCCTAAATAAGATCTGGAGCAACCAATTACCTTCAGAAGTCACATAATTAGTTGAATAAAGTCCACCTGTGTGCAATCTAAGTGTCACATGATCTGTCACATGATCTCAATATATATACACCTGTTCTGAAAGGCCCCAGATTCTGCAACACCACTAAGCAAGGGGCACCACCAAGCAAGCAGCACTATGAAGACCAAGGAGCTCTCCAAACAGGTCAGGGACAAAGTTGTGGAGAAGTACAGATCAGGGTTGGGTTATAAAAAAATATCTGAAACTTTGAACATCCCACGGAGCACCATTAAATCCATTATAAAAAATGGAAAGAATATGGCACCACAACAAACCTGCCAAGAGAGGGCCGCCCACCAAAACTCACAGACCAGGCAAGGAGGGCAATAATCAGAGGCAACAAAGAGACCAAAGATAACCCTGAAGGAGCTGCAAAGCTCCACAGCGGAGATTGGAGTATCTGTCCATAGGACCACTTTAAGCCGTACACTCCACAGAGCTGGGCTTTACAGAAGAGTGGCCAGAAAAATGCCATTGCTTATAGAATAAAATAAGAAAACATGTTTGGTGTTCGCCAAAAGGCATGTGGGAGACTCCCCAAACATATGGAGGAAGGTACTCTGGTCAGATGAGACTAAAATTGAAGTTTTTGGCCATCAAGGAAAATGCTATGTCTGGCGCAAACCCAACACCTCTCATCACCCCGAGAACACCATCCCCACAGTGAAGCATGGTGGTGGCAGCATCATGCTGTGGGGATTTTTAATCAGCAGGGACTGGGAAACTAGTCAGAATTGAAGGAATGATGGATGGCGCTAAATACAGGGAAATTCTTGAGGGAAACCTGTTTCAGTCTTCCAGAGATCTGAGACTGGGATGGAGGTTCACCTTCGAGCAGGACAATGATCCTAAGCATACTGCTAAAGCAACACTCGAGTGGAAACATTTAAAATGTCTTGGAATGGCCTAGTCAAAGCCCAGACCTCAATCCAATTGAGAATCTGTGGTATGACTTAAAGATTGCTGTACATCAGCGGAACCCATCCAACTTGAAGGAGCTGGAGCAGTTTTGCCTTGAAGAATGAGCAAAAATCCCAGTGGCTTGATGTGCCAAGCTTATAGAGACATACCCCAAGAGACTTGCAGCTGTAATTGCTGCAAAAGGTGGATCTACAAAGTATTGACTTTGGGGGGGTGACTAGTTATGCACGCTCAAGTTCTGGTTGTCGTCTTATTTCTTGTTTGTTTCACAAGAAAAAATATTTGGCATGTTGTGTAAATCAAATGATACAAACCCCCCAAAATCAATTTTAATTCCAGGTTGTAAGGCAACAAAATAGGAAAAATGCCAAGGGGGGTGAATACTTTCGCAAGCCACTGTAAATTAATGGCTCAGCCCTAATGCACAGACAGTTTTGATTGTCAGCGGTCACTCACCAGCAGCTCTTGCAGCAGCTGGAACACGTTCTTCAACTCATGGGGCGGAGCGGTCTCCAACTGCGTCTATATACACACACAGATCAGAATGGTAATGATGTGTTTGGTGCTGGGATTTGTAGTCATCTGTGGTAATGGATTTGTTTAGAACTGGTAGTTGTAGTTCTTACCTTGAGCAGCTGTAGTACTCCGAGGGAGAAGGGTTCGTTACAGAAGGAGCAGTACATCGCCATCTCTATCAGCACAGTCAGAGGGCCCGACAACTCCCGCATCGCAAACATCACCTGCAGGCACACACACACAAAACCTTTTTTTAAACTTCCATATACACAAACAATTTCAACGATTTTACTGAGTTACAGTTCATATAAGGAAATAAGTCAATATAAATAAATTCATTAGGCCCTAATCTATGGATTTCACATGACTGGGCAGGGACACAGCCAATCAGAATTAGTTTTCCCCCCACAATAGGGCTTTATTACAGACAGAGTGTGTGTGTGTGTGTGTGTGTGCATGTATGTATGTATGTATGTATGTATGTATGTATGTATGTATGTATGTGTGTGTTACCTCTAGCAGGTAAGGCTGTCCCTCGGGGCTGAAGAGCGAGGCCATGATGTCAGCGTTGAGGGGGAGGAGGCGGGAGGAGGCAGGGACACTGCTCACAATCAGCTTACACACACCTTGATCTGAGAAGCGCACACACAATCACATCAGGTTATACACATCAGCGTATTATGGAACCATCCTAACTGTGGTAAGGTGAGTGTGTCCGTGTTACCATGTGTGCGCTGTGTGTTGAGGTCTGAGTGGAGAGTCATCAGGGCCAGAGTGGAGTGGAGGTGCAGGAACTCTCTGGCCTGGGCTGGACTCCACCTCCGATTCTAGAACGAGAAGGAATCAGAGGAAAAGGGAGCAAGAAAGAGGGAGAGGGGAAAAAGGTCATGAGCGTCCAGAACCACCAACAACAACATCCTGTCATATTCATTTCTATGCAGTGGTGTAGGAATTGAGTGTTTGTGTGCATGTACCTGGTTGTTCTGTCTGTTGGGTCCGAGGAGGAAGATGAGCATCCTGCGATACGCTGAGTGTTTCAACAACAACTGGCATGGACCAGAGCCTCTCTGAGCAAAGTTGCTGAAGAGGCTGAAGTATTGGTTGCAGTGTTTGACGTTCTCAGGAACGTCTTTGTCCAAAAGGGAGAGGAGCATGTCGGTCAGGCTGTCCAATCCAGAGTCAGCGAAGTGGAGCGCGCTCTCTAAGGTCTTCTCCAATATTGCTGCCACTACGACCCTCACCTCCCTCACCCCACACTCCAACAGACACACTCTGGAAGGGGGGAGGAGAGAAAAAGAAGAGATGAGGGAGAGAAAGAGAAAATGTGTTAGATTGATGAGTAGTAATGTAAGATATAAGTAGTGGTACTGTGGTAGTACTGCAGTGGTTCTGTGTAGAGTACATTTACATTACATTTTAGTCATTTAGCAGACGCTCTTATCCAGAGCGACTAGTAGTATTATAGTAGTTAGTATTAGGGCAGTGGCGGTCATTAAATTGTCAGCTGGTAATTTACCATTAATTAACCCTGGTGCTTTGCTGAAAAACATTTACGACCATTGTGGTATGGGTCAGACTGACCCGCACAGTTTAAACACACTCAAGACAGTCAATTTTGATTACATTGGAAGCTGACAGTCTCCCTTGACTTTGTTGTGGTGACGGTGACCATTCTACAGTGGGGGAAAAAAGTATTTAGTCAGCCACCAATTGTGCAAGTTCTCCCACTTAAAAAGATGAAAGAGGCCTGTAATTTTCATCATAGGTACACGTCAACTATGACAGACAAAATGAGCTTTTTTTTTCTCCAGAAAATCACATTGTAGGATTTTTAATGAATTTATTTTCAAATTATGGTGGAAAATAAGTATTTGGTCAATAACAAAAGTTTCTCAATACTTTGTTATATACCCTTTGTTGGCAATGACACAGGTCAAAAGTTTTCTGTAAGTCTTCACAAGGTTTTCACACACTGTTGCTGGTATTTTGGCCCATTCCTCCATGCAGATCTCCTCTAGAGCAGTGATGTTTTGGGGCTGTCGCTGGGCAACACAGACTTTCAACTCCCTCCAAAGATTTTCTATGGGGTTGAGATCTGGAGACTGGCTAGGCCACTCCAGGACCTTGAAATGCTTCTTACGAAGCCACTCCTTCGTTGGCCGGGCGGTGTGTTTGGGATCATTGTCATGCTGAAAGACCCAGCCACTTTTTCATCTTCAATGCCCTTGCTGATGGAAGGAGGTTTTTCACTCAAAATCTCACGATACATGGCCCCATTCATTCTTTCCTTTACACGGATCAGTCGTCCTGGTCCCTTTGCAGAAAAACAGCCCCAAAGCATGATGTTTCCACCCCCATGCTTCACAGTAGGTATGGTGTTCTTTGGATGCAACTCAGCATTCTTTGTCCTCCAAACACGACGAGTTGAGTTTTTACCAAAAAGTTATATTTTGGTTTCATCTGACCACATGACATTCTCCCAATCCTCTTCTGGATCATCCAAATGCACTCTAGCAAACTTCAGACGGGCCTGGACATGTACTGGCTTAAGTAGGGGGACACGTCTTGCGCTGCAGGATTTAAGTCCCTGGCGGCGTAGTATGTTACTGATGGTAGGCTTTGTTACTTTGGTCCCAGCTCTCTGCAGGTCATTCACTAGGTCCCCCCGTGTGGTTCTGGGATTTTTGCTCACCGTTCTTGTAATCATTTTGACCCCATGGGGTGAGATCTTGCGTGGAGCCCCAGATCGAGGGAGATTATCAGTGGTCTTGTATGTCTTCCATTTCCTAATAATTGTTCCCACAGTTGATTTCTTCAAACCAAGCTGCTTACCTATTACAGATTCAGTCTTCCCAGCCTGGTGCAGGTCTACAATTTTGTTTCTGGAGTCCTTTGACAGCTCTTTGGTCTTGGCCATAGTGGAGTTTGGAGTGTGACTGTTTGAGGTTGTGGACAGGTGTCTTTTATACTGATAACAAGTTCAAACAGGTGCCATTAATACAGGTAACGAGTGGAGGACAGAGGAGCCTCTTAAAGAAGAAGTTACAGGTCTGTGAGAGCCAGAAATCTTGCTTGTTTGTAGGTAACCAAATACTTATTTTCCACCATAATTTGCAAATAAATTCATTAAAAATCCTACAATGTGATTTTCTGGAGAAAAAAAATCTCAATTTGTTGATGAAAATTACAGGCCTCTGTCATATTTTTAAGTGGGAGAACTTGCACAATTGGTGGCTGACTAAATACTTTTTTCCCCCACTGTATATTACCATCTTTAGACTTCCATGTCCTCTCTTCTCTGGATGATGTTTGTTGCATGCTCTCTCTCTCATCTGATGGAGTTGATGGTATGAATCCTCTTCACCATAGAAAAATTCACAATCTGGATCATCAACAGCATTGTCCTCTATCTCTGAAATGTCCTCCGTCTCTGAAACCCTTTCTTCTATTTCACTGTCACAGTCCAGAATTTGTGATAAGGCTTCATTGACTGAAAATCTTTTGAAGCTCATTTTTGTGTTTGTGTCAGAGATCTGCTGCTCTTGCACTGAGAACGAGAAGCTTGGGAAATCTCATTTTCACCCAAACATAATTATAAAAGTGCAACCAGAACTAGTCAAAATAAAATACATTAAAGACACTTGTTTATTTTGGACCTGTGCAAATATCTATACACATGAAAGCCTCCGGGTCAAAATGATCCACAACGTCATGTTTGTGTACAAACTCTACACAGACATTCCACAAAACATCAGTGTGTCCACATTTTGCAGTTAGGTTCATGACCCTAAATGAGGAAAAGTCATTTAATTTCATGGAGATAAAGAGATGTTAACTAGTATTTTAGACAACTCAAAAGTGGAAATGGGTCAAATTGACACGCAACATAATAGGAGGGTTAACAAACACGTTTAGCATCTCCAGGTCTCCACGCATACAAGCCGCTGATGCGCACCTTTGGAACATCTACACAAAAAAAAGTCTAATAAAGCCATTTAATATATACCATCACAATAAATCCATTATTTATTTTAGTCAGGTCTAAAGAACATTATGATATGAAGAAAATATATTTCAGAATAACAGAATAGGAATCGGCCTAATGTATGTTATCTGGCTATGCGCCATGCCATAGGCTGTAGGCTTGTTCATTTAGCAGATAAGATATGCTTATAAGTCCCATGCCATTATTTTATATTATATGATTTTATAGTAAGAAAAATATAATTGAATCAAATAGAAAGGATATTTTTCCCCATTCCGGAGTGAGTGCGCATATGAAGTGGCTATGTTGAGCGTAAAAGTGATAATTTGAAACAGGTCCTATATACGCTAGATTTAGAGTTATATGGCAACTTTAGTTGTGAATGATACAAACCTGTCTGTCTTCGGAATCAGAACATATAATGGGAAAAAGTTAGCATAAGCTCTAATATGCGAATGGATGTTCTACATACAACGTCTTAAACACTTTGAATTAATCATCACCTTAGAAAGCTACGTCAATTTCGCTGCATTTGGCTTTGAAACATCCACAACGACCACGTTTTCCACTCAGTTTCAACCTGTTGTTGAACTTCTTTCTTCAAATTGATCATCACAATGAGGTAAACAATTTTTGCCTAATGGTGAGTTTTAAAAGCATGATACTGTTTTGATGTGATTTCTGATTGCATTGCATTGATGTCAGAGTGGTTAGAGGGAAAATAGAGCCCTGAGTACCAGGCCATTAGCGACCTGGTGTTGGGTACTACCAACACATGTCCAGAGCACATAAGAGGAGATTACCATGACTCAACGGTCACGTAGAATTTGACTGCGGTCATAACACATGACTGCCGGTGTGGCGGTAATACGGTCACCGCAACACCTCTAAGTAGTAGAATAGTAGTATTATAGTAGTTTTATAGCAGTACTGACTTGGTGATCTCTTTTCCCTCAGGTCCCACCAGGTACTGAGCCATCCAGTGACAGGCTTCACTGCTTTTAGACAGCAGCACCTCCACCGTAGCCATCCACTCCTCTGTGTCCACCCGCAGCTTCTTCTTGGTGTGGAGGTAGGTGTGGAACAGGAAGTGGACTGCTAGCTGGAGACTCTCTCTGGCCATGGCCTGGTAGGCTGGGTGCTTCAGCTTCGTCTGCAACACACACACATTGTTTATAAGAACAGTTTTAAAAGAGGCAGGCATAACTTTGAATTATGCAGACACGTCTCTGTTTATCCTACACACACAAACACATACCGCGTTGACGGAGGCCAGTGACAGGGTGAAGTTGAAGTAGTCGCTGTTGTACACATCTCTGTTCTTCATAAACTTCAGGTTCTCATCTCTCACCATCTATAGAGAGAGAGAGAGGAGAGAGAGAGAGAGAGAGAGAGAGAGAGAGAGAGAGAGAGAGAGAGAGAGACAGAAGGGGAGAGGAGTTTGTTTGTGCGCCACAAGACTGTATTAGCTATCTGAGCTAATGCCTAGGTATGAACACAGGGTGCTTTTTTAAAGATTCTTCAGGTCTCAGGCAAGATGATTGATTACAAAACGTGGTCCCCCAAACCAGTCCAATCCAGTGTAGTCACCTGGTAGATCCTAGCAGGCATCTTCTCCACAAACAGACCTTTCTTCTCTCCCTTTCGTACGAGGCGGGTCAGGACAGAGAGACGGTCATTGTTGGCTCTAGCGGGGCGAGGGGAAGACTGGGGACTGACGTCTGGGCTAGAGGGCGCCGAACTACAGGGAAGAGAGAGGGTTACAGTGTGAGTAGTGTGTGTGTATGAGGTGTGTGTATGTAGGCTATGTGTGTGTGTGACTCACAGCGTGAGGTCTTCTGCCTCTTGCCTCATGACGCTGACTCTGCTCTTCTTAGGGAGAACTGGAGAGTTCTGGTCACTGATCCTCTGGTAGAACAACATGTAGGCATTCCAATACCGCCGCCGCACGTCAGGGTAGGGGTTAGCTACACACACAAACAAAGTGATGTTATGTTTGATCTTTTATGAGTTTGTCATTAATGTATAGAATAAACTGGGAAAAAAGGGGACCGAGGACACTACCCAGAGGGACCCCAAAAGTGTTGGCGCTGAGAATGTTCCATTGACCTCCACTACTTGGTCTACATGTTAAATAGGGCTTACACTGATCGTAGACTTTAGGCTGGTACTCTCCTCCAAAGCACTCGTACTCCAGAGTCTCGTCGTTCATATCAAACTCCTCGACCACGTTGTCATTAAACTTATACCACCTTCCTCTAGCACTTCCCCTACAGGAGAGGAGAGAGATGGGAGAGAGCAGAATGGTAAGATGACTATTTGTGATCAATGTATTTTGCTTGTCTTAAAAGTGAGATATTTGTTTATAACACTTAAGTGTTGGTCTCTTACCGCCGGTCCTTTATGAAGGAGTAGTAGTGTCCAGCGTGTGCCTGTCCGCTGTGGACTACGACTCCCACCAGCTCGTAGTTCTCAGAGATAGTGACCTTCTTCCTGGGTGAGCCCCCTACTTCCCCCCGGCCGTCTCCCCCCTCCGCCCCCCCATCCTGACGAGCCATGCCAGACACTGTGTAGGGCTCCATGTTCAGCACCCAGGGAAACCTGATCTGCTCGTCGTATTTGATCGAGCGTCCGCTCTCCCAGTCGAAGCCGAAGCGCATCAGATGGATACAGAGAACACTGGGCAGGGACTTTATGCAGGTCCGCTTCACTGTGGTACGCTGGAGAGATACACACACCAAGTTAACATTCATGTACATTAACACTGGACAGCGACTTAATACACATCCTGTTTATGCATTCATTAATACACACACACCTTCTCCTTGCACTTTTCGCAATAGTAGGCGTTGGTTCCTTCTAGCACCTCCCCCCTGACGAACTGGTCCAATGAGATCTCCAGACTCTGACAGGAAGTCACACCCAGGTTCAGCGCCATAAACGTCTCCTCTCGCTCATATCTACGGTCAGAGGTCAGAGGTTATAGTTAGCGGTTTAGAAGTGATGGCTGCCTGTGTGTGTGTGTGTGTGTGTGTGTGTGTATGCGTGAGCTCACCGGTGAGGGCAGTCTTTGCAGATCTTCTGATCAGAGAAGATTCCCTGGAAAGTGTTCTTAAAGATCTGCTCGCGGCCGATTTTCTAAAGAACAAAACAGACATCTCAATATGTGAACAATAAAGGTGTGTGTTACATTATAATATAAATGTGTGTGTTAAGTAGATGTGAACAGTGGAGTCTGTGTTACCTTGAGGTGCTCGTCCAACTGGTCCACCAGTGAAGTGAAGAACTCATAGGCATCCTGTTGCTCTCGTACATACAGCTCCTTATTCCACATCTTAAAGATCTACAGAAACACAAACATTCATTATTTTTGACCGAAACACGGGTAGTTCGTTGAGTATGTACTGTGTAGTGTACTTGAATGTGTGTGTGCATGTTCGGATACCTTCCAGAAGTTCTCAGGGACGTAGTACTGCAGCTTGCTCTCCATCAGGTGTCCAAACAGAGACTGGACCTGACAGAACACACTCTCGTCTGGCTGCTCCGTGTCGTCCTCTATAGACAGAAAGGCCTCAGCCAGGCCGGGCTGCATGTACAGCTGCTGGAAAACAGCATTCATATAGCAGGTGGCGCCACCGTTCTTTAACCCTACGAACCCTGACACAGAACGACTGTCCACCGGCGGGAGGAACTGGGAGAGGGGCACGGAAGGAGGGAGGAAATAGAAGGAGAGAGAGAGTTAGACACGTTGAAGGTAGAAACATTACATACCTGTAAACGCTTCAGTTCTATCAAGCATTTCTCCATTCACGTGTGTTTATTGTTTGTTGTGTGTGTTTGTTGTCTGTATGCACTAGGGGAGTAACAGTACACGTATTCGTACCGAACTTTTCGGTATGGGGACCCCGTTCATTCTGCACTGTGAACCAGATAGAATATATATATTTTTTTTTAAACACTAGGCCTATAGGCTATGCCTACGCTGCATGGTAGACCAATGCCTCGAGTAAATCGGAGCTGAAAATATATTTCTGGCTATTCCGTTAAAACAACTAGAGTCCAATTACACGTTGTAATCCAAATTCAAATCTTAATTGCCGCATTTCAAACTGTCCTTTTGTGAGGCGCAGCTGGGAACTAGTTCTACTATGGCGAGTGGTGGGGTCGATAAACCAGAATTAGAGGTTCCCACCATCATCGTTTAAATCTCCAGTTTGGGAACATTTTGGCTTCCCAGTAGATTACAACGATGATGGACAGAGAGTTGTGGATAAAACGTTAACAGTATGTCGCGTTAACAGTATGTCACCACGCTCAACGAGAATAGCCTATGCAGCTGGCAACACTCAAATATGTCGACACATTTACACCGACATCACCCTGGTATACCGCCGCAAGACTGAAACGCAAAGAAACAACACAACATTGTCTCCCCTCTGCATTCAAGCAGCCCTTGGCAGCTGATTGTGACCGGGCCAAAGAAATGACAAGAGCGATAGGTAGGCTACTCTCATTGGTTGAGAATAGGGTTTTTCTTGTGAAAGTACTCGAGCCACGTTACGAACTTCCCTCTTGCTACCATTTCAGCAAACAGGTAGTAGGCTACCCACTCTATATAAGCCAGCCAAAGCAAAAGTTCGCACACTGTGTTGTGCTTACTTAACAGTTAAAGCCCACCACATTACCTCGGAAGGAGATGTACCATGCTACAGACACGCCCCCTTTATGAGAGTCACAAGTACGCATCTGGCACTGAAGGAGGCAGTGTCATGGTGCGTTCGTAACCAAGATGGAAGAGGGAATTTACCATATACGACTGGGAAAAATCCACTTAAACGGCCATCAAACTCATAATTACTAGTGGGAAACTAGTCTATCATCCTTAGCACCCACCTCTACCGCATGCTGACCTCTGACGTCACCTACTAAGGAAATGTACAACAGCATTTTTGGCAGTTTAATGAAACAACAAAACATTATTTATAAAAAGCAATCTATTTAACTCTATAACTTGTTTGCAAGCATGATACCTGTTCTTTTAGTTTATGGTTGACGCAGCTTGTTGGCCATTAGCCAATCGGCGTTTCTCAACGAGTTCAAATCACATGAACGCATCCAACTGGTATTTACGACTTCTCAACTGGTAAACTCCCACCTCCCACAAATGCAGCCTCAGAGTGGAAACTTGAGGCCCAACATAACAATCCAGTCACAACAGACAATGCCAGGAACATTGTAAATGGCATATCATTTTCCTGCTGTACCGAAACGTGGGTTTGGTGAACCGTTACACCCCTACTGTGCACACATCTGTGTATGTGCGCACATGAGTGCAAGAATGTGTGTGAGACTCACATCAAACTCCTTGCTGAGCGAGGGGTCTGACTGGTGGTGCATGGACAGCAGTTCTCTGGTGATGAGCTGTAGGTTGGCCACAGAGCTGTCTGCCAGCATCACCAGCACCTCGTAGGCTGCCAGTCTGCTGCTAGCCATACTGCACTTGGGGTGGAAGTCGTGGCTGGGGGGGGAGCTGGAGGCGGGGTTAGACGTGTTCAGGATGATGCGGGATGCTCGGAAGAGGAAGTCATCTAACAGCTGCTGGATCAGAGAGGGACCTGCGGAGCAAAAACACACGCTGTAAATGTGAAAGCCTTGTATTTAGCAACTTTGAAATCAGAACCGCCTGGACTGTCTTGTAATGGTAGAAGACAGGAAATTGACTTGCAATTGTGCTGTAGCCCTACCACAGCAAAGCATTAGGAAAATGGAACCTTAAAGGACCTGATCTTTATGTATCGCTGTGTGTGTACAGTATATGAATGTGTGTGTACTCACCCAGTTGTTCCTTCTCTGTGCCACAGAGTGACAGTAGTGTTTTGATGAGGCGGAGGTGTCCAGCCTGCAGGATGTTGTCAGCCTCGCTGGTCTCCATCTCAGAGCTCCAGCTGGGCTCAAAGTTATCCAACCAGCTGATCTCATCTTCCAACATGGCCGCCGCACTCACTGACAACACCTCTATCTCCGAACCTGGAGGGGGGCAGGAGCATTCATCATGTGTCAATGACAGTGTTGGAAAACTGTTGGGGTGTGTGTGTGCGCGCACGCAAGTTTGTGTGTGCGTGTGTGTAAACTCACTGGTCAAGTCGTCCAGTAGTTGACATCGCAGGTCAAAGTACTCAGTACACTGCGACAGCAACCTGGACAGACAGAACAATATTACACTCAGATATAGACAAACAGACAGGACAAACACGCGGAACAAAACTGTCCGTGGCACTATACATCCATATACATTTACAACTAACTATAGCTATATGATGCTATACATCTATCATTGGTCATGGATAGTTTGGCGCCATCTGCTGTCGAACGTAACTTACTACTGCCTCCCACTACTGTACCTCTGGTTGACTCCTCTCATGACAGACGTGGGGCTCCAGAGGGGCAGCTGGGAGGTGAGGACGACTCGGAGCAGGAACACGTTGGGTTTGATGATCTCAGGGAACGCAGAGGTGTCGGATTGGCTCAGAGTATACAGCTGGTCACACGCCACACGCCGGATCTGACAGAGACACGGGTTAGAACACACGCACACACTCCGTCTCACACACCCACACACATCCTAGTTACCTCTCCACTGGCTGATCCTAGCAGGATGTCGATGATGAAGTCGCTGACACAGGGGAGGATGTAGAATGAGCCTGGATAGAGACACACACTGTTAGCATTATGTCTTCATAAAACAGTGTCTGTGTCTCAAATCAAATTATATTCGTCACTTGCGTCGTAAAACAACAGGTGTAGACTAACGGTGAAATGCTTACTTACGGGACCTTCCCAACAATGCAGAGAGAGAAAATAGAGAAATAATAGAAAAGTAAAACACGTAATAATAAAAGTAATAATAAATACACAATGGGTAACGATAACTTGGTTATATACACGGGGTACCAGTACTAAGTCTGTGTGCAGGGATATGAGGTAATTGAGGTAGATATGTACATATAACTAGGAATAAAGTGACAGATAATAAACAGTAGCAGCAGCGTATGTGATTAGTCAAAAAAGTTAGTGCAAAAAGGGTAAATGCAGATAGTTAAATAGATAACAGAATAGCTACTCAGACTAACTATTTCGCAGTCCCTATGGCTTGGGGGTAGAAGCTGTTCAGGGTCCTGTTGGTTCCAAACTTGGTGCATCGGTACCGCTCGCCGTGCAGTAGCAGAGAGAACAGTCTATGACTTGGGTGGCTGGAGTCATTGACCATTTTTATGGCCTTCCTCTGACACCGCCTGGTATACAGGTCCTGGATGGCAGGGAGCTCGGCCCCAGTGATGTATTGGGCCGTACGCATTACCCTCTGTAGGGCCTTGCGGTCAGATGACAAGCAGTTGCTATACCAAGCGTTGATGCAGCCAGTCAAGATGATCTCAATGGTGGAGCTGTATAACCTTTTGAGGGCCCATGCCAAATCTTTTCAACCTTGTGAGGGGGAAGAGGCGTTGTCGTGTCCTCTTCACGACTGTGTTGGTGTGTGTGGACCATGATAGAGCCTTAGTGATGTGGACACCGAGGAACTCCCGACCCGCCCTACTACAGCCCCGTAGATGTGAATGGGGGCTTGCTCAGCCCTCCGTTTCCTGTTGAGGGAGAGGATGTTGTTCTGGCAACACACTGCCAGGTCTCTGAACCCCCTCCCTTTAGGCTGTCTCATTGTCGTCAATGATCAGTGTGTGTGTGTGTGTGTGTGTGTGTGTGTGTGTGTGTGTGTGTGAGTGTGTGTGTTACCTAGCTGCTGTGTTCGTAGCTGTAGACAGGTGACCAGTAGAGACAGGGCCTCTCTAGCGATGATGCAGTCTTTAATAGAAACAATCTGCTGCTTCACGCATATCCCAGCATGCAGCGCTGTGGGCGGCGCCTCACCCTCACTGCTGGAGCTGCAGTTACTTCCTGTAGAGAGAGACAGAGAGAGAGAGAGAGAGAGGAAGGGAGATGTAAAAAGACAGAGAGGAGAGAGCGAAATCCTCAGTATAAGGCAAAATAATCAGAATATTGTAATAATTTCATTGCTCACAATTCAGGCTGATGTTTATGTTGTTAAATATGTGTCAATATAATCTGCCAGTGCCTTGTGTGTGTGTGTGTGTGTGTCTCACCAGTGCTGCTGACACGGGTGCGGACCCCGAGTGGGAGGAGCGAGCTGTGCTCAGGTCTGATTGGCTGTGGACTGCCGACGAGGTCCAATCGGCCGGCGGCTGCTGCCCAGGTGAGACGCATGAAGCACGCCACAGTCGAGGTGAAGTCCCCCACCTCCATCGTCTATAGAGGAGAGACAGGGTTAGAGGTGTGTGTTAGATGTGTGTATTAGGTGCATGTTTGTGTTAGGTATGCATTAGGGGGTTGTGTGTATGTGTATGTACCTGTATAGCTACACGTGCAGCAGGGATGATCTCCTCTACTCTGATGGAGGAGCGTTCAGACAGAGACATCTGTCTATAGGAGCTCTTCTCTGGTGTTCCACACAGAGACAGCTGCCTCCCCGGTCGCCCCGCGTTACGGAACGGCCGACTAGACAGCGTGTCGCCCTCTCGGATGACATCATCATCCAGCAACGACGGCATACTCTGGCCAACCAATAGGAACCTGCAGGGGAAAGAAAGATCCAATCACATTCAACCTCTCTAACAACTTATCTTAACGTGTGTGTGTGTGTGTGTGTGTGTGTGTGTGTGTACCTGGCCAGTTGTAGACAGATGGAGTAGACTCCCTGTCTGGTCTCATAGTCCACCTCAGAGGGAATAGAGTCTCGCTGCATCACGTTCACCACCAAACTGAGTCCTCCAGCTTTCAGGAAGTTCTCACAGAAAGACTTGACACTGGTCTTAGCCATCTCATCATCTGAGGTTGGCATCAACTTAGAACTCAACACCTTGAGAGAGAGAGAGAAAGAAAGAAAGAAAGAAAGAGAGAAAGAGAGAAAGAGAGAAAGAAAGAAAGAAAGAAAGAAAGAAAGAAAGAAAGAAAGAAAGAAAGAAAGAAAGAAAGAAAGAAAGAAAGAAAGAAAGAAAGAAAGAAAGAAATTAAAGTGAGAGGTCACAGAAAGAAATGTGTGAAGTGTGTCCGTGCACAAATGTATGTGTGTGTGTGTGTGTGTGTGTGTGTGTGTGTGTGTGTGTACCTCTAGGTTGTAGAGGACTCTGAAGGTGGACATCCCGGGAGCAGAGGACCTGAAGAGTGATTCCAAGATGGAGGCGGCGCTGGGCTGGTGCTGCTGCTTAGAACCCAGAGACGGAGAGCGAGAGCCTGACCCCTGACCCAGAGTGAACAGCGTCTTCTACAGGAGACACACACAGGAAACACATACATGTTGTCACACTGGCTCTGGTCAGAGGGGTTGAACTCTCCTCATCATTTCAACACAAACACAAACTAACCCACTGCGCTTGACCTGATGTTTGCTAGTACAGGGTTAGATTATAATAGTACTAAGGGTTAGTAGCTATAGAACTAGTTAATGTAAATGTACCTGGTGACTCCATACACTGGACTCTTTGGGAACAAAGTTATCTAGAGCATCCTGAACCTCTGGGTCTGTTGGTATCAGCAGCAGCAGCTTACGCACACGCAGGGTTATCCTGGAACGCACACACAGAACGTTATACATTTTGGACCATTCAGGATTCAGAGGATCTGTGTGTGTTAGTGTAAGACTCACCGGGGTTCATCCAGGTTGGCCAGCTGGTAAAGCATCTCAAACACGTTACACACCAACGCCATGACAACACCTGGAAGGGACTTCTCCTACAAACACACCATTAGCACATAATCAGACTCAAACATGAACTCAATGTGTTTGTATATACTGTACGTGTGTGTGTGTGTGTGTGTGTGTGTGTGTGTGTGTGTGTGTGTGTGTGTGTGATTGTGTGTGGTATACCTGTTCCATAGCGTAGGCTGAGTTGAAGACCGCAGAGCTCGAGGAAGAGGCGGAGGCGGAGGACTCTGAGCTGCCACCAGAGGGCGTGCCGGTGCCGGAGCTCTTCACTGTCAGAGACTGCTCATCACTGAACCCCAGCTGGGACAGCAGCTTCTGGTCCCGGTTCATTGTCAACTACAGACAGAGGGAGAGAGTTAAACAAAACACACACACACATTTACATATGATACACAGTCACACACACAATCTTCCAAATTTGGGCTTACTATTCTGTCACACACACTATGTTCAGTCAACAAGGCACACACAGATACAAATGATGCACACTTACCACGCTGTCATTGGCAAAGATCTGGACGTTGTCGACTGGACAGCTGAGGTGCTCAGCAATCTTCCAGCGGATGCTGCCTATAGTCTCGTTACTGTGGGCCTCCAGGGTGAAGGTGTCTTTGGTGGACTCATAGGTGACGTGCAGAGAGACAGGGTGGCCATTGAACGACGCTCCGTGAGGTAGAATGGTACGAGGCACAGAGTACAGGTCCTATACACACACGCAGCCACAGTCATTTATCTATCTTTCCATGTCACGCTCTCATCCCCCTCTCGTCACCCAAATATAAATGGTTTATAACGACATACCATAGGTGAAAGTCGTTTCTAACGATTAAACAAAAATTGTAAATGCTGTGTTACATATTTTGGTCAGTGTGAGGTCTTACCTCGATAGTGATGACGTAACGCTCAGCCAATAGCAGCAGCCTCTCAATGATCACGAGTTTGGTGGACCTGGAAGGTGATTGGACAGACGTAGCAACAGTCGGCATGGCGGTGGCCGTCAGCATCTTGGTTGCCCTGGTAACAGCATGAGTCAACGTGGGGCCTCCTAGAGCTGAACTGGCTGCCTCCAGTCGTTTGTAACAATCAGCGATGAACTTCTTGTGTAAAGACACAGAATCCTACAGAGACACACAGAGTCAATAGCAGAGACCGTAGCCATGCCCCACACACACAGGTTTGGGTACTAATGGATTACATGTAACAGGGATTACGTAATCAGATTACAAAAATGAATTAACTATTAGCCCAGATTGCTTAAAAGAAATAAAAAATAGGTGGAATCGAATTACTGTTATATTCTTAAAAACAGCTGATTACTTCATCTAATATCAATAAGTGGGCTGCAATTGTTTGCCTCAAACACATTGAAATTGCAGGTTTTTGAAAGCAGTGCTGAGCGTAAGTCACCTTTTAGTGGAAATGGAGTCACCTTTTAGTGGAAACTCCTCTCTTCTGTTCGAATCTATTTAAAATCTCCAAGACTGCCAAATTGCTTTCCTTGGTTGTTTCTACAGAAACTTTCTTTAAATAAAAAACATCAGACCCCCGCTTACTGAGAACTAAATCATCCCCCATTTCATCTTGGATCTGTTACATACAGTGGGGGAAAAAAGTATTTAGTCAGCCACCAATTGTGCAAGTTCTCCCACTTAAAAAGATGAGAGAGGCCTGTAATTTTCAACATAGGTACACGTCAACTATGACAGACAAATTGAGAAAAAAAGACTGAATCTGCAATAGGTAAGCAGCTTGGTTTGAAGAAATCAACTGTGGGAGCAATTATTAGGAAATGGAAGACATACAAGACCACTGATAATCTCCCTCGATCTGGGGCTCCACGCAAGATCTCACCCCGTGGGGTCAAAATGATCACAAGAGCGGTGAGCAAAAATCCCAGAACCACACGGGGGGACCTAGTGAATGACCTGCAGAGAGCTGGGACCAAAGTAACAAAGCCTACCATCAGTAACACACTACGCCGCCAGGGACTCAAATCCTGCAGTGCCAGACGTGTCCCCCTGCTTAAGCCAGTACATGTCCAGGCCCGTCTGAAGTTTGCTAGAGTGCATTTTGATGATCCAGAAGAGGATTGGGAGAATGTCATATGGTCAGATGAAACCAAAATAGAACTTTTTGGTCAAAACTCAACTCGTCGTGTTTGGAGGACAAAGAATGCTGAGTTGCATCCAAAGAACACCATACCTACTGTGAAGCATGGGGGTGGAAACATCATGCTTTGGGGCTGTTTTTCTGCAAAGGGACCAGGACGGCATGACAATGATCCCAAACACACCGCCCGGGCAACGAAGGAGTGGCTTCGTAAGAAGCATTTCAAGGTCCTGGAGTGGCCTAGCCAGTCTCCAGATCTCAACCCCATAGAAAATATTTGGAGGGAGTTGAAAGTCCGTGTTGCCCAGCGACAGCCCCAAAACATCACTGCTCTAGAGGAGATCTGCATGGAGGAATGGGCCAAAATACCAGCAACAGTGTGTGAAAACCTTGTGAAGACTTACAGAAAACGCTTGACCTGTGTCATTGCCAACAAAGGGTATATAACAAAGTATTGAGAAACTTTTGTTATTGACCAAATACTTATTTTCCACCATAATTTGCAAATAAATTCATTAAAAATCCTACAATGCGATTTTCTGGATTTTTTTTTCTCATTTTGTCTGTCATAGTTGACGTGTACCTATGATGAAAATTACAGGCCTCTCTCATCTTTTTAAGTGGGAGAACTTGCACAATTGGTGGCTGACTAAATACTTTTTTCCCCCACTGTATGTCTATTGAAGACTTTATCGTTCCAGACTGTTATGTTAAAAGTGGGCCAGACATTCAAATGACCATTTCCTCTTTTACTGGGTGGCTGGGTGTAGTAGGTCTATAACTGGACAACCAAATAACGAGAGTTGGGAATGCTTTCCCTAGAACTTGGCAGTGAAGCTGACTTTTTAGCAGTGATGCCATTTCATCAATAAGATGCAACAGGCACCTGAGCCAGCAATTGCCCAAAGATGCTGGGGAGTTGTGTGGGCAAGAGAGGAGTTGGGTGGGCAGAGAGGGGACTCATCAGTCTGCAGCATAAACTGAGGAGGCAGATAATGGCTAACCAAGTAATCCAAAAATAATTCAGACTGCGTTACTCATTTTGAGTATTCCAATGGAATATATTACTAATTACTTTTACTGTCATGTAATCTCTAATCAGTAACTGATTAAATTTTTCAAAAAACACTCAAACTGGACAGTTTTATCTCCATCTCTTCATTCAAAGACTCAATCATGGACACTCTTACTGACAGTTGTGGCTGCTTCGCGTGATGTATTGTTGTCTCTACCTTCTTGCTTTTGTGCTGTTGTCTGTGCCCAATAATGTTTGTACCATGTTTTGTGCTGCTACCATGTTGTGCTGCTGCCATGTTGTGTTGCTACCATGTTGCTGTCATGTGGTGTTGCTACCATGCTGTGTTGTCATGTGTTGCTACCATGCTGTTGTTGTGTTAGGTCTCTTTATGTAGTTTTGTGGTGTCTCTCGTCGTGATGTGTGTTTTGTCCTATATTTTTATTTTTAATCCCAGCCCCCGTCCCCGCAGGAGGCCTTTTGCCTTTTGGTAGGCCGTCATTGTAAATAAGAATTTGTTCTTAACTGACTTGCCTAGTTAAATAAAGGTTAAATAAAAATAAATAAAAGTAATCCGCCATCAAACCCTGCACACACACACCTTCTTCATTTTTGGGTTGAGGTTGGTGTAGCTGTAGGTGATGATGAGCTGGATGGCCTCATTAGCGATCTCCTCGTCAGGCGTTTCCATGGCGATGCGCCAGATAAAGTCCATCCCAGCCAGGTCCAGCCGCTCCACACACTGGACCATAATGATAAAAGGGTTAGGGTGTTTAGGTCCCACAGGTGTGTTAATCCTAACTGTCATGCTAGTTTTAGCCTCATATGCTGAATAAATTGACAGAAACTGTCAGAATGTTGGAGTCCATACCGGTAAATGACTTTCCAGCTCAGAAAATATGTCTCAATCCTGATATGGAGATGAACGACTGTCTAGACATAAAAGGGATCATTCCACCACGTCGGTGCCTTTTGAGATGAGTAACTTCTCAAAATGTCACCTAATTACCTCAACTAGCCGGTGACTTGATTATTTTGACTTGATTATTTTATTTTACTGCTGCTCTTTAGTTATTTGCTTTTATTTCTTACTTATCAATTTTTTACTTAACACTTTTTTTTGTAACTGCATTGTTGGTTAAGGGCTTGTAAGTAAGCATTTCACTGTAATGTCTACACCTGTTGTATTCGGCGCATGTGGCAAATAACATTTGATTTAATTTAATTTTAACATTCTGTCATAAAGAGCACATTTTTTACAATAAAAAATAACAATAGACTATAGTATTATTAATGCCTATTAAAGGTGCACTATGCAGAAATCGCTCTGCCATTTCCTGGTTGCTAAAATTTGAATAGTTTGCCTAATTTCAGTTAGTGACAAAACAAGCATGTAGAGATTCATTGCACCATCTAAACCGCTGTTTTCCATACCCAAAAATATTGTATTTTCAGCTGGTGTACAAAACCGAAAGTAAAAGACGCAAAAATAAAACTTATGAAAGATCTTTAACTCAACGTTCTATGTCAATTGTTGGGTCGCACCAAAAGTTATACATTGCCGCTTTAAGTGCCAAATAAAGTAGTAGGGTTGACCGTAACAGGATTGATGATTTCATCTTAAAATCAGCCATACATTATTTTATGACGGGGGAAATGGAAGCTTGTTGTGTGCAACTGGAGGGGCAATTGAATGCAAGCTTTAAAAAAAAAAAAACATTTGTAAAACATTTCTAGCCTGCCTATCTATGGGTAACAAGGTTGATGTGTTATGCTCGTCCAACTCAGATTTCCACTACAAAACACCAGAAAATGGCCAAAGAGTTGAACCAGCCCACCTGCTGATTTGACTATTAGATGTTCAATGTTTCTTTTGAATAAAACATTTTAAAAAGGAATAGTTTCCCAAATTAAAACGAGAGTTCAGTTCACGTATGAGGTTTGACCTCGAAATGAGGAACACGTTTTTTATTTATTACCTTAACATGAATCACTAAATTACATTAAATAAATAATAATCTTCAGAAATGACTTTAAAGCAACAAAATAACTAGGGCTTTAAAATGATGGTGAAAACTTTAAGACATTTGGGGTTAAGTGGGTAAAATTGTCACTTTAGAAAGTCTTTATTCATATTTAAAAAAAAACAGATGTATTGAATTCTCCATGTGGTCTATATTAAAAGGGCACTTTATTGAATATAACAGGCTTTACAAATTCTATATTGCGCACAATTTCTAATTAAAATTTCAAAAGGGCACTAATTTCGTGTAACAACCTAAAATGGCTGCATGTGGACAAATGTAACTATACTTGTGGGGACCAGAAAAAATTTGACCAGCTGGGGACATTTTGGCGATCCCCACAAGGAAAAAGGCTATTTCTAGAGGGTTTAGGGTAAGAGTTAGAATTAGGGTTAGAGGTTTAGGATTAAGTTTTGGGGTTAGGGTAAATAGGATTTTGAATGGGAATCAATTGTGTCCCCACAATGTTAGTAAAACAAGACTGTGTTTGCATGTACTGACTCACCAGTTGAGTCCCCTGGCGTTTCAAGCGATGGTCACACAAGTTGACATTCTCAAAGAAGGTCTTGAACAGATTGAAGCCTGAAACATCCCAAATAAAACCCTGGTTAAAGCCACTATGTAAGATCTACATATGTCAATGAGTGGGCCACCAACAAAAATGGTGTGTATGTCTCACCATTCATAGTAATCTCGTAGGGCTCCAGTTTGAGGATCTTCTCTTTGAAGAGCTGCTGCTGAACATCACTCTCCAGATCATGCTGGCCCTTAGTGAACCACTCAAAACACATCTACACACACAGGTAAAGTTAGTGTGTATAGACACACAGAGTAGACTATGTAATGTAGACTGTGTAACGTGTGTGTGTACCTCTCTGTCCAGCTCGCAGACTTCGGGTCCAGAGACCAGGCAGTCCCATAGTTCTTTGGCTCTGTTCCAGACCAGGTAGAGGCTAGCCTCCTGGAGGAAGAAGGCCAGGAACCTCAGGTGGCCGTCTAGATACTGAGGAGGGGAGGGAGAGAGAGAGAGAGAGAGTCAGAGGCTAGCATGGACTTCAAACCACAATCATCCTCGTTCCTAAGAACTCTAAGGCCTCATGCCACAATGATTACCACCCTGTAGCACTTTGAGAGGGTGGTTATGGCACACATTAACACCACCATCCCAGCCACCCTAGACCCAATCCAATTTGCATACCGCCCCAACAATCTCAATTGGTCTCCACACTGCTCTCACCCACCGAGATAAGAAGAATACCTATGTGAGAATGCTGTTTATTGACTACAGGTCAGCGTTCAACACCATTATCCCCTCCAAGCTTGTCACCAAGATTAGGACTCTGGGTCTGAACACCTCCCTCTGCTACTGGATCCTGGACTTCCTGACGGGCCGACCCCAGGTGGTGAGGGTAGGCAACATCACCTCCACCATGCTGACCCTGGTGGAGGTGATGTTGCCTGCAGTGGAGCAGGTAGACAGCTTCAAGTTCCTCTGTGTCCAAACCACTAAAGATGGTCCAAACATACACGCACAGTCGTGAAGAAGGCGCGACAGTGCCTCTTCCCCCTCAGGAGGTTGAAAAAGTTTGGAATGGGCCCTCAAATCCTGAAAAGGTTCTACAGCTGTACCATAGAGAGCATATTGACTGGCTGCATCAATGCTTGGTATGGCAATAGTACCACCCTCGATGGCATGGCGCTACGGAGGGTTGTGCGGACAGACCCTTACTTACTTACTTAATTGTGTATTTCATATTTCTTATTCCTCGTGTGTTTTTTTCTAGTAATACATTGTTATTGATTATTGCATTATTGGGTTTAGAGCTTGCAAGAAAGGCATTTCACTGTACTTGTGCATGTGACATTAAAACTTGAAACTCTCACAGAGGTCAAAATCCTCAGTCCATCATCCAGCATCTCAACTAGGGCCGGGACGATACCAGTATCATGATACTCGTTACTATCGTGGCAAGGAAACAAAACACGAAAGTGGATTTAACTTCTTTAGGAAAACAGCCCTAATGTTGGAAACAAACATTATGTTGTCATCCAGTCACATTTGTTTATTTTCCAAATCTATATCACACAATATTTTACATACAGCAGAATATGTTTCTACAAATATTGCGATACTGGTATCGTCACAGCCGTAATCTCAACCACATAAACTTCTACCAAAGCTCTAGATTCCTCAACCCATCAAAGCAAATCACACACACAGACAGACAGACAAACAGACACGCTGTGGTACCTCCTGGTAGGTGTATCGTCCATCCACCAGTGTGTGTCCGGTCAGTCCATTGTTCCCAGCTGCAGACACAGCCAGTCGATGACAGACCACCAGAGATCCTGTGATCAGTTTGACGATCTCAAAGTTCTTCTTCAAGTCCTGGATGATGCTCTGCTGGGGGAGCACATGTGCTATGAAGATGTGTCTGTTCATTTAAAAATGTGTCATGTAATGTACTGTACTGTATTCATGTACTTTTAATGCTGTCGACTGCTGCCAACTTGGATAAGGTCTCTCTTGCAGGGGTAATGTGTGTAGGTAATGTGTGTGTGTACCTTGTCCTGTTTCTGGTAGGACTGTTTGATGAAGGAGCGTGTGATATCATGGAGCTGCCGCAGAGCTGGAACCACCCAGACCGCTTGGGGACTGCCCTGCTGAGAAGACTACACACACGCACACACACACACACACACTAGATGAGCAGTACCGTCTGATTCCTTCAGCTCATCCAATCACATGAAACAGAAAACCAGAGCCCACCCCCCACACACACCTTGACGCCCAAACATAAACTTTATCCCATCAATATCTCACCCCTTGACTTCCCCAACACACACACGCCTTATGACCTCAATGAAGACTGGCCCATTCCACAGAGAATTAGACTCCTGCTGTAGTAGTGAAACAGCTCATGTTACCCTGCGTTCATAACCAAGTGGGAAGGTGGCATTTACCACATACAACTAGGAAAGATCCACTTGAATGCCTCTCCAACTGGTAATTACTAGTGGGAAACTCGTCTTTCATCCCTGAGCTCCGACTTCTCCACATGCTGACCTCTGACATCACCTACTAAGGAAATTACCTAGATAACAGCATTTTGGGCAGTTAAATGCAACAACTAAAATATTATTTATAAAAAGCAATCTATAAATATGGTTATTGAACCCTATAATTTGTTTACAAGCATGATAGCTGTACTTTTAGTTAATGGTTGACACAGCTTGTTGGCCATTAGCCAATCTGCGTTTCTCGAAGAGTTCAAAGCACGTGAATGCATCCAACTGGTATTTACGACTTCACAACTGGTCATTTCCACCTTCCCACTTGGTTATGAACGCAGCATTAAAATCAAGTGAGGCAATCCTTCAGTGACCAATCAAATCGCCCCGTGATCCAGCCCTCCTCTAGGATTGGTTGGTGTGTAGCAGTGAGAAGATTGAATGTGAATGCTGATTGGTCAGTAGAGTTTGAAGTGGAGGGGCTTCTCTTACTTTGGCCAATGAGTTTTCTTTGGCTTTCTTCTTGCCCCAGGAGCCAGTAAGAAACGAGCTCTGATTGTCGCTGGTTTTACCCTCCTCCTCAGTCTGAGTCTACAAACATAAACTGGCTTATTCAGGGCGTGTGCGTGCGTGTAAAAAAACGTACATTGATATTCAATTTGAACTCAAAGGCTGTGAGTGACAGAGAGCTTCAACCTACAGCGAGACAAAGTGTGTGTGTGTGTTTCTCACCTTCTTGATGTCTTCTATACATTTGATGATGTAGCAGCGCTTGACAGTCTCCTTCACAGCGTATGCGTCAGTGAGGATGGCCAGGTGTTCCTCAGAGGCCTGCTGTACCAGGGAGGTGGGCAGGATGGGTAGGTGGGCTAGCTCCCACAGCACCTCCAGCACCTTCCCTGTGGTGGCCTCAGACCGGGCTTCTCTACCGATCCTCCCAATCAGACTCAACAGCTTCTGCCTCACACGGTCACTCTCCACCTCCCAGCTCTGGAACACACACACAAACATTTTTTTTAAACTGTCCACCACACTTTGTAATGTTTCTAAAACAAGAAATGTATTAGAATTCAGTAAATGTGGTAGATTGCTCAATTTCATTTGATTTTTTGTGACCTGAGTCTTTTACCCAAAATATCAGATGAGACAAAATGTTCAGCTGCCCCTTTAAGGGCAGGAGGTTACCATGGTAACAGGGCCACTCGAGTCTGTGTGAGATTTGGGATGTGACTAGTAGTAGACAGCATCTACAGCATCTCTGCTATCAGCTGAAGCAGCAGATTCAAACTAACATTGAAAAACAACCGAGCTTGTGAACAAAACAATGTAAATAGCCAAGAAAGAACAGGACAAAGTCTCACTTTGCTGACTTGAGTAAATTAGACCAACTTTTATGCCTATGCCAGCGCCTCCAAAAATGTATCTATCAGCTTTTCACTCACAGTGCGCAAAGCTTTTGCTGCGCAAGGTGGGATGTAGGATTCATATTTCTTTGTGCGATTAGCAGCTATGAAACAAAACAGCAGATATACTTTGAAAACAGCTACTTCAGCATTTTTCTGCTAGAAATCGCAAATCGCACATATGCCCATACTTGACTTTTTACTATTTTTATTGACAAATGCGAATGCAATGCTCGCACTGTAGAGCCTGCAAATTGACCCCCCCCCCCCAACGTGGCTGGTGCAATAGACATTCTTACCCGCCAATACCTAAATCTACCAGCATTTGGCGGGTGTTAATTTTATGCCCTGCAAACATTACTAACACACACACTTTACTAGCCCACAGAGACATTCCTAAGCACACATACAGACCTTCTGTATAAGGACAAACAGGTGGCTGAGCTGGTCGAAGTTGAACTTGACGGCAGCGGCAGCCATGATGGTGTGGATGTTCTCAATCACCGTGGACGACTGTCCTGCCTGGATCATCCAGATCTTAGACAGCTCGTCCAGAGACAGTTTACTGCCCAGCAGCTCAATAATGGCTTTTATTCGATCACAATACTGGGCCTGGTCTATGTTACCTGGAACACACACACAGTTCTATTACTGCTTTATGTTACCTGGAATCACATCAAGATAATAGAATTACAGTTGAAGTCGGAAGTTTACATCCACCTTAGCCAAATACATTTCAACTCAGTTTTTCACAATTCCTGACATTTAATCCTAGTAAAAAATTCCCTGTCTTAGGTCAGTTAGGATCACCACTTTATTTTAAGAATGTGAAATGTCAGAATAATAGTAGAGAATTATTTATTTCAGCTTTTATTTATTTCTTCACATTCCCAGCGCGTCAGAAGTTTACATACACTGAATTAGTATTTGGTAGCATTGCCTTTAAATTGTTTAACTTGGGTCAAACATTTCAGGTAGCCTTCCACAAGCTTCCCACAATAAGTTGGGTGAATTTTGGCCCATTCCTCCTGACAGAGCTGGTGTAACTGAGTCAGGTTTGAAGGCCTCCTTGCTCACACAAGCTTTTTCAGTTCTGGCCACACATTTTCTATAGGATTGAGGTCAGGGCTTTGTGACGGCCACTCCAATACCTTGACTTTGTTGTCCTTAAGCCATTTTGCCACAACTTTGGAAGTATGCTTGGGGTCATTGTCCATGGAAGACCCATTTGCGACCAAGCTTTAACTTCCTGACTGATGTCTTGAGATGTTGCTTCAATATATCCACATAATTTTCCTTCCTCATGATGCCATCTATTTTGTGAAGTGCACCAGTCCCTCCTGCAGCAAAGCACCCCCACAGCATGATGCTGCCACCCCCGTGCTTCACGGTTGGGATGGTGTTCTTCAGCTTGCAAGCAACCCCCTTTTTCCTCCAAACATAACGATGGTCATTATGGCCAAACAGTTCTATTTTTGTTTCATCAGACCAGAGGACATTTCTCCAAAAAGTACGATCTTCGTCCCCATGTGCAGTTGCAAACCGTAGTCTGGCTTTTTTATGGCGGTTTTGGAGCAGTGGCTTCTTCCTTGCTGAGCGGCCTTTCAGGTTATGTCGATATAGGACTTGTTTTACTGTGGATATAGATACTTTTGTACCAGTTTCCTCCAGCATCTTCGCAAGGTCCTTTGCTGTTGTTCTGGGATTGATTTGCACTTTTCACACCAAAGTACGTTCATCTCTAGGAGACAGAACGAGTCTCCTTCCTGAGCGGTATGAAGGCTGAGTGGTCCCATGGTGTTTATACTAGCGTACTATTGTTTGTACAGATGAACGTGGTACCTTCAGGCGTTTGGAAATTGCTCCCAAGGTTAAACAGAGGTTTTGGCTGATTTCTTTTGATTTTCCCATGATGTCAAGCAAAGAGGCACTGAGTTTGAAGGTAGGCCTTGAAATACATCCACAGGTACACCTCCAATTGACTCAAATGATGTCAATTAGTCTATCAGAAGCTTCTAAAGCCATGACATCATATTCTGGAATTTTAAAGCTGTTTAAAGGCACAGTCAACTTAGTGTATGTAAACTTCTGACCCACTGGAATTGTGATACAGTGAATTATAAGTGAAATAATCTGTCTGTAAACAATTGTTGGTAAAAATTACTTGTGTCATGCACAAAGTAGATGTCCTAACCGACTTGCCAAAACTATAGTTTGTTAACTAGAATTTTGTGGAGTGGTTGAAAAACGAGTTTTAATGATTCCAACCTAAGTGTATGTAAACTTCCGACCACAACTGTACATAGATAAAAGTAAAAATATGTTGTTCTAGTGCTAACATTAATATTGTCCTTACCCTCCAGTGCTATTGAGAGGACAGAGTTTTCTACCAGCCAGTCCAGCAGTCTGTCTGTGTCAATGGCATTCTTCACTGTCTTAGACACAGTACTCTCCTCAATCAGCTTAGTCACCTAGACACAAGCATAAACACATTTTATACAGTTTATAGCAAGAAGCATCCACATGTACAACAGCATTACAATAAGGAGAGCGACACCAGTTTGACTTGGCGATGCTGAATTCGACAAAGGCTTCCTGTTTTTCCCCTGAGTTTTACCTCTAACCTTCCACCGTGTAACCTCTGACCTCTCACCTCTTTGAGGGAGTTCATCTTGGTAGAGAAGTGAGGAGTCTTCAGCATGCGTAGCAGAGTGTCCAGGCGCAGGTCGTCCACCACAGTGACCAGGGCGGTCTGGAACCTCATACACAGCAGCTTTATGGCCGACAGCAGCTCTGGGATGCTCACCAGCCTCTACAGGAGGGAGGGGGGGGGGGGGGTTACAATCATCAGCTGATGCTATGTTCATAGGAAACTCTGAACAGTCTGACTGGTCGCTTCAGACTTGGAAGCTCATAATGAACGGTTTTGGACACTCATATTTATAACATTTCCGGGAGCTTCCCAAGGCATGTAGAGCAGGGTCTTATGGGTATATAGGGCAGGGGGTATTGTGGTACCTTGTCTTTCAGGTCCTTCTCCTCCAGGTTCTGAACATAGGTGATCATCTTATGGATAACAGGATCCAACATGGGCTACAAACACACAGACACACACGTTATTATTAGTCTCATGAACTAATCATCATGCTGAGGATGTACCGTATGTTGCGTGTCTTAGTGTTTGTTGGAGGGAAATGCCTTACCTGCACCAGGCTGGAGTTGAGGTATTCTGCACACACAGCTAGAGGCTGGACCAGAGCGGACACACACTGCAGAGAAACAGACAGTTACATACACACATTCTCTAAAAAAACAGAATGGTTGTCTCCCACGGGTGAGACAGCTACAGTCCCTGGTGCCAGAGAGAGATTAAACATGCTAATGGTGGAGATGGTCTGGGCTGCGAAAGGGATCAATGTGTGTGTTGTTCCAGTTAGAATCCTCAAAAGGAAGGATTCACACAAGGAGACCTAAGACTAGCCACACAAGCGTGCGTGTGTGTGTGTCCTTACCCCAATCTCTATCTCCTCTGTATTTAGTTTATCCTGGATAGCAGTGAACCCTCCCATCTCTCCAAACTAAAGAGGGAGCAAGAAGGAAAATGACATTGACAGAAGAAGACAGAAACACACAGTCACATCACTGAATACAGAGACACTGACAACAACGAACGGCAATTCGACTGTAACAGAATTACGCTGACTCCAACTTTTCACTTTAAAATGCCAAACAAAAAACATAGATTTTAAAGTTGAACACGCCATACAGCCCTACGCACAATTACTGCTTTGAACAATTTGCACAGTAAAAAAATAAATTTACTGGAAAAACTGCAGATGCAAAGTTTGGTAAAAGAATTACGGTAAAATCTCCATCAGTTTTATTCTGTTACCAAACTTTGTATCTGCACAGCTCTTCCTGTAAATGTGTTTTGTAAATTTTTCTGTGGAAATTGTTAAAACGCCCACACCAGTAGAAATCCCCTTTATCGAGCTGAAAGACGATTGCCAGAGCTTATCCATGATGTTGCACAACGATTTAAGTCAATAAGTCAATGTTTTAGTCAAGTACGATACTGTATATTTGGGCTTGACGTGACAAATCCAAACTGCCCACTTCGTGCAAATCTGCGTGAATGCGGTATCTTTTCCTATGATATGGCATACAAATTATTCTCAGCCTACGTTTAGTTTCAGGACTAGGTTTTATTTTAACGTTACCACCCACCAGCATGGCATTGTATATTAATCAGAAACAGCTGCAAAGTTATTCCTCTTCGCGACTGAAATGAGCCAAACAGCCTTGTGTTCACTTGGCCGCCTGAGCCATGGAGCAAATTAAAATAGCGGATGCAAACTTGTTTTTTTTTACCAGAAAATTATCATAATCGTTTGGATTTCGCAACAAAGCCTCCTTCACTCATGCTGCCAAACATGCCCTCGTCAAACTGACTATCCTACCGATCCTTGACTTCGGCGATGTCATTTACAAAATAGCCTCCAACACTCTACTCAGCAAATTGGATGTAGTCTATCACAGTGCCATCCGTTTTGTCACCAAAGCCCCATATACTACCCACCACTGTGACCTGTACGCACTTGTTGGCTGGTCCTCACTACATATTCGTCGCCAAACCCACTGGCTCCAGGCCATCTATAAATCACTGCTAGGCAAATCCCCGCCTTATCTTAGCTCATTGGTCACCATAGCAACACCCACCCGTAGTATGCGCTCCAGCAGGTATATATCACTGGTCATCCCCAAAGCCAACACCTCCTTTGGCTGCCATTCCTTCCGGTTCTATATCGTGGAGCTCCGCCCCATTGGAGCTCTGCTCCTATTGGTTTACCCCGCTGCCTAGGCAGCGAACAGCCTGAGACAAAATTATGCACACACCTGCAGCCAATAGGAGTACAGGTGTCCCTATAAGAGGGGACGCTTCCCCTCAATCAGCCTCCCATTATCTTCAGCGACTGGACTAAGACTGAAGAGCCTACAAGAGACGAAGACTCAGGACGAGAAAACGCCGTCGATTTTCCAGTTTATCGACGTTGTCCTAAAATGAGCACACCGGGATGTTTTCCACCCCCAAAAGCTATTTTTAGAGCTCAATGCCGCTGTGCCTCCATGGCGGCTGTGGACTCCCACGACTTGTGTTTCGTGTGTTTGGGTTCATAGCACGCCAAGGATGGCGTCAGCGTACCCCCTATTTGCGCCAGCTGCGACCTCCTTCCATTGAAGGAGAGGAAGCAGCGTTGGGCGTTTTTTAGGGAGGATATTCCTCTGGAGGACGTGCTATCGGTGCTAGCCTCTGCTTCAGAGGCATCATCAGAGGGCGCCGACTCCGGAGAGGACAGGGATTATGGGGATGAGACGGATATTCCCATGGAACAATCCGTCCCTCTGAGCCAGATGTTCAAGACCCCCTTTCGTTTGGAAAGCGAGAGGTCTTGTAATTCCCTTTTCTCTAAGAGATCAGTAGCCCTGTCCTTTGCTGCAGCCTCTCTGCGTTCAGACTTTCCTGGACTCATTGAGAGGGCTGCTCGACGCTTAGAGATAGCGCTGCCCCCCATTCCCTCCGCACCGGAAGTGGATATGATGGAGGGCGGCCCCTATTCTCGGCCAAGGAGTGCGGCAGAGCCTCTGGCTCCAGCAATGCCCTCGCTGGCAAAGTACATTGAGGGCTCATGGGAGGCGCCTCTGGCGGCGCATTCGCCGGCCAAAGCGTACCTCCCATTCACCAGAGTGGAGGGAAGGCATCAGGGCTTCACTAAGGGAATCCCCAGGCTAGAGAGCGCCCTGGCTGCGTCTCGTGCCGGGTTCGAGTCCCTGGCCCTCTTCCAAAAAGGCCACCTTGCCGACGCAAAAGGACCACCTCACAGCACAGCTGGTAGAGAAGTCCTTTACGTTGGGATCCCAAGCTGTAGCAGCAGAAAATAACATTGCCCTCCTAGTGGCCTCTCTGTCCCGTTTAACCTCGAGTAAGACTGAGCTAGACAGGGAGGAGGTGGAAGAGGCGTCCAGGATTTCTGGCGCTATTCCTCACCTAACACAGGCATTGGCTGTCTGCGCGGGGAGATCCATGGCCACTTTGGTGGTCGCGGAACGACACCTGTGGTTGTCACTGACGACCATGAAGGAAGCCGACAGAGCGTCGCTCTTGAACGCCCCCTTCTCTGACGACGGACTCTTTGGAGTCACCTTCAAAGAGGCGACGGAGCGTTTCACTAAACTTGACTAGGAGAGGAAGCAGCTGGTCAGACACCTGCCACTGGCAGGGAGGTTAGGCCACATGACCCAAATGCCGTCCACCTCCACCACCGCGAGTAGAGCAGGCTCTACTGCGAGGCGTCGTGCCCGGCGCCAGACGGCGGCTACGAGCAGCAGGAGAGAGTGCTCCACCCCCCCCAGCAGCTACTGTGGCCCCCGATGACGCAGCCGGCGAGGGAAGTCGTCAGAACGTCGCCCTGGAAGCCTAAGGGCAACCAGAAGAGACAACGCACCTGACGGGACGCGGGGAGAGAATAGAAGATGGCGCAGCGACGAGGTCGACTGTACCCGCTATTCCCCCCCACCCTAGGGTTGAAGGAGAATGTTTTTGTTGAAGTTGTTAATAAAGAGTTGGCTCCACTTGACTTTGTCACAAAAGAGCCCCTTTTCCATAACACATTTGAGAGCGTTCAACTCTCCTCACCTTCTCCCTCACCACTCTGAGCGCAGCTCAGCCCACCTAGAGTGCGTAGCTGAGCGCACACATGAGGCAGGTGTTAAACAGGTATCAAGGCGCCGCCTTGTGTTACCTTATAAAGACCCCACTTTACAGAATCCTAGGAGTACTGCAGTGAGGGTCTCACATAGCAGGATGCAGTCTCAGTCAGATAATGGCATGATGACGCGACCGCTATTCGGGGACGGCGCTCTGTCTCAGGCTAACGCCTCAGTCAGTGCAGTTCATACCCGTGCTGCATTCACGGAGGGCAGGGATATCGCGGTTACGAGTGTAACCAACATATCGGCGCCCCCGTTTCTCTCAGAACGCGCTGATGTTCACCACTCTGAGTGTAGCTCAGCCCACCAAGGGTGCGTAGCTGAGCACACACAGAAGGCGAGTGTAAAAAGGGTAAGAAGGTGCCGCCTTGCTTTACCTTGTGAAGACCTCACTTTGCAGACTCCTAGGAGTACTGCAGTGAAGGGCTCACATAGCAGACTGCAGTCACAGCCAGGTACTTGAATGATGACGCAATCGCTTTCTGGGGATGGCGCTCTGTCGCCTCTGTCAGTGCGGTTCAGACCCGTGCTGCGTTCACGGAGGGCCGGATTACTATGGTTACGAGTTTAACCATGTATCGGCGCCCCCGTTTCTCTCAGAACGCACTGATGTTACCTCTCCCTTTCTTGGGAGGCCCGCCTTGGGCTGTTCCACCACTTCAGTGCTGGGGAACAGCGGTGGCGAGGGCTGTCGAGGAATACAGGTTCTTCCTACTAAGTGTACCACAGCTCCGCGCTCTTCCGCTTTCTCTGCATTGCTGGGAGTGGCGGCGAAGCTGTACTCTCTCCCACTGGCTAGACCAGGTGTTGGAGAAGGGTTATGCCATCCATCAATTTCATCGGACCCCCCCCCCGGAGACGGTGATGAAAACGCCTGAAAAAGTGGCCCCTCTGGTTTCAGAGATTATGGAACTTTTGGTGAAGGAGGCGATCACAGTAGTTCCCCAGCCAAACGGCCCTTCCGAATGCTAATGACAAAACGTCTACTGGAATGTGTCCAGAAGGGAGACTTTTGTACGAGCATAGACCTAAAGGACGCATACTTTCATGTGTCGGTGCAGCCGCGTCACAGAAAGTTTCTGCGATTCGCCTTTCAAGGGGTGGCGTACAAGTTCACGAGGATGCCATTTGGGTACGCCCTGGCACCTCACATGTTTTCCAAATGTGTGGAGGCGGCATTGGAACTGTTGCGTCGTCAGGGAATAAGGCTACTAGCCTACCTAGACGACCTACTGGTTCTCGCCCCATCAGCAGAGCTGGCGTTCACTCACACGACACAGACAGTGATTCATCTCACACGTCTGGGGTTCGCTGTGAATTGGAAAAAGAGCGCACCCTGGCCCAGTCATCAGATTGTCTACTTGGGGATACAGCTAGACACTGTAATGAGGGCTTGAATTTCGGACCCTCGAAGGGTAGCCCTGTTGCTAGCCCTGAGAAGGTTTTGTCCGAATCACACGGTAACGGCGCTGTCAGTCATGTCACTCTTGGGTCTCATGTCGTCAGCCCATTTCGTGGTTCCGCTGGGACTCATGCGCATGCGCAGGATGCAGCGATGGTTCGCCCAACTAAGACTAGACCCAGTGCGTCAATGTCATCGGTTGGTGGTGGTTCCCCTCTCGCTCAGTGCAGATCTGAACTATTGGAGAGACCCGAGCGTTCTCACGCACAGAGTCCCCATAGGGAAAGTGTCCTCCTACATTCCAGTGTTCACAGATGCCTCTCTGACTGGATGGGGAGGGACATGTCAGACCCAAGCGATAGGAGGTGTGTGGCCTCTTTCGAGTCGTCACATCAACCTCTTGGAGTTGGAAACGGTTTGACTGGTTCTGACCCACTTCGCGTCTACCCTTCGGGGTCGCGATGTGTTGGTCTGGTCAGACAACCGGACCACAGTAGCCTACATAAATCGCCAGGGAGGAGTCAGGTCTCCTGCACTCCACCGGTCGGCAGAGGAACTGTGGCTGTGGGCTCACGAGCACCTTCGCTCGTTGAGAGCAGCACACATTCCAGGATACTTGAACGTGGGAGCAGACCTCATGTCTCGAGGGGGACCTCGAGACGACGAGTGGCGTCTGCACCCGGACATTGTTCTCCAAATTTGGGAACAGTTCGGGAGAGCCGAGGTGGATCTATTAGCGTCACGCGTGAACGCACATTGTCCTCTATGGTTCTCTCTGAGGGATCAGGACGAACCGCCACTGGGGAGGGACTGACCATGGCCGAGAGTTCTGCTGTATGCATTCCAACCGCTGTCCTGCATTCTCCCACTGTTAGCCAGGGTGAGATCAGGCGGGCTGTCAATAATATTGGTGGCCCCCGATCGCCCAGGGGCTCCATGGTTTGTGGAGATGAGTCAGATGTTGATTGCGCCACCTTGGCCAATTCCACATCGACGGGACACGTTGTCTCAGGCGGAGGGCTCGATAGGGCGAGTGCCCATAATCGGCCAACCACTGAAGGCTTGGCTCCTGAGAGGGACAGGCTAGAGCGCTGTGGGTTATCTGATTCAGTAATCAGGACCATAAAGGGTTCACGTGCCGGTTCCACTTCCATGGTGTATGCCAGTAAATCGAATGTATTTTCACAGTGGTGTGTCACAGAGAATGTAGACCCCATGATCTGTCAGGTTGAGAGTGTACTCTCGTTCCTGCAGTTTGTTTGATAAGCAGTGATCGCCCGCCACCATTAAATCGCAGCGGCGATTTCAGCTTGTCACAAGGGGTTTGGCAGAGACACTGTCTTCAGCCACCCTCTAGTGAAACGTTTCTTATTAGGAACGCGGTGGCTTAGGCCAATGCCTAGAGCCACGCTTCCTCAGTGGGATTTGGCTTTGGTACTCGAAGCGCTCTGTGAGTCGCCGTTCGAGCCATTGAATCAAATACCCCTCAAGATGCTGTCATTGAAGACGGCACTGTTGCTCGCTTTGACCACTGCTAAGCGTGTCAGTGATTTGTGCGCTCTGTCGACGAGAGCCGACTGCCTCGCCTGGCGATTTGAGCAGGGCAGTGTTACGTCCTAACCCGGCTTTTATGCTGAAGGTTATTAAGAGCTCATATAGATCACAGATCGTTGAGCTGTGGGACCTTTCTCCCCCTCCTCATGGGGAGAGGAGAGGCTCCATCGCCTGTGCCCGGTACGTGCTTTAGCATGTTATGTGGAGCGCATGGCGGCGATTAGGTCATCACCTCAGTTGTTTGTGTGTCACGGTGCGGCTGCACTGGGTAGACCACTTTCAAAACAGTGGTTGTCTCACTGGCTTTGCGAAGGCATTGAGACGGCGTATGAGGCAGCGGGGCGACCATTGCCTCAGGGCGTGAGGGCTCACTCTACTCGTGGAGTAGCAACCTCTACGGCTCTTTTCAGAGGCACGGGAGTAGAGGATATTTGTGCAGCGGCGTCGTGGGCGTCACAGTCTCCTTTTATCCGTTTCTATCTCCTGGATATGTCTTCTAACTCTTTGGCTCAGTCTGTACTCAGTGTGGCTGAGGGGAGGACTTGAGGTAAGAGAGAGGAATGCAGGACCGAAGAGACAGGTCTCTTTCAGGTCCGCTTCTGATAGAGAGACATATTTGAGCATGACACCTGACTGACATGTTCAGTACAGTAGAAGGCATGTATTGATCTGCCCACCAGTGAATAACTGGGTTGCGGCGGAATGATGAGGGACAATAGTAGTAACCATGGTTAAAGTACTATTAGACCGGTCATGATAATTTGACGGAATGTGACGTCATCTATCTGCTGGTTCGGATTAGTATGACTGCCCACTAATCTTTGGGATTCCATTGATTGGGTGGGGCGGGGGGGCTACTGTGTACACAAAGTAGAGTGACACTTTGTGTCATTCCATTAGTGGTCGGTATTGTTGTAACAGGATATTGGAGGTACCATCTATCTGCTAGTACAGATTAGTATGGCCCGTATTCTGGTTATCTGCCCACCAGACATTGGTGATGCCAATGGACTGGTTGGGCAGGTTTGAACCGATGACGCAGTATATTGTGACACAATGTGTTACAGTACTGCGGGACTTGGTTGCAGCCATTGCTAGGCCTGACCTTTTCGTTTCGATGGGAAGTGTTGGGCTTGGCAGGGAGTACATTTTGGAGCGTTGCGCTCCACCTTAAACCAATAGGAGCAGAGCTCCCCTATGGGGCGGAGCTCCACGATATAGAACGATAGTTACCGGAGTGTAACTCCAGTTCTATGAGTGGAGCGGAGCCACATTGGACTTAAGGCCCTGCCGACCCTCTCTAGTCTCGCTGAAGATAATTTTGGGAGTCTGATTGAGGGGAAGCGTCCCCTCTTATAGGGACACCTGTACTCCTATTGGCTGCAGGTGTGTGCATAATTTTGTCTCAGGCTGTTCGCTGCCTAGTCTCCCGAGTGGCGCAGTGGTCTAAGGCACTGCATCGCAGTGCTAGCTGTGCCACTAGAGATCCTGGTTCGAATCCAGGCTCTGTCGTAGCCGGCCGTGACCGGGAGACCCATGGGGCGGCGCACAATTGGTCCAGGGTAGGGGAGGGAATGGCCGGCAGGGATGTAGCTCAGTTGGTAGAGCATGGCGTTTGCAACGCCAGGGTTGTGGGTTCGATTCCCACGGGGGGCCAGTATGAAAAATATAATGTATGCACTCACTAACTGTAAGTCGCTCTGGATAAGAGCGTCTGCTAAATGACTAAAATGTAAATGTAGACAGCGGGGTAAACCAATAGGAGCAGAGCTCCCCTATGGGGCTCCGCTCCACTCATAGAACTGGAGTTACACTCCGGTAACTATCGTTCTCTGCTGCCAATGACTGGAACGAACTGCAAAAATCTTTGAAGCTGGAGACTCTTATCTCCCTCACTAACTTTAAGCATCAGTTGTCAGAGCACCTTACCGATCACTGCACCTGTGCACAGCCCATCTGAAATTAGCCCACCCAACTACCTCATCCCCATATTGTTATTTATTTTGCTCATTTGCACCCCAGTATCTCTATTTGCACATCATATCTTGCACATCTATCATTCCAGTGTCAATACTAAATTGTAATTATTTTGCACTATGGCCTATTTATTGCCTTATCTCCATAACTTGCTACATTTGCACACACTGTATATATATTTTCTGTTGTATTTTTGACTTTGTTTTGTTTACCCCATATGTAACTGTGTTGTTGTTTTTTTATCGCACTGCTTTGCTTTATCTTGGCCAGGTCACAGTTGTACATGAGAACTTGTTCTCAACTGGTTTACCTGGTTAAATAAAGGTGACATTTTTTTTTTTTTTATAAAAACAGTGTCTAGGGTTTACTGAGAATGGTAAGACAAACTAAAAATAGCCAGTCAGCGGAAGTCCTGTGGGCGAAAACAACTCGTTGATGAGAGGTCGAAGGAGAATGGCAAGAATCGTACAAGCTAACAGGTGGGCCACAAACAGGCAAATAACGGCACAGTACAACAACAGTGGTGTGCAGAACAGCATCTTGGAACGCACAACTCGTTGGTCCTTGTCACGGATGGGTTATTGCAGCAGACGACCAAAGTGGTTTCCACTCCTATATTTTACATTTTAGTCATTTAGCAGACGCTCTTATCCAGAGCGACTTACAGTTAGTGAGTGCATACATTTATTTTATTTTAATATCAGCCAAAAACAAGAAGCGGCCATATTGGGCACAAGTTAGGTCCCTTGACACCAATTGAGCAACATTTCCACCCCCCGAAGAATTCAGGTTGTTCTGGACGCAAAAGGGGGGTCCGACCCGGTACTAGATGGGTGTACCTAATAAACCATTTTATAAATGGTATAATTGCGTGATATGATAGCATTTTGCAAACCCGCTCCCCCCGTCGCCCCAAGATAAATGGTTTTGATGGCTAAAGTTTTGCTTCACTACACGCTCCACTGCTTTGACTGGTGGAACATTAGCTAGAAACCACAAGTGTCTATCCAGATAATGACAAGGCACAACCGAAATAATATTCAAAGGAAAGTAATTGTAGCCTATCATTTCACTTCCCCTGTGAGAACCATGAGCATGGACTGACTTTTCTTTGCTGTACCGCAGCCGAAGCATGCCAGCAGCCTACTTACCAAAGGTTGCACCATGCCCATTACAATGAAGAAAAACACATATCAGCTCTTTCAATAGTTATCCATATTACCGGATCTTCATCTTATTCTTTCTAACTATTTCTATGGTGGATTCGCAGCCGCAATTCATGGAAGATGCCAAAACTTTGGAGAAAACAAAAGATGGAGAAGTCAAAGATAGCCCAGTGGTTGCTATCTGTGGCGAAGTCTTGACAAGCTGATCATAGCGAAAAAGAAAATACTTCTGCATTTCCCGCTGTGTAAACACATTGTAAATAAGCTCACAAGAACTCCTGATGAATTTGGGTAGTTGATATTCTGAGCTTAAATAGCCAAATTGATTAGTCACAGGAATCAGGACTAACAAAGCCAATGCAACGGCCTGTTTTACAAACGGTGGGCCTACCACATGGATGGGCATTCATAAAATTCAATTGAGGGCTGACATTGTAGGCTACACCCCAGTAAGCACGAGCCAACTTCTTTTTTTGGTCCTGTCCGGACGTCTTTTTTTGGTGTTTTACAAACGGTAGGCTTACTACATAGATGGGCATTCATAAAATAAAATTTCACCGAAATAGTGGCGGCAACGTTCTCAGCATAATTCTGTTGCCATGGAATTGCCCTGAACTACCATAGAGGTGTGTGTAGGTGAGTGTGTGTGGGGGGGGGCTTACCCGATTGACCAGGTCTACCAGCCAGCCATGAGGCTCCTGTAGAAACAAAGGCACACACACGTGATCAGTCACACAAACATTCGCTCTTTTTTATTTTTATACTTGTGCTTTCGCACCACACCCACATTACAGCCTCACCTTCTGGTAGTTGTTGCTAGGCGACACAGCAAACATGGCTTCCTCTCCAAACACCTCGCTCCAGTTCCTCTGACACATCTTCATACGGTTCTTAAAGTGGTACTCATTGTCTGGGTTAAAGGCCTACAGACATACAGAGCGAGAGAGAGCTAATCGTTTAAGGGGTGAGGTGTGTAAATGTTATTTGATGTGACGTGGTGTGTGTATACTGTATGCATGAGGTGTGTGTACCCACAATAGTCAGTACACCCATCAGGCCAACAGGTATGGGGTCCCGTTTGACTCTCTCAGCCACCAGCTCCACCAGTAACATCAACATGTTGTAGATCCCCTCATGGATCTCTGTCCCCCACTTATGGACCGCACTACTGGTCAGGAGCTAGAGAGGGATGGTAAGAGGGAGAGCGAGAGAAAGCAGAGTGAGTGAACGTGTCAATGTTCCACCAAACAATCCGGTTCAAATATGCTTCCTATATTGAAGATGAGGGAAACTGGATTTGAAACAGGCTCTACAGCTCTCACTTACAAGTGTTATGCATACACACTCAAACCCTTAAAGGCCTCATGCATGCATACACACAACTCACCTTCTTAAAGGCCTCGTGCATACACCTGTCCATAAACCGCTTACAGTTTTCATCCGCATCTGCCAGACCTGAGTGAGAGACAGTGTGAAAGAGAGAAAGTGAGAGACAGAAAGTGAGAGGAGAAAGCGAGAGAGAGAGAGAGAGAGAGAGAGAGAGAGAGAGAGAGAGAGAGAGAGAGAGAGAGAGAGAGACTGTAGTTATTGATTGACAACTGGGTGGAAAATAATAGTGTGAAAAGCATCCAACAGTGACAAGACACAAAAACCAAAACAAACCCACCCCACACACTTACTCGCTCTCTCTTACCGTGTTTGGCGAGGCAGGTGGCTGCGACCAGACATTTGCCCAGTGACTCCTCTCTCTTGTAGGGGATGGACCAGTGGTCAGTGAACACTCTGTTCTCCAGTTCATACAGGTTAGTGGTGGGGAACTCCATACTGCTGCCTGAACAGTTCCCATTCTCATCATTACTCCTCTGAAACACACAGAAACACTTAATAGTTCTACCAGTGATGCAGTACTCGAGATCGGTCTTGAGACCACATATTGAGTGTCTTGGTCTTGTCTCGCTGTCAGACATTTTTTATTTTTTTTACTTGGCCGGTCTAAGGCACTGCATCGCAGTGCTAGAGGCGTCTCTACAGATCCGGGTTCGATTCCGGGGTGTGTCGCAGCCGGCCGCGACCCAGAGACCCATGAGGCAGCGCAAAACTGGCCCAGCATCGTCCGGGTTAGGCGAGGGTTTGGCTGGCTTGGATGTCCTTGTCCCATCGCGCTCTAGCAACTCCTTGTGGCGGGTCGGGCGCATGCACGCTGACTTCGGTCGCCAGCTGGACGGCGTTTCCTCCGACACATTGATGCAGCTGGCTTCCGGGTTAAGAGAGCAGTGTGTCAAGAAGCAGTGCAGTTTGGCGGGGTCGTGTTTCGGAGGACTCATGGCTCTCGACCTTCGCCTCTCCCGAGTCCGTACGGGAGTTGCAGCGATGTAACAAGACTAACTACCAATTGGATATCACGAAATTGGGGAGAAAAAGGGGTACAAATAAAAATAAATCAAATATATATATATATATATATATATATATATATATATATATATATATAACATTTTACTCGGTCTCGGACAATGAGGACTCGTTATTTCTTCCAGAGACCAGCGGAGTAAAAAACTAAATTATCAGCTCCCATTAAATCTGACTCAGCACATAAAACTGCTTGGTCAGGCCAAATATCCACACTCCTTTCATGACACATTAACATCTTATCGCCAATTGAAACCTGGGCTTCCTACTTTACTCGTAACATTACTGTCCTTTACTTTCATTGAAAAATATCCTCAAACTGTCATGCTCGTTAGAATTTCCTTTGATTCGCTGTTATGAATGTGGTAAATGTTTGAAAGTTGTGCGCTCACAATCATTAGGGGAGACTGGGGGAAGTTGGAACATATTTTGTCTTTATCTATTATAGACCTGTTTGGGTTAGTGATAATTTGAAGACAGCTGACATAATCTGCTGTGTGTAGAGAATAGAGATGGTACCTTAACCCCTAGACTAGAGATCCGCCTCACGATCGAATGCCAAGCAGTTGCAATACCAAGCGGTGATGCAACCAGTCAAGATGCTCTCAATGGTGCAGCTGTAAAAACCTTTTTTTTAAGGATCTGAGGGCCCATGCCAAATCTTTTCAGCCTCCTGAGGGGGAAGAGACATTGTCGTGCCCTCTTCACGACTGTGTTGGTGTGTGTGGACCATGATAGAGCCTTAGTGACCCCTCCACTACAGCCCTGTCGATGTGAATGGGGGCATTGCTCGGCCCTCTGCTTCCTGTAGTCCACGATCAGCTCCTTCGTCTTGCTGACGTTGAGGTTGTTGTCCTGGCACCACACCGCCAGGTCTCTGACCTCCTTCCTACAGGCTTTCTCATTGTCGTGTTGCGTTTCTCCTTTTGTTTGGTGACCCCTGTATCAAAATGCAACATTCCAAAACGTAGCTGACTGTTCTGCAGGTTGTCCTCTAACCAGTGATGTAAAAATACAGTATATCCCGTTTCCATGTGGTTTTAGAGTTGTGGTAGTTTAAACAGCGCATATCCCCACCCCAATCAATGTGTGATTTATTGCCACTTGACAAAACAACATGGTTTTGGCACTTGCGCAGTTTATAAGTAGCTCCTTCAAAAAATATATAATACTTATGATAACTACTGTTGCAAATGTATATGTAGATAGTATATTTTATGTTTATGTTTTCAATATATCACAAACTGTTTCTGCATACTGGTTATTGATTTGGACACTTTAAAACTGTTTTGACATTCGACTATTATTTATCAATTTGTCTTGTCAACAGGAAGCAGCAATAGCATCATTTTCAACATACGTTTTAGGAATATAAACGGAACTTTCAAAATTAATTTCCAATGGTATTTCACTTAAACAGGTAAAAACTGCTGAATGAATCCAAAAACGTGCTGTGATTGAGTTATTTTATTGATACCCAAATCACCAAAACGGTTTTGCCCTGCCTACTTGATGCTCTCTAGCTAGCTAGCAGCAGCTGTATGCTGGTGTTTAGACATCTAGACATGATCTAGTTCAGACGGGTTACACATCACGTTGTCACTGGACTATGAACAATTTAAATAGCTTTTTTTATTAGACAATATTTAAAGCACAAGATGGCCACATCAGCTTCACGGGCGATTGCGAAATCTCAGCTTCTCACTCCTCTATTGTACCTAGCTATAGCCAGCTTAGTTCGCGTAGCTAACTTTGGCTAGCTAAATTTTTACATTTTAGTCATTTAACAGACGCTCTTATACAGAGCCCATACATGAGCAATTAGGGTTAAGTGCCTTGCACAAAGACACATCGACGGATTATTCACGTAGTGGGCTCAGGGATTCCAACCAGTGACCTTTCGGTTACTGGCCCAACGCTCTTAACAGCTAGGCTACATGTCGCCTAATAACTAGCTCCATTACATTTACATTTCAGTCATTTAGCAGACGCTCTTATCCAGAGCGACTTACAGTTAGTAAATGCATACATGTTTTTTTTTTCTCTCCATACTGGTCCCCCGTGGGAAACGAACCCACATCCCTGCCGGCCAAACCCTCCCCTACCTTGGACGACCAATTGTGCGCCGCCCATGGGTCTCCCAGTCGCTGCCGGCTGCGACAGAGCCTGGACTCGAACCAGGATCTCTAGTGGCATTACATTATGCTAAACTGCATACAGATGTGCATTTTCCCCAAGAGAATGAATGCGAAGATCTTAATCTCACCACATTCACTCTGCAAACCTTCATTAATAACTATTGCAAAACACTAGCTAGTTGGTTAGCAACTTTGCCCATGTAGTAGAGATTCGCGCATTCCCCATCCCCTCCCCCAAGCGCTGGGCTAGCTAACTAGCTAGCTAGGTAACGTTATCTAGCAACAACTACATTCTGATGTTGGCTAGTGTGCACCCAATTTCAATACTGATCATGAAAGTAGCTACTGTATTTGCAACTCAACTAGCCGGGGTGTCGAATTTATACCCCGAGATTGAGCTAGCTAACTGTAAATTGAGTTATACACGCCGTAGGTTTTCCCTCTCTATTTTGACAGCCAGGCATGAGCGCAGCCCGCTATGGAATATTGTTGGGCGAGCCTGGTCTGCCTACTAGCCATCATCGCTAGATTTGATGGCGCTAACGACGTTAGCTAGTTTGGTGTTCTAGTTTACGAAGCCAACGAACTAACGTTGCCATCCTTCTTCACCCTTACCTCGCTCTCCACCACATCGTGGTAGGCGGGAGGTGGGTCGAACCCTCCAGTCCCAGTCCGCCCGCTGGACTCCCCGTCTCCACTCGGGCCTGGGGTAGGGCCACTCTCCATCGGCTCATATCCATACCCAAGACCGGGGCTTTCGTTGGTCAGGAGCGCCACAGCCTCGTTGATGTCGTTCTTCGCCAGGCGTAGCGCCTTGCGTATCGCCACTGCATCTGGGAAACCCATGCAGAGGAGAGTCGTCATATGTTGCTCCTCTTCTGTCTCCATGGTTAGGTTTGGTGTCTCAGGCTAGCTAGAAACGGGGTGTAAAACAGCACAGCCCTGTAGCGGTGCACGGCGCCATGTTTACAATCACGCAGGCTGTCACGATGGTTCACTGGACACTTCGTGCGTAGAACGTCAGCACCATGACCCACCCATATGAACCGAAGAGAGGACTAAGGATTTTTTTATTTCACCTTTATTTAACTAGGTAAGCCAGTTGAGAACAAGTTCTCATTTACAACTGCGACCTGGCCAAGACAAAGCAAAGCAGTGCGGTAAAAACAACAACAACACAGAGTTACATATGGAATGAACAAAACGTACAGTCAATAACACAATAGAAAATCTATATACAGTGTGTGCAAATGTAGTAAGTTATGGAGGTAAGGCATTAACCCAAAACATCTAACATTAGGTTGACTTCATCATTAATGATTAGTTAGCTCTGCAAACACCTGTCAAACTAACATGATGTTTCACACTGATTCTAAGTGTTCATAATGCAACATGACTACAGGCAAAACAGCATGGACAGCTCGAGCTCTCGCTACACTCGAACACTGACAAAACAATAGAAATATAAAACGATCAATCAATATGAATAGGAACACTACAAATGAATCGTGATATAATTGTTTATGTGATGATGGTGACACAACCACAGGACGTAGCACGCAACTGTCAAGGAAAAGGGTGTAGCTTAGTGGGTAAGAGCGTTGTGCAAGTAACCGAAAGGTCGCTGGTTCTAATCCCCGAGCCGACCAGGTGAAAAATATGCCCTTAAGCAAGGCACTTAACCTTAATTGCTCCTGTAAGTCACTCTGGGAAAGAGCGTCTGTTCAATGACGTAAATGTAAAATGTGTGGCTCGAAGACGGGGAATATTAAATGTCACGTGAAGCTCTCCATCATGTGACTGGCGGAAAGGCAAAATGGCGGCCACGGGAAAGGAGGCTGCTGCGATGGACAGCATCTCCAGAGTACCCCCGGCCCATCCCACCGTCCTCAGCCTGGGAGGGAGCTCCGAACCCCAGGGAGAGCCTGGCGAGACTGCTGCTGAGGACCAGGTTGTGCCCGCGGCGCCCAAGAAGCCCACCACCAGCAGCAGTGAGTGGTGCTTGCTAGCTTCCAATTCCAGCTAACGAATGAAGATGTCCTGGCTGCAAGTTGATGCGCTGTTTTAGTTATTGAGAGGAAGAAGATGAACAATTTGTTTGTTGTTTACTCCGTGTCCATCTTCTGATATGAGACTGGTGTTAGTACCTTAAGGGCCTTTTGGGGGCCCTAAGTGAGATTTGGTTCGTACCTTGTTACAATAGATTACATTAGAATGCAGTAGCTAAGCCTACTATCACAACATCATGCCAAGGGACTGGCAAATTGGTCCTTCATCTGAGGGAGGGGCCAGCAACATCCTCTAGAGTAGGGATGATGGGATGTTTCTACAACAAAATGTAAATGGTGTGTATCTCTGCTGTGTGTGTAGGTGACGGTGGGGTGGAGACTGCAGAGGAGGCCGTAGAGCCAGCAGAGTCGGACATCAATGAGCTCTGTACAGACATGTTCGATAAGATGGCTGTCTTCCTACAAGGAGAACTCACAGGTCTGCCTGTCTATCTGTCTGACTTCCTGCATGTCAGTCTCCCCTGCCTGTCTCTGACTGTCTTCTATCTCTGTCTCTCCCTTTACACTGTCCTATACAGTTGCATACAGTCTCATGCTCCCCCATTTCCCTCTTCTCCCAGGCACCTGTGAGGACTACCGTCTGCTGGAGAACATGAACAAGCTGACCAGTCTGAAGTACATGGAGATGAAAGACATCAGCATTAACATCAGCAGGAACCTGCAGGACCTCAACCACAAGTGTATGTTTATTAGCCCTTCAAACGTGAAGGGGACGCTTGCGACCCTTTCTGAAAATGAAGTCTAACCTTAATTTAGCTGAAAAATATATTGTTTTATTGTGTGTTACAGACGCCAGCCTCCAGCCCTATCTAGACCAAATAAACCAGATTGAAGAACAAGTGTCGTCTCTGGAGCAGGCTGCTTATAAACTGGACACCTACTCCAAAAAGCTTGGTAAGACAGACACACACACACAGAGTAACATGCCTGTGGAGACACAGACCATAGCTTCATATTGCAGGTCTAGATTTAGGCTGTAAGTGGAGAAGAGCCTACTGAGTTCCAGTGTGTAACCTTAACCCTCACCAGACTGACTGGGGGAGAGAAGCGGTAGATATAAATAAATATATGTTAGCTCGGTCACTGGCTTCTCTATTAGAATCTGCTAGCAGTCTCTATGGCAAATGTGCTAAGAATAGCCGTTCTGCAGTGTTCAGCTCAACATTAAAGCCCCCATGCAGTCTTTTAAATTTTATTTTCAAATAATCACTGTATGTCTAATAAAAGTTATTTCAACAATAACTCCTAAATATATTTGTATCATTTATTTTCCTGATCATCTTTTGGCCATTGAAATGCTCAGTCTGATCATGTGGGCGTTAGGAAAGAAATGTGAAGATATTTACATAGCCCTGATTGGCTGATAGATGGTCTAGAGCCCACCCCCTTACCCAGATGAACGGTTATTGGTCTTTTATAATCAGATCAGATTGTGACGTCATGATTGGGGCCAAAATCTCCATCCCACCTGAACAGGCTGTGTTATTTTGACCTCATAGTGTCATATAAAAAATTTACTGGCCCTTTAATGTTAGGGCTTTTATTTGGAACAGCCTGAGGGTGTCCTCTGCTGTTTAACTTCACCTCTACACCCTGAGCTCCAACAGCAGAGAGCGCTAGCACACTGTCCCAAATCAACAGCAAAAAATTCACTTCCCTTGGACACAAGTGTGTGAGACTGACTGACTGTGTGGAGGAAGGTGAGCGAGTTAATCTCTGTCTGTCTCTCTGCAGAGGCCAAGTTCAAGAAACTGGAGAAGCGATGAGGAGGAGTAAATATGGAAGAAGAATATAAGGAAAGGAGGAAGAGGGGTTGATTGAGGAGGCCTGAGGGGTACTGGTCCTCCTTCTCCCTGTCTGTAGACCAACCCTAACCCATTTGATTTGAGGAAGCAAGACCCACATCTTTACAACATCAGCCTGATATAGAGAGGTATGAGGTAGCCTGGGGTTGGTTGGAGGGATATCCCAGATGTTAGACCTAGAATTATCATTTTGGTTGGATCATTAAAGTTGCATGTAGATGGGGCTTTGGGTAGTTTATTGAGTCCTTATTCCTGTTAGCAGCGTTCCAGGCCGCTCTGTGTCGTCCTGTCACAATTGTAATTTACTTCCTGGATTTAGTGAATTTATCCTGAATTGACCCCTACCCTGGTGCACACTACCCTAGAGTCACCAACCTCCTAACCTTGAAGTTACACAGCTAAGAAGATGAGGACAACCAAATTAAGGCCCCCTGTAGCTCAGTTGGTAGAGCATGGCGTTTGCAACGCCAGGATTGTGGGTTCGATTCCCACGGGGGACCAGTATGAAAATGTATGCACTCACTAACTAAGTCGCTCTGGATAAGAGCGTCTGCTAAATGACTAAAATGTAAATGTGAATTCACTTTTCTACTGATGGACTTTAGCTTCTTTAAAGATTTTCTTCTGCTGGCATCATGAACTGAATTCAAACCTTTTATGATACTTTTCTGCTTGTGTATACTAATGTCCCTTAAAAGCATTGCCATACATGTTTGATTGCATCATGTGTAAAATGTATCTTCTAAAAACATTAACTTTGAACTGAAAATACATTTGTGAAGGAAACTGATGTGTTGTCATTTGGCCAGCAGATGGCAGCGGTACTCCATGTTCATACTGCAGTGCAGACTGCGTGAGAGACTGGGGTGTGATCTCCCAGAGGACATTGTTGATTCACATTTCTGAAACATTCTCCCAAGCCCCGGACCCCAACCAACCACACACACAGACCCCCTCTGCACCCTAACTCACCACAGACCCCCTCATATCCAGAGCAACTTACTGGAGCAATTAGGGTTAATTGCCTTGCTCAAGGGCACATTGACAGATTTTTCACCTAGTCATCTTGGGGATTCGAACCAGTGACCTTTTGGTTACTGGCCCAATGCTTTCTATAGTCCATTTCTCCCTCTGTCTTTCTCCCCTTCCCTTTTCTCCCTCTATTGTCCTGGAGCAGAGCAAATCTGATCCCATTGCCAGGGGCAACAGATTATCAGAGCGGATACGGCCTCCTGCACTGCTCTCCTGTGTGTATGTGAGTGGCTGCATGAGGGTTGTGAGTGTGTGTGTGTGTTTGTAGGGGCTTAATCTAAAGCAGGTCTCTGTCATTAGGCCAGTGAAGGCCCAGCTCATTATTCATACTGTAACATTATTTACTTCTCTTCCTCTCTCTCTCTCTTTCTCTCCCCTAGTCGATAAATGCTTCAACATTGTGTTTTCTCTTGTTGCTACAACTTACATTCTTCAGGGGTACAATATATGACCAACTTGGTTTGAACTCAGGTTGTCTGCGGGCCACAGGATGGTCAACCCGCTGAGACAGCATCATGGGTGTAACGCTGTGTATGCGGGGTTAAATCCGATACGTAGGGGAACGGGAAAAGGGAGGGAGAATTAAATGAGGCGCTTTCCCCCTTCATCCAACTCTTTATCGCTCAGGAAAGAGACTTCTTTTGTTATTTTTTAATTTAGTACCTTTACCCCTTTTTCTCCCCAATTTCATGATATCCAATTGGTAGTTACTGTCTTGTCCCATCGCTGCAACTCCCGTACGGACTTGGGAGAGGCAAAGGTCGAGAGCCATGTGTCCTCTGAAACATGACCCCGCCAAACCACACTGCTTCTTGACACACTGCTCTCTTAACCCGGAAGCCAGCTGCACCAATGTGTCAGAGGAAACACCGTAGAACTGGCGACCGAAGTCAGCTTGCCGGCGCCCGACCCGCCACAAGGAGTTGCTAGAGCGCGATGGGACCAGGACATCCCGGGCCGGTCAAACGCCGCCTCTTGGGTCTCCCGGTCACGGCCGGCTGTGACACAGCCTGGGATCAAACCCGGGTCTGTAGTGACGCCTCAAGCACTGCGCTGCAGTGCCTTAGACCGCTGCGCCACTCGGGATGCCAAAAAGTCTTATTTAAAGGGAGGTGTGATCGAAGCCTGCTACAGTCTATCAGGAGGCTCCCTGAGGACGTCCCTTCAAGTGCCCATACAGTTTACGCTGATATTATATGAATCTGTGCACCCACTGAAAGACGGACACCGAGCCTGAAAATCACACACTCTAGATCAGTGGTTTTCCCACCTCTCCTCAGGGACCCCAAGACGTTTCACAATTTTGTTGTAGCCCTAAACCAGCTCACCTGATTCACCTATTCTCAAGCGCTTGATGATTAGTTGACAAGTTCATCAGGTGTGTTAGCTGTGGAGAAGTTAAAATACATGGAACGGATGGGGGTCCCTGAGGAGAGGTTTGAAAACCCCTGCTCTAGATGGATAGAAAGATGGATAGAAGGGACAATAGCCAGTATTGGCACATAAACATATTATGCATACACACAGACTGTTCTGACTGGTACTGACCACAGAAGTCCTTGAGAAAGTCCTTGAGAAATATGATTGAGAAATATCAAACATCAATCAAGAGGGCCAATTACAATAGCAGGGCAGGATGCCACACCACACTGTTGGGTAAGTGAGGGGTTCTGGAAAGGCTCAGTTGTTTTCATGAAGTGTGCATGCGCTTGTGTTTTTCAATTTTCTGCTTTGATATGTGGTACGTCTTTGTTCTCAGTATCATGTCTAACTGGTACCAGGTCACACACACTGCAGGTCCAACGATTTCCCAGACCTACAGGCACCCGAGTCCCTCTGGGGGAGACTGATGAGGGGTCAGAGGAACGACAATGTCTCTTATTCATCTCACACCATGTGTATGTGTGAAACTACACTAAACAAAAATATAAATGCAACAATTTCAATGATTTTACTGAGTGACAGTTCATTAAGGAAATCAGTCAATTGGAATAAATTCATTAGGCCCTAATCTATTGATTTCACATGGCTGGGCAGGGGCGCAGCCATGAGTGGGCCCACCCACTGGGAAGCTGGGCACAGCCATGGGTGAGCCTGGGAGGGCAATCAGAATTAGTTTTTCCCTACAAAAGGGGTTTATTACAGACAGAATACTCCTCAGTTGCATCAGCTGTCCGGGTGGCTGGTCTCAGACGATCCCGTAGGTGAAGAAGCCGGATGTGGAGGTCCTGGGCTGGCATGGTTACACGTGGTCTGCAGTTGTGAGGCCGGTTGGACGAACTGCCAAATTCTCTAAAATGACATCAGAGGCGGCTCATGGTAGACATATTAACATTTAATTATCTGGCAACAGCTCTGTGGGACATTCCTGCAGTCAGCATGCCAATTGCACACTCCCTCATCTTGAGACATCTGTGGCATTATATTGTGTGACAAAACTGCAAATTTTAGTGGCCTTTATTGTCACCAGCACAAGGTGCACCTGTGTAATGATCAGGCTGTTTAATCAGCTTCTTCATATGCCACACCTGTCAGGTGGATGGCTTATCTTGGCAAAGGAGAAATTCTCACCAACAGGGATGTAAACAAATTAGTGCACAAAAATTTAGAGAAATACTATTTTTGTGCAATTGGAAAATTTCTGGGATCTTATATTTCAGCTCATGAAACATGGGACCAACTAATTACATGTTGTGTTTATAGTTTTGTTCAGTATAAATACCCCCAAACACTGTGTCACGCCTAGAGATCAACAAACCGCAACATAACTACTGAACACCACTAACTTCAGAGTAAACGGCATAGGGCCTTGCTTGGCCTGCAGAACCTTCTAGAGTTTCTGTCCAGATAGAGTGCTGGTCAGTCAGTGGTCACGTCATTGTTGTGGTTAACACGTCATATGGGTGACGGAGAGAGATGGAGCACATCTTTGTTAACAAGTCACTCATTTCCTGTCTGAGAGAAGAAAAATGTCTGAGTAGTTTGGCATTAGATCATAGTTTAGAGTTGGTGTGGTTGTCATAATGACGCCATTTTCTGGTCGTAAATATGTTTTCTGGTTGAGAAGATGGCATAACTAGACCATCTCTGTTACAACCAGGTAAATGCATATTTTTCAATGGCGAAATCAAGACGTCATAGAAAATACTTCATATTTTGGTTGCAATCTGGTCAAATAATCAGATTACAACCAGATAGATATGTTAATTAAATGTAATACAACCTGACTATGAAGTCATAAACCAACCAGTTTTGCCCGCTGGGCTGTTATCTCTGCTAGGTAGGGGGAAATACTTCTCCCTACCTGCAGGCCACAGCCGGGTATGTGTGTACATGCGCACCACAATCTCCAAAGTGTGTGTATACCACTCTGCTTCTGATTGATGGCATGGGCCCCCAGCTTCAGAGATATTTACACACAATAAATAGAGCAGATCTAACCTGGTCCAGATGCCTGCTGTGTGTGTCCTCCACTAGCCCAGACCCCTGCTCTACTCATGTCACAGCCCTCCTCCAGGCTGGATGGCATTACCAGCAACTACATCCATGTGGTTCACGTTGTGTCTGTGATAGATAAGTGATGTGTGTTTATGTGTGCCACAAAAACATCCACCTCCATGGGGTGACTCCTGTTTAGGAACCCAAGTTTTGTGTGTGTGGTTGGGGATGGGGGGGAACTAACTCCATGCATCCTCTCTCTGGCCCTGACCCCACCGCATGGCAGCTTCATTCAGAAACAAACAGGTTGAGATAGCGTTACGTAATATCAGCTACAGGACCGTTTTGTCTCAGCAGCTATAAAAATGCACACTATGGGCTCTATTTTCGGCTTGCGATAAGGCGGCGCTAATGTCAAACGCACGTTAGTTTGCAATTTCGTCATTGTAAAAACTGGTGCAATGGCGTTTTCCAGCCCTAATGCCAGGTTGGGCAATTTACCTGTCTTATATCTGACGCGTGCACTCAGATGGGCAGGGCGGAGATATTTGAGTGTGTCCTTAACATGATCCAATGTGCTAATTTCAGGCAGCGCTGATAGGGATATTTAAGACCAACCAAAAGCTGGTTTTAGCAGTAATGCAGTTGGTTATGGCATGTATTTTGACAGCGGAAACGCAGCCTATCCAGCCGTGACACACAGTGCCCATATGACATGGAACAAGAGTAGCCTAATGTGGTTTTGGTGCCTGTATACTTCGTATTTAGAAACATTAAAAAACAGTTTTTTACAATTTGATTTGATTAAAAACCAAGCATAGCCTCCCCTCCTCTCAATTAAGGCGTAAAACCCCATCCATGATGTAGGCAATTGTGATGAGGTGTGAATGACAGAGTCAGGCGCAGGAGGTAAAACACTGAAATCAAGAGTTTATTCAGTGTACAATAATGTAGCGCATATAGCGACAGAACGAAACTAGCACAAGGGAAAATCAACCTTGGCTGCATACAAGTAAAGAGTAATTCAACCGAGCTACTCACTCTCACAACGAACAATCACTCACAAAGGACAAGGGGGCAGAGGGAACACTTATACACAGACTAATGAGGGAATGAGTACCAGGTGTGTGTAATTGACAAGACAAGACAAATGGAGCGGTAGTGGCTAGTAAGCCGGTGACGATGAACGCCGAAACCTGCCCGAGCAAGGAGGAGGGGCAGCCTCGGCTGAATTCGTGACAGTACCCCCCCCCCCCCCCCCTTGACGCGCAGCTCCAGCAGCGCGCCAACAACGGCCTCGTGGACGGCCAGGAGGACGCGGAGCAGGGCGAGTTGGATGGCAACGATGGAGGTCCCTCAGCAGAGAGGGATCGAGGATATCCCTCACCGGGACCCAGCACTGTTCCTCCGGACCGTATCCTTCCCACTCCACGAGGTACTGAAGGCCCCCCACCCGGCGCCTCGAATCCAGGATGGACCGGACAGAGTACGCCGGCGCCTCCTCGATGTCCAAAGGAGGTGGAGGGACCTCCCGCACCTCAGACTCCTGGAGCGGACCAGCCACCACCGGCCTGAAGAGAGACACATGAAACGAGGTGTTAATACGGTAATCGGGGGGAGTAATAACCTATATGTGACCTCGTTGATTCTCCTCAGGACTTTGAACGGCCCTACAAACCGCGGGCTCAGCTTCCGGCAGGGCAGGCGGAGGGGCAGATTCCGGGTCGAGAGCCAGACGGGGGCCTCACTGCGGTGATGGTCAGCGTTGGCCTTCTGATGACGCACGGCGCGTTGGAGGTGAACATGGGCAGTGTTCCACGTCTCCTCCGCGCGCCGAAACTAGTCATCCACCGCAGGAGCTTCGGTCTGGCTCTGGTGCCACGGTGCCAGAACCGGTTGATAACCTAAAACACACTGAAATGGCGTTAGGTTCGTAGAGGAGTGGCGGAGAGAGTTCTGGGCATATTCTGCCCATGGCAGGAACACCGGCCACTCCCCCGGCCGGTCCTGGCAATAGGACCTCAGGAACCTACCCACATCCTGATTAACCCATTCCACCTGCCCATTACTCTCAGGGTG